CCCGCGCCCCCTCTCCCCAACAGGAGATTCCGCATCGCGAATTGCGTAGCATATGTGGGACTCATCATCGGCGAAAGCACGGCAAGGTGAGCATGGAGATATTGGCGGTGGCGGGTCCAACAATGGAACAAGCTGCTCGTAAATCGAATGCTTGCCATGGAGATGACCAATCCGCCATCATGTGGCACGGAAAATGTGCTTTCGTAACGAAACTGCGGAGCAGAAATCGTCTACAGAGGAGCTTTCCTGCCCATCGACGGGATTGTGGCCAGGCATTACTTGGCCAGGCGGCCAGCAAGATAGGGAGGTATAGGGTAGGCACCAAGCCAGAGCGGAGTTTCATTGGCGAACCACAGCGCTTGCCCCGCCAACTGCCGCGATACCATTGTCCGACGCGCTTCAGCATCGAGCCTGTGGTTTGTCTACTCCCACCGAACGTGCCGCGACCACCACCCAGTCTCCGACAGTCGCATAGGCCCTGACAGTGTCGCGGAGCCTCAGCTGGGCCCAGGCCGTCGCGTATCCTGCTTCCAAGCTATCATCCTTCAGAGAATGACCAGTCAGCAACCATGGACGGAGACTGGGATGAGGTACGCTCGAAACGCGCAACGTTCGACGGCGATCGAACCGTCCCCTCTGCGCTGCTACGGCAGAGCAAGATCCATTGACGGAAGGGCTGACTTGCGATTACGACTAGGTCTCCCGAATTCCATTCCCGCCCCCGGGCGTCCACGCAATGCCGACGCCGGTAACCACGATGACCTTTGACAGCTCGCAGGAGCTGCTGTGGACCGGCAATGACTACGTACAGCCTCCGCGCGGTCGCTGCGTTATCTACCCAAATCTCTGACGAGGCAAACAGGGTCGCGTCACGTCCTTTCTGGGCTCCGAGCTCCAGAGGTATACCTCATTCAAGGCGCACTTGACCCCCGATGGTCCAGTTCGACAAATACTGGTCAATGACAAAGGTGTCGTGGTTCTCGGCTCCAAGGATGTTCACATGGCGTTGAGGAGGGGCCCGCCGATATGGCATATTCGGTACGTTGCCCATTCGCCGTGCGTGGTGTGCAGACGGGCTCATTGTGGCAGACATGACGACATGAAGGATTTACGATGCATGAGTTTTACATCGAAAGGCACCGCGGAGATTATTGTTGCTGGTCTGCAAGACAAGATGCTTGTCATTGACCTCAATAAGGGCGAGGTTGTCAAACAGGTGAGTGACTTTGCTGCTTGTTTCCCCACGCGTCTAACAGCCGGGTCTTTCAGATACCCACTGAACACCAGTACTCCATCATGAAGCGCGGACGGTATATCTGCGCGGCGACTAAGAATGGCTCCGTGAATTTGCTGGACCCCGTCACTTTCGCTGTGGTAAAATCCTGGAACGCACACTCGGCATTGATCAACGACATGGATGCCCAGCACGACTTCATCGTGACCTGTGGTTACTCCCTGCGCCAAGGACAGAACTACATGCTGGATCCGTTCCTCAACGTGTTTGACATCAAGAAGATGTCGTCGATGCCGCCTATCCCTTTTCCCGCCGGAGCTGCGTACGTTCGGATGCATCCGAGGATGCTCACCACTAGCATCGTTGTCTCACAGACGGGGCAAATGCATGTGGTCGACCTGATGAACCCAAACACCAGTAACGTCCGCCAAGCAAATGTCCTCACCTATTTAAGCATGTTCGAGATTGCTCCCTCTGGCGAGGCCATTGCCTTGACGGACCCGGAGTGCTACATACACCTCTGGGGATCACCCTCGAAGCTCCATTTCGTGGACCTCCCTACACCGGTAGAGTTTGCAAACCCGGAAGAGCCATTGCCCCCCATAGAATGGACTCCAGATACGTAAGTTCCAGTCTTTCCTGGCCACCAGGCCCTCAATGCTCCGAATCGCCCCTGACCAAGCATAGCCCGTTGAACTCCGTTGGCTTGCCATATTATCGCGACGTGCTAGCTTCCGCCTGGCCAGAAGCTATATCCGATATAGGTGCCCCGCCGGCGAGACTGGATCCGCAATTCGTCAATAGTTTGAAGCCGACCGATTTCGGGTTATACGGTCGAAACACTCGAAGCGCTCGCCGGAACCAAGCCGAAGACACACGCAATGCCAATCAATCGGCCAACTCCGGCCTCAAAGCACCCAAATTCTTGAGCGAGAAAGCTCGAGAGTCGGCGAAATCTGACACGAAAGCCTCGGAGGAAAAGGCGGAAGACCTGACAGGTCCATTGGGAGGGAGTGAGATCGAAAGCAAGAGATCCGAGGTCCCCATGATGTACCGCAATGTCGAGATCAAGTACAGCAAGTTCGGCGTGGACGACTTTGACTTTGGGTACGTTTCCGCTTAAACTGTCCGTATTCGCGTCACTGATTGGAACAGATTCTACAACAAAACGCGTTATTCCGGCTTGGAGATTCACATCTCCAACTCGTACGCCAACTCACTTCTTCAAATCATGAACTTCACCCCATTGATTCGAAACCTGGCGCTCCAACACGCGGCTAGCGCTTGTGTCAGCGAATTGTGTCTGCTCTGTGAACTTGGATTCTTGTTTGATATGCTCCAGAAAGCCGACGGATCGATCTGTCAAGCAACGAATTTGTTGAGGACATTGAGTAATCACCCTCAAGGTAGGGTGCTTCTGTTCCTCTGAAAATGTCGTCTACTGTGGTCCTTGGCTAACGGACACAGCTGCCCCACTAGGACTGCTCGAAGAGGACTCGCATGGTTCCTCGTTGAACGTTATGCTTCAAGGCCTCACTCGATTCCTCCTGGACAGGATCGTGCAAGATTTCAGAAGCATCTCCCCATCGTCCATTGCAATGGAACAGGTAAAGGAGTCTTGCAAGTCAAGTGCTTTTGCCATCAGCTAAGAGGTCGTGACAGATTCTGGCAACGTCGGCTACTACCTCAATCCGATGCATGAACTGCAGGAGTGAATATACCCGGCCTGGATCGACATTCGTCAACGATTTACTCTATCCTCCTCATGTACGTCTGGTTACCCCAAGGGCGGCAACATGCATGGCTGACACGGAAACGACAGAAACCCCCTGGCCGCAACAACAAAATGCCTCGCGTAACCTTCTCTCAGGTCCTTAAGAGCGGCGTTGAGAGAGAGACAACGTCCAAGGGGTGGTGTGGCCGTTGCCAACGCTATCAGACCATTGCTACCCGAAGATCCGTACATAGTATTCCCGCAGTTCTGATGCTGAACACGGCCATTACGAATCCGGATCACCGAATGCTTTGGTCAACCCCCGGTTGGCTGCCGGAAGAGATTGGCATTATTGTCGACCAGGGACAGTTCTATTGCTACGAGGGCGAAGACTTGAAGCTCCATCTTCAGCGAGGCATGCACAATATCACTGTCTACTCGCTCATAGGCATGGCGATAAACATTGAGAGCGGACAGACACAAAAGCCCCATCTAGTCGCCATGGTGAACAGTAAGTTGTTCTGGACCGGCCCTACCACCGACGAATGCTAATCAACTCGTAGCTGCGCATGCTGAGCAGGAATCACCTGGCCACAGCCAATGGCACCTCTTCAACGATTTCTTGGTTCGCTCTGTCAGCACCGAAGAAGCACTTACCTTCAATACGTCTTGGAAAGTTCCTTCGGTCGTGGCCTATCAAGTGAAACAAGCAAACAACAAGATCGACATGGAATGGAGGACCCATTTGGACACGTCCGTTCTCTACCAGGATTTGAAGTCAGTTCATATCCACACGCTTGTTCCATGTGAATACTAACGCAGTGACCAGCCCCAACGTGGACCCAGAGACCAGGACCTATGAGATCCTGGATCCGGCAACGGAGCCTCCTGGTCCCGAGAGCATCATAGCCCTGGACACAGAATTCGTCGCGGTTCGACAGCCAGAAATCGAAATGAACTCCGATGGCGAACGAGAAACGATCCGGCCTATAGTTTACGCCCTCGCCCGGGCCTCAGTGGTGCGCGGCCAAGGTGAGAGGGAAGGCCTGCCATTTATCGATGACTATATTGCCATCAAGGAGCCCATTGTGGACTACCTCACGTCGTACTCTGGCATTACAGAGCAGGACCTCGACCCGCGTGTCTCGAAACACAGCTTGTTGTCGCTCAAGATAGCATACAAGAAGCTGTGGGTCCTTCTGAACTTGGGTTGCAAGTTCTTGGGCCACGGCTTGAAACAGGATTTCCGCGTCATTAACATACATGTACCGAAGGCCCAAGTGATCGACACGATTGATCTCTTCTTCCTCAAGTCACGACTCCGCAAACTGTCGCTCGCTTTCTTGGCATGGTATCTACTCAAAGAGGACATTCAGCTCGAAACTCACGACTCCATTGAAGACTCCCGCACCGCTCTCAAGCTGTATAGGAAGTACCTTGAGTTTCAGGACGCGGGAATCCTGGAGCCGATGCTTCAGGACATCTACCGCGCCGGAAGAGACGTCAACTTCAAACCTCCGAGGAAGGACGATGTGGATGTTCAGAGGACTGACACGCCGCCTCTACCAGTAGAGGGAAGTGTTGCGGGGACGCCGGGACCGTCAACGCCGGTGCGGAAGACCATCGGCTTGGCCGCTCCACCGCAAGGCACATCAGGATTTGGCGGGGCGAGCTGGACACCAGGGAAAGGTTCACCGCTGCGGTAGGTAGGCAGGCGCAATTTGTCCTGGTGACGGCGGCGTTGCAGGTGAACGGATCGGGTGTTTTGTTTGAGTCACGCTGGTCACTAGCGGGTATCGTTGTGTGGACAGCGTAGATGTGCCTTCCTATGGAATCTTCTACAACGCGCTTGATCATGTCGTCCCCGATTTCGCTGCACCATGTCGTCCCCCGTACGCACTATTCAATTGCCAAATATTTATCCCATCGTATTTCAGGCCGTACCTGGACCTGACTCGCCCTCATAATGCATCACGCCCTCTACTTGGCCGCAACCAGATCAACAGCTCTTGGGCTCAAAAGCCTCATTGATGCTTTGACGAGGCTTGTAGCCAATGGTCGCAGCCTGGAAGGATCTCGAACGCCGCGGATGTCTTGCCCGACACGATTCCCTGCGCTGCTAGCTGACGCCCGGAAGATACGTGTAGCCTGTAAGTGTCTTCTACCGCATAGAGCCAATGTTCATGACAGGCTTGCAAGCAGTAGAGCCACAGAATCGTACCATACCGGACCCTCTGCTTTGAATTATTGATTCAAGCAACGCTACTGCGGCATCAGAGCTCGGATTCGGCGCCGTTGGTGGACATCTGCATCGGACTGCCATTCTGGTTCTGCCGTTGGCGTCGGCGCGGGTTGCCAGGAGGGCGACGGCGGACCGTAGCTCTACCGTTTACATTCATGCCATCGTCGTCGTCCTCGGATTCATTGACGTGTTGTTGATAGAGCTGTTCTTCGTCCAAGTCGTTTATGTCCTGCGGGCGGTCGCGCAGCCATTGCATACGGGGTCCGGAGCGTGCCCGCTCAGAAACCCTGAAGCCATAGATCCGCGGCTCGTAGATATGGCCGGGCCCAAGACTGGGCGCGATGTTTTTGGCATACATGCCGTTCAAGAGAGGTTCATCTTCTGGTACTCGCGAGGTTGCGCTGGAGAGGACGTCGGACCCGCGCTTAGTGAGGTCGTATTCGGGGAACGTCAGAAGAAAGAGGGCGCCAAAGGTGCGGCCGAAGAATGCGCCATCAACAGTCTGAAACCGACTATTCGGCGGGACGTAGACGTCAAGGCAGGATGGGCAGAAAAGCTTGACTGTGTCCTCGCCCGGGATGTCGGAGAGCCCAACTGGGAGCGTCCTCGCCTGCTCGCAGTTGTATCTAGGGCAGGCGCCGAAATGCCCCAGCTCGTACTTTTCGCTCATTTGTTGGATGCCGGCGCGTGAGCATATGAAGCGCTGGTGGATGAGACCGTAGAGCATCTCCGCAGATGACTCGATGACGGACAGGTCGCTGGCCATCCTGCTGTGATGCCTCCGCTCCCTTCCGCCCGCACGTTCTTGTCCATCGCCGAGACCGGACTCGTTCTCTTCTTCTTCCTCCTCCTCCTCTTCGTCTTCGTCATCATCTTCAGGCTCGACGTCGAGTATCATCTAGCCAAAGGGTAAGCATTTGTGTCACTCTTGCAGGTACCGTCAAGAGGCTCATGCACCATACCTCGAGCGCTTCCTTGTACATGGCCACCTGAGTCTGCAAGCCAGTCAAGTTGAAGTCATCCTCGATGAACTCTTCGGAGACCTCGGCAAAGTATTCATGACCCAACAACGCGCAGAAGCTCGAAATCCAGGACTCCGGAACGCCTGAGGACGTCGACATGGCGCCGGGAGTAGGTCGTCGGACCAGTCGCTGTGGGTTGCGGAGGAGAGACGCAGCTGGCGCCGTCCTGATATCGAAGGCCCTGGAATCGCTACCCAGGCTCGGGTCGGATGGCCAGGCGCGGCGCGTAGATCACTGGCAGGTGCTTCGCGTGGGGTCGGCGCTCTGCACGCGGAGGGGTTTTCGCGGCCCAGGCAAGGTAGGGCAGACCCGCTTTGTGTCGCACCGATACTCCAGGAGACGAATTTCGTGCTGGCGCGGTTTGACGATACAATTGTTTGCCTCCAGATAAATTTGCCGCCCGTCACTCGGCTTGGGCGCAAGGGTCGTTTGGGATGTCGGCGTGGGAGGTGAGAGCAGGTCGTGGTGGGCGGTGGGTGGAGGGACATGGTGGGTGGAACTGGGTCAGATCCAATACGACTGTCCTGTTGGCTACCCGGGAGCTGATCTCGAGCTGTTCTGCTTGGGCACTCTCAGCCCCAAAAGGGGAGCTTCTCGCGGGTGTCCAAAATCCGGCGCCAAAGTTTCGCCGACACCCGGCTCGCGTTTAATCCCCCCAAGCGACGGATACAACACCACTCTGTGCAAATCGCCGGTTCGCAATCGTTGTGCTCTTATCCTTCTCCTGTTCTGGCGATGAGAGGGGCTATAGGCCACAGCGCGGTATTGCCACGACTGTTTCATGGGACTTCGGCGTGTCGGCAGCGCGGTGCTGTTGTACGCACGATTGAGGCTGCCCTCCCTGCCGTGGGCGGCCATCCAGATATACATGCCTTCCAGCAAAAGGCTCTGATTCCAAAGAAGCCACTTGTTTTCCGTCATGGAGCGGGCTCCCCAACCTCTCAACTCTCGGCAGCTGCCAAATGGTTCACGCAAGATGACTCTGGGAGGCGCGTGCTGACGGATCATGTTATCAACTTCAATGACTGGCCATTTCCCTATGAATTGGTTCAATCTTCACCGCAGAAGAGAGACGCTGTAATCAGCTTTCGCGACTGGCTTATGCAGAGCTCGGCAATCAGCGACCAAATAATGGCGGGCATTCTGCAAACAGCTATCACTGAAGGCGAGGGCCTTCAGTTTTCTCAGCTGTATGGGCCTCTGCTCCTCCTGGCCAAGGCTCTCGAGTTCAACAGGTTGCAGGATTCAAAACGCTTGAGCACCCTGGAGCTTTACATAGCACAGTCAATGCTGTCCGACCTACCGCAACCACTGCAAGATGACTTGCGCACACCAGAGCTGGTCCGCCGCGCCGGGAAAGGCGATGTGTACAGTTCGTCCGTCTGGCTGGGCACAGAGCCTACCTACACTCCGCTTCACCGAGACCCGAACCCGAACTTGTTCTGTCAACTGTGTGGAAACAAGTCCCTTAGGATATTGCCGCCCGCTATTGGAGAACGACTGTACTTCGAGGTGCAAGTGAAAATTCGGCAGCACGGCAACAGTCGTATCCGAACAACCGAGATGATGGAGGGAGATGAGAGAGCAGCACTTCATGACGCCGTCTGGAGTAACGATGAATTGGTAGAGCTGCTGCTGGAAACAGAGCTTGGGCCCGGGGATGCACTATTCATCCCTGATGGATGGTGGCATTCCGTGAAGAGCACGGGGACTGATGGGCAGCTTAATGGGTCGGCCAACTGGTGGTTCCGCTAAATCAGGCATGATATAAGGTAGCATGCGTCCAGCTGCGTACGCGGCATGCGCCCTTGCTTGCGGTATTCGCGGAGGTGCTTTCGCTGTCATCGCAATGACTGGTCGATGAGCAATAACTCATTACAACGATCTCAGGTCTGCAGATACGTTCAATGATGCAATTGACCGTAAGACTGAGGTTTGACAGAAAGAATCTTTCTCCGGTGTCACGTCACGTCGCACCGATCTTTCAATCGCTCACCTGCTGTCAGACATTGCCACCAGGGGGAGCTTTGTGTCGTTATGGCTGCGCTTTGTTTGTCTTCTGTTCCAATAAGGGTATATGCGTACAAAGCTGCTTGAAAATCCTACAGACTTCCTGCGTATGCTTCACTAAGGGCACGTGTCCTTGCCTGGCAAGTCTGGCCCTCCGTCAGATTCTTGATCGTGATGAGTAAAGTTGTTGCTGGAAGTCGCTCGTGCTGTTGAGTGTAGCGCATGACAGATACTTCGCATGGCCAGGTAAAGTTAGGCCTGTCTCAGCCTGGCTCAACTGGGCTATCGGTGTAAGGGTCAAAGCCAACGCGTTGTCTGGCTTTGCTACGCATCGCCTGACGTGCATCGCCCGAGAGGCCAGTCGTGGACGATTCCTCCAGGAAGAAGGTCAAGATGTGATCCGGGATTGACAAGTGCGATGCTTGCTGGAACTCTTGGAGGCTGGCCAGTCGAATGAGCATCTCTACCAATGACAGGGACGATGTTATTGCTTTGAACGGCGAGCGCGCCACAAACTCCGAGTCGTCTTCTGAGGTATCTTCTCCTCTTGTGCTTCGACTTTCTGTGGACGATCGCCGACCATCTGGAGCTGCCCTGGAGCCAAAGCTTGGCTGAAGCGAGAGGCTTCTAATCTGTGCGGCGACTCTGGCGTCGAGCGAGGACCGACCGCTGGCCTTCTGTTCAACCTCCGTCGGTATTCGGGGGCAGTTTCTATCTTCCGATTCACTCTCAGACCCCGCCTCCGTCTCAGTCTCATCGAATGCGTCATCATCGGCTTCGAATACCTCGAAAGCGATCCATTCAGGGTCGAGATGCGAGGGGAAGCTCGACGACGCACGTGCACGTGCCTCCTGGGGGCCGTCTTCAGGCCTTCCATTGTCATTTTCGTGCTCCACACTTCCTTCGGACATGTCGTCATCTCGTTCACGGCGGCCGGGTTCGAGGCTGTCTAAAGTGTGGACTGTGATAGCAGGAGACAGCCGGGATGCGTCTAGATCCCTTTTGACGAGGAGGACTGGATTATTCTCCCCGTCCCTTTCGTTCCCGAGATTCAAGATCTTGCCGGTGTCAGTGTAGAAAATCTTTGCAAGTTGGTGTACCGGGATCAACTCCCGAAAGCCAGCTCTGGGAATGTCTTCGTAGGCGCCCGTCGAGTCTGGCTCATTGTGCACTCTCCCGTCGTCCAAGTCCTCGACGATCTCCAGGTGATAGGCGTAATCAAGGCCCGCTCCTTTCAACGGAGATGCCAGCAAGTTTGGCGAGTCTTCATCGCGTATACCCTGGCGCCGTGGCTCCCGCGACGATCGACAGAGACGTACTCGAGTCTTGTGGGCGACTTCCTGCCAGAGTGGCTTCCGATCATGCTCGCCAACGCCATATACCGGCTGTGAGTCTTTTGTCGAGCCGATTGTTTGCGGATCGACAGAGGCATGGCCGAGGAATAGCATGTAAAGAGATAGATGAAACGCCGGACCAATTTGAGTGACTCTGGTGGGATCCTGGGCATATTGCGTGTCACCAACTATGAGCAGAGCGCTGGCCTGCAGAAGTCGGGATGGTGAAATGTTTGTAGGCAACGATGTCGACAGTGTTTCCCCAGACGCGGTGATGGCGAGTTGCAGCAGCGGTATTTCGCGATCAACTCGTTCCAGCAAAGCCTTGATGTCGGCAATCACTTTGCGGAGCCGCTCATGTTTCTTGGCTTGCGGCTTCGAACGAAACGAATTCGATCTGTCGGTTTCGCTTTCCACCTGTATAGCTCCCTCAATTCTCCGACCAAGCGATGCGATCTCACGCTGCAAGGCTTTAGTGAGTGGAACAGCCGACTCAAGAAACACATTCCCACGGCCCGACCTAGGCGGAAGTCAGAATTATGCCGGCAGAAAGGCTGCGGAAGTATGGCTGACTTGAATTCGACAAGCTCAAGGGCGGGCGAAATGATCTGCCAAACGTGTTAGCACTGTCCGGGGACGCAAAGTCGGTGCCGTGAAAGTACCTTGATTTTGCTGTCAAGGAGCTTCTGCAGAGTACGAAGCTCAGAGTAGAGGAGCTCGTCATCTACAGACTGCAGCAGGCGTGAACACTGTTTCAGCGCGTAAGTCGAAGTCAAGCCAACAGCTGACCTGATGGTGTATCGCATGGCCTGCACGCCGACAGTCGCCAGAAATTCATCCATGGCATTTAACGGTCGATGACGGCCATAGAGAAGAGCCACGGTCGCCGAAACAAGCCTCGGTAAAGCTTAAATGTTCACATTGGGAATGCACGGGGCTCGTGGAGCATGCAAATGACAAGCAGGCGGTTCGGGCAGTTGGAGTGGGAATGGTAGAGCCATCAGGCACCCGACATTTGGGCAGGTGGCCACAGTGCGAGGAAGACTGCGGCCCAGTTGGGCTGTCCAGCTCGCTGCTCAGAGCACGGCCGTTGTGCAGTCGTTCAGTGACGAGAGCCAGGCTCGTGCCACCCATTGTGTCCGATTTGGCCTGTGCTGTGTTAACTGCATTGTGAATCCTCCGAGGTCGCGATCCATGCCGCCCACGCGATTTGCTGCCTCTTTGGCGCTTGACGGCGACCAATCAGTCACAGTCCTGGCTACCTGGGAGCTTACCACAATGAGGCACTACCATGGTCGGTAGGGCATCCTGGGACCTTTCGCAGCGAACTGGCGATATAAGTGTATGCTTTGCTAGGTGTTATGCAGCACGCGTCAAGTCTGTTCTTCGGCCTTTAATCATCAAATGCCTCTTTCATAAGAACACGGCTCCGTAGACGGCTTGCATTTCTTGCACTTACAGTGCACATCCACAGAAGCTTCTGACCAACTAGTCCGTGTTGGGTCGAGCATGCGCACTGTACCAGCCCCGCCAAACGGGAGGCTGCCCTCCTCGCAGGCAGTATCATGCTAGTGGTGGGGGCCTTGAGTTTTCAAACCTCCACCACAGCGGCGAGAACGACCTGGCATCAACACGCTTTGTTTCGCTGCCCGAGTGTCACTGCGTCAACCGTCCCTCTAGGTCCATTTCTCTTCAGAGTCCGCCACAGCCAGTGCTTCTCTTGCGACGTTCACATCATCGGCGTCAGTAGGCAGTATCAGCGTCACTGTCACTGAAGAGGGGCTAATTTGAGTCACCAGCGCGAGCCGAGATTCTTCAACCAACCGATTCCGTCCGCGTTGTGCGCGCTACCCGACACGATGGCCGACCTCAACTCTTGGGAAGACGACCCCGCTGCTCAGGACGAGAACCTGTCTCGTCAGGCTCAGCAGCAGCTGAATGTTAACCAGCAAAATGCCGCCGCAGCGCAGGGCGCCTTCCGGCCTGGTGTCGCGTCCTTCCAGCCCGGTGCTCAATCCTTCCAGCCAGGCCAGCCTTATGGTGGCGGCTTCGCACCCCAGTACCAACAGCAGCAATACTACCAGCAAGGCTATTACCCCCAGTATGGCCAGCAGCAAGGCTTCAGCCAATACAACCAGTCGTACGGCGGCGGCTTCAGCCAAGGCTACAACCAGGGCTACGGTGAGCGGTTATCCATCAAGTACACGGACCTGAATCTCCATGCTGACGTCGGTGCTCAGGCGCTGGATATCCTCAGTATGGGCAGCAGAACCAGCAAGCTCCGCAGTCCCAGCAAGCTCCGGCTCCGCAAGCCGCCCCTACGGCGGCCCCGAAGGCGCCCGCTGCCGACAGCGCCGCCGCTCCCACGCCCGTCCCGAAGCCCGTGTTGACAAAGGAGGGAGGCACCAAAGTTCTGAGCATTGGTGGCGATACTTCTGCTCCCAAGCCAAAGGCCAAGGTGCTTTCGATTGGAGGAACCGCGGCGCCCCCGAAGGAGAAGACCGACTCCAAGCCTGACGCCAAGGCTGAGGCGTCCACCAAGCCTGAAGCAGGCCAAAAGGCCACCGCAGCCAAGGCCATCGAGAAGACAGGCGAGAAGGCCGGTAAAGCCGCAGCGACCGCCAAGACGTCCGGCAAGACGTCGCCAACACCCTCCTCTGGCCGCTCCAGCCCGTCTGGCCCGGGCGACAAGAAGGCTCAGCGGGACGTTGATGCTGTCACGAAAGAGCAGGCTGCCGACGTCGATGACGAGACTCTTAAGGAGATTTACGGCAAGGAACACGTCAACATCATCTTCATTGGCCACGTCGACGCTGGCAAATCAACACTGGGTGGCTCTATTCTGTGGAGCACCGGCATGGTTGATGAGAGAACCATGGACAAATACAAGAAGGAGGCTAAGGACCTGGGACGCGAGTCTTGGTACCTGTCCTGGGTCATGGACTTGACCAAAGAGGAACGATCGAAGGGCAAGACTGTTGAGGTTGGCCGCGGCTTTTTCGAGACGGAGAAACGCAGATACAGCATCTTGGACGCCCCTGGACACAAGACGTACGTCCCCAACATGATTGGCGGCGCGTCGCAGGCCGACGTCGGTATCTTGGTTATCTCAGCTCGAAAGGGTGAGTATGAGACGGGTTTCGAACGAGGTGGCCAGACCCGCGAGCATGCAATGCTTGCGAAGACACAGGGTGTCAACAAACTAATCGTCGTCATCAACAAGATGGACGACCCGACTGTCGAATGGTCGCATGAGCGCTATCAGGAGTGCACGACGAAGCTCTCGCAGTTCCTCAAGGGCACCGGTTACAACCTGAAGACGGACGTCTATTTCATGCCTGTTGCTGCCCAGCAGTCCATGAACATCAAAGAACGTCTTCCCGAAGGCGTGGCCCCGTGGTGGAGCGGGCCTTCGCTGCTTGAGTATCTCGACGACATGAAGGCATTGGAGCGCAAGCTCAACGCACCATTCATGATGCCGGTCAACGCCAAGTATCGCGACATGGGCACCATGGTCGATGGCAAGATCGAGGCTGGCGTGGTCAAGAAAGGTATGAGTCTGGTCATGATGCCCCGCAAGCAAGCGGTCGAGGCTGCGGCCATCTACGGCGAGCAGGAGGACGAGATGCAGGTCCTCCAGTGTGGCGATCAGGTGCGGATGAGGCTCAAGGGTATTGAAGAGGAGGACATTCTGCCAGGATTTGTGCTGTGCTCGCCGAAGCGGCTGGTGCATTGCGTGGCCGAGTTTGAAGCCCAGATCCGCATCTTGGAGTTGAAGTCAATCCTGACGTCCGGCTTCAACTGTGTGCTGCACGTTCACTCGGCGATCGAGGAGGTCACGTTCGCGGCTCTCCTGCACAAGCTTCAGAAGGGAACCAACCGGAAGAGCAAGAACCCGCCGACGCACGCCAAAAAGGGAGACAGCATCATTGCCCGCATGCAAGTGATTGGTGGGGCCGGGTCCGTGTGCGTGGAGAAGTTCGAGGACTACCCTCAGATGGGTCGCTTCACTCTGCGAGATCAGGTACGTCCAAACATAATGACGTCGTTTCTTCGGCCATAAGGGGACTACATTGCTGACAACTGAAAAGGGACAAACTATTGCAATCGGCAAGATCACGAAGCTCATTACGGACGAGACGGCTGCCTAAGTGAACGAATAACATGCCGTACCGTTATCTTGCAGACGAATAAATACGCATGGGAGGGACAGCTTGGAAAGGCGGCCCGACGGAATCATGATACGGGTACAGGATAAGCATGAGGGCCAACCAGGCTGACGAGGTGCTTAGCGCTGGCGCACAGGAGTGCAGCCGGGGAGGCGGGAGGCCGCCTGGACGTAACGAAACCGGGACGAACTGTCCCGCAGATACCATGATGACCGCAATGTAGAGGGCAAAGATAAAAGTCATTCCCTGTAACCGGGCGTTTCCATGATGCTATATCCACAGTCGGGCACAGTCGGCGGTGCAGTTATAGACGCGGGCGGAAACCGTGTAAGTGTCTGACCTCGAAACAAGGACATGCTCTGTTGCAGAGCAAGTCGCAGAATGTTCGACTGCGTTGATCCAACATGCTGCAATATGATGAACCCAAAGCGGCCCGGGGAAGGGGCCGCCTCACGAGCAAGACGTGACAGCCTTACCAGCACTCCGCTGGAGACTGCTCACGCTTGCAAGATGGCCGAGGCGGTTCAACTGACGCTGGAACGCGGGTAAAGACGGGTTCCTGAACGCACAGATTTGGTTGTGCGCAGTGATGACACAACTACCTCCTGTGATCGCGCACCCAGCGATCCAAGAGAAGGACGAAAATGAGTCGGGACGACCGAGTGGGCTGCCTGAGGAAAAGACCTTGTTTGCCTTGCCCGAGGCCGAGACGGAGCGGCGCAGGAGTGGATCGTGGCAGTCCGAGTGTGGAGCACGGGTGCGAGGCGGAACTTCGCCGGAGTTGACGAACAGATACGGAAGGTATCCTACGGGGGTGCTCTTTGCAAGGGTGGCTTTCCGGCTTGAGGTTTCAACCCGCGCGGTGACCAGGACTCGGATGGAACGGCAGTGTAGCAAGAGACCGCGCGGCAGGTATGAGAAGAGTCGTCGAGGGATGGTTTCCCATCTGCGCATGAGCTCTCGGCACGTTGGCAAGCAAGATCAGATTTGAAGTCGGGACCCGAGTGGCAGGGCCCGGGTGGTTGGTAGGTGACGGGACGTCATTCTACGCCTGCCCCGTTCGGGTATCCAGCAGTGAGGGCCCAGTACAAGTATTAGCAGAGGGCAGAGACAAGCTGGAGGCACTGCGGGCGCGTTTTGTTGCTTTCTCGCTGAAACATGGCATTGCCACGAATCGGCAGCGAGCAGGTGCTTCCCGCAACGGAACGAGTATTTCATTAATAACGAGAACGGGCTCGACACGTACTAATTGAGGGCGTGCCGATAGCAAGCTGCAGCTTGATGCTTTCAGTCTTGCCAACTCGTCTCCATTCTAGCTGGTAAGCCTTAAGCCGAAGGGTGAGCGCCGGAGAAAGTCGGAGGACGAACGCGGCGGCCAACAGCCAATCAGAGGGCGGGAAATTATGTGCGGCGGGCGGTGCCGCTGAGCCGAGACCTCACGGGGGGGCATTTTTGTCTCGCCCTGGAACGGCGAAGAGGCGTGTCGAGTAGGCGTGGCGAGCCAAGGTACCAGGTAGCTTTTCAATGCATGCAGACGCGCGCGTTGCTGTACCACCTCATGTGCGAGTACCATGCGTCGTCGTGGCTCCTGCGCTGTGGTGTATTCGAGCTTGAGTTCCAGGAGCACCAGCACCAGCGCGCGCAAGCAATAGCGCTTGCACGCGAGGCACCGCGGCCAGTGCAAATTTAGCAGCGTCCCGTCACTATTGCCACAAGCTGTCTAGCGGAATCTGGCGGCACTAAGGCACGGTAGCCACTTGGCCCATGAGATCTCTGCTGGTCATGTGGCCAGCCCGGAAGCTGGGCGGGCTGGGGTACGGTTCTCGGTGGGCGGGCAGTGGCAGATCGCGGGGAACGCTGGGCTCCAGCAGCGGAGGACTCAGGAGTACAGAAGGTACAGTACCTACGGGCCCCGTAGCGGCGTGTCCTGAGCCTGCACTCCACCAACGATCACCGGTGAGCTTTTTGCTGGCCAGGTGACCACAGTCGCGACATGGGCGAATGCCAGACCAGGTTGGATATGACTACAGCATCGTGCCAGACAGGCTAACGACGCAAATGATGACTCCGCTGGATGCAGGGGCTTCATTGACCGTGCTTTATTGCTGCCCGAGCAGACGCAAGCCTGCTGCTAGTACTCCGTAGTAGTATGGGCTTTCACCGGCGGCTGTTGGTGGTGCTTCGTGAGGCCGTCCGTCGTGAAATGTAGGTACTCCATACTGTGCTTCCACAGCGTTGTCCCATCTCGATGCTGTCGTGGCCCACCCCCCGTCCCTTGTCTGGTACCTGCAGACCCGAGAGTGACCGGCCGACCCCCAACGCAGAGGCCGAATCAGACGCTGCGCCCCGAATGGAACATGGTAAAAGACGGGACGGCCGAGCTGATGTGCAATCATGACTTTTGACCAGGTCAAGGGGTTCAGGCTGGGTAAGGGTCTGCAGGAGTAGGTGAGGCCCCGTCCCGTCTCGACGAAAACTGAAGGACAATGATAACTCGAGGCGCATGCACGCCGTCTGTATGGTGGCAAATAGGATGGTCCGGACCGCGGTCAGGAGCCGGGTGGTCGGCAATGATGCTGAGAAGTGACCGGCGATTCTGACCGGGACGCTTCGCGCGCACTCGTCGCTGCGCGGGTGAAGTCAGGGAGATTTCGGACGATTGCCCTGGCCACTGCCGACACGAGATGCATCCGATTCCAGCATCAAGGCGCAAGGCATATAAAAAGAGGCTGCGTCTCGCGGAGAGGCTATTGGGATCTTCTCCGCATTGCAATCGTCGTCTCCTTCGTTGCAATACAGCACTGTACTGCACCTTGCCTTGATAATACAGCACAACCACTTCCCACACAGGACAAGCAACATTGGCGCCACGAGGCTTTCCGCGTGTCGCATCCCCCGATCTCCAACAGCGCCCCGGGGCTCTCACCTCAGCGCCACCCCTCTGCACGGCAAACGTCCCCACGCCCCGTCGCAGACCACCTCCGTCCGGCGGCACGCAGCTTCCACGACACCCATTCGTCCCGCCCGCAGGCAGGGAAAGGGAAAAAAAGGTTTCCACTGAACACCCCGCACCGGGGCTGAAGCCGCTTCGACGACGCCAGCACCCCGCCAACGACGTAAAAGGAACCAGGCTGAGTGGCAGGCTCGTTCCGGTATAAATTCGTGAGCCGTGCTCGTTTTCGACCCAGACATTGAAACCCCACACCCCTCCACCGAGCGTCACCCCCCCTGGTCCGGTCCACAGACTGCAGCCTTCGCCATCGTCACTCTCCGTCACTTGAACTCCTGTGCCCAGGACATTTTGCGTGCCCGATTCTCCCAGGCTTGTCAACGCTGCGCAGAGACAGCACAGATTCTCGCGTCGCATTTACCGATACGACGTACTGCAGGTCGCTAGCAGAAGACCTCGCACGCCCCCCTTTTCCCGCTTACCGTGCCGGCGCAAAAGGATCGAGGAGAGCACACGAGCTTGCCCGTCCAACGCCACGAGCCTCAAACGCCCACTCTCCCGCAACTCCCCTGCCCGGGTTCACAACCTCGGGTCCTCTTTTCTGCTCCCAACTCACACCCCCCTCCCCCCGGCTACCGACGCTGCTACCCACGGCCCCGTTAGCCCCTCCCCCCTGCCCCGTGTCAAGCCCGCAGTGCAACTGGCAAAGCCGAGATCTAGCATTTGTTCCGGTTCCTTGAGTTTAAATACATAACCATGAGGGAGCCCATCGTCAGGACCGCTTCTCCTTACACTGATCCCAACGTTCAAAGCCCACAGTCCAGACTCAAGGCTCGCGGTGGTGATTGCGCAAGAGTACGTCTTTCCTTCATGCCCTCCCCGTCAAAGGCTGCAACATGTGATGGAGCCTGCCTGGCTTGCCTCTTATCACACACACTCGGGTGTCTCCTTCTCGACGTTCTCCTTGATCATGGCTGACATGGCGAGCACCAGTGATTTCCAGCAACGTCAACAAAACTTCCCTCCACCCCGGTGGTGTTCAGTGAGTGCTCCGCGTCGAGTCATACGCCTGGACCCGTCCCCAGTCGACTAACACGATGCCCCTGCAGGCCTCACCGGGAACACACCGAGCTTGGTATGCTCGCCCCGTCTTGCGCAGCATCTGCCCAGTGAAGCTCCAAATCCCTGGCCGAATACTAACAAGTTCGCCCACAGAGGAGGAGCTCCACGAAACGGCGCACATTGACTACGACCGCGTCGCCATTGTGAGTCTTGGTCTCACCCGGAGGTGGCCGCGTGCGGTGCGTTGACATTTTCTGCTCCACAGATCCACAACCCGTCCGTCGCCGCCCTCTACGAAGATGCCCTCGTTTACGAGACCGGCACGGCCATCACCTCCAGCGGTGCCCTGACGGCCTACTCGGGCAAGAAGACCGGCCGATCTCCTCTCGACAAGCGAATTGTCAAGGAGCCCACGTCCGAAGACAACGTCTGGTGAGTCGACTCCTCCCCAGACAGGCAGGCAGACGGGACAGGGCGCGCAGACCCCGGTCGCATGCACCCGTCCCTGTGTCTCGCATTGGGGTGCAAGCTGGCTAACCAAGGCTTTCTGCACAGGTGGGGACCCGTGAACAAGCCCATGTCTCCTGAGGTAGGTCGTCTCGTGTCATTCTTTCTCGTCGCCTTGTTTCCCCCCTCTGCCCCGCATTCTCGGGGGGGCCAGTCACTATGACGCCAATGGGCAGCACACCACGATAATTCGGCGGGCGGGCGGGCGGCCCCAGCGCCCGTCGCTTTGGCCTTGGCCTGCCTGGCTGCCCAAGCTGAAGCTCCGGGCCGGCTGGGGTTCCCGAGCCTGTCACCTGGCTTGAGGGCGTCGTCGTCCAGTCAGCGCCGGTGCCTTGTCCAGAGCCAGTTCGCGCAGCGGCCTGATGGGAATTATCGTGCTGCTCATTGGCGTCGGCGGGCGGCCACTGAAAACCGGTCAACCCCACCCGAGCTGCCCCCCATCCCTTAGCCTCAGCCCGCACCCCATTCCGTTCCCCAGGCCCCCGCCGCAGCCCAGGCCGCCTGGCGAAGCCGAGCTTAAGCGGGCGTGCCGGCGGAGGTCCCCAGGAAGCAGCTGATCCGATCCGCCCCGATCCGATCCGCGACGCTGGCCAGAGAAGGCCCAAAGCTCGCTGCCTGTTTCACATGATGCCGGGGCACGCAGGCACGGCGCACCGGCTGTTGAAGGGCTCCGCGGATGCGCGCCTGATTCGCATGTGCAGCCGCCACCAGTGTTGCCCCGAGCGTCGCACTGCGCCTCTGTCCGGGGGCGCGGGATGACTTCAACGGCGGCCGCCGCGGGCCACGAGCGAATTTCCCTGAATCCCTCAGTTGCAATGAATGAATGCTTGCTTGCTTGATTGCTCCGCTGGAGGCCTCAAAACAAAAATATCGCAGACGCTGACATGGCTGGCTTGACAGGTGTGGAAGATCAACCGCGAGCGTGCCGTCGACTACCTCAACACCCGTAACCGCATCTACGTCGTGGACGGCTATGCCGGCTGGGACGAGAAGTACCGCATCCGCGTCCGTGTCATCTGCGCCCGCGCCTACCATGCCCTGTTCATGAGGAACATGCTCATCCGCCCTCCTCGTGAGGAGCTCGAGCACTTCCACCCCGACTACACCATCTACAATGCCGGCTCCTTCCCCGCCAACCGCTACACCGAGGGCATGACCTCGGCCACCTCGGTGGCCATCAACTTCTCCCAGAAGGAGATGGTCATCCTGGGTACCGAGTACGCCGGCGAGATGAAGAAGGGTGTCTTCACCGTCCTCTTCTACGAGATGCCCATCAAGCACAACGTCCTGACGCTGCACTCGTCCGCCAACGAGGGCAAGAACGGCGACGTCACGCTCTTCTTCGGCCTGTCTGGCACCGGCAAGACGACCCTGTCCGCCGACCCCAACCGTGCCCTCATCGGTGACGACGAGCACTGCTGGAGCGACCGCGGCGTCTTCAACATCGAGGGCGGCTGCTACGCCAAGTGCATTGGCCTGTCTGCCGAGAAGGAGCCCGATATCTACGGCGCCATCCGCTACGGCTCTGTCCTGGAAAACGTCGTCTTTGACCCCGAAACCCGCGAGGTCGACTACGATGACTCTACCCTCACTGAGAACACTCGCTGGTAAGTTGCCTCGTCCCATTCTCATGATAGTCAGAACTGACTCGATCCCAGCGCCTACCCCATCGAATACATCAACAACGCCAAGATCCCCTGCCTGTCCGAGAACATGCCCTCCAACATCATCCTGTTGACCTGCGATGCCCGCGGTGTCCTGCCCCCGATCTCCAAGCTGGACAGTGCCCAGACCATGTTCCACTTCATCTCGGGCTACACCTCCAAGATGGCTGGCACCGAGGACGGCGTCACCGAGCCCCAGGCCACCTTCTCTTCATGCTTCGCCCAGCCCTTCCTGGCGCTGCACCCCATGAAGTACGCCAGGATGCTTGCGGACAAGATCGAGCAGCACAAGGCCAACGCCTGGCTCCTCAACACCGGCTGGGTCGGCGCCGGCTTCGCCCAGGGTGGCAAGCGCTGCCCGCTCAAGTACACTCGCGCCATCCTCGACGCCATCCACAGCGGCGAGCTCGCCAACGTCCAGTACGAGAACTACGACGTCTTCAACCTCCAGGTCCCCACGACCTGCCCCAACGTCCCCGACGAGCTTCTCAACCCCAAGAAGGCTTGGACCGCCGGCACCGAGAGCTTCCAGGCCGAGGTCGTCAAGCTGGGCAAGCTCTTCCGCGAGAACTTCACCAAGTACGAGTCCGAGGCCACCGAGGACGTCGTCAAGGCCGGTCCCGAGGTTTAAGAAGCTGGTTCTTGAGAGCACTCTAGCGTTTGCATTTTCCACGCAGTAGACTTTTACCGCCGCAAACCCACATCTAGTCACCCCTTCCCCCGAGGCGCGCACCTTACCCCTCAAGCCCATCGCTGGGCTGGGCCGTCTCACACAACCCACACAAGGTCTCCCTTGGCCGGGTCTTCTCCTTGTCTTCAAGTTGGTTGGGCGTCATGAATTCTCTATTTAGTTTTCTCACATTTTAACGGGTCTGGATGAACAACAAAGCCATCGCCGTAAGGCACACTCATGCATGGATGGATAAAGAGACGGGATGACAGAGATGAGGGGAGGAAGCATCAAGACATGGAAAGGTGTTTGATGGGGAAAGGAACAAAGATTGTAATGAGGCAGATGAATTGATGTCAGTTTGCCTAAAATTAATCGCTTGGATGATCTACCATATGGCTTTGCTCTTGACCGTTGTAGCCACGTCGACACACACCAGTCTCTCCCCCAGCCGGTCAATGTCGTTATAAACCTTGGTGTGTGCCTAATATATGACTTCACAGAAGGTCAAGCGTGTGCGGCCTGTCCTGTAAGTTCCAAGATACCAGACAGACAATATCACGCGAACATATCCCAGTGACCAACGATCGAATTGTATCCCTCGGGATCATCAAATGCGCATTTATTCCATGTCCCGCCAGTGGCCAATCACCGTCCTGCGGCAACCATGGGTTAACACTGCACGAATGTCTAGGCCCCAAGAAGCACCGGAACGTAGCCCGCTTTGCATAGCGGTTGCGGCGGGTTTCCACGGAACAATAGGTCAACTGGCTAATGCTATACTGGAGGCTCCGGCGTTTTCCCATCACGATATAGTGCGCGTAAGCCGGAGCGGCTCGGCAGTGACATGCAAGACGGCGGTTGGCTCAGCATCAAAGTGCCACCCAGCGATCTGACCGGCGAACCAACCATGTGAAGTCTGACCGCCGAAATAGGAAAACCAACAGGTTATAGGTGATGCCACCGTCTGACCGTCCTGGCCGACCTTGAATGACATCTTCTAGGACCCGTCAATGACACAAACAACACGGAAAGTGACACGAGCTTCGGCATCTTAAACATTATTATGGCAGCCAATTCGAGCGGGGACAGAATGGCCGCAGGTAATCAGGATGCGGGGAATCGTATCAAGAATATCTTATTATTTGAAAGCAAACTCGGGGTATGATCAAACTAGGCACTGTATCATGAAAAAGTACAACTAGATCGCCATGGTATTGAGATTTTGAAAGCCAGCCAAACACCCAGAGCAGCCTTCTCCTTGGACACCGCTCGTCTGACGTTCGCAGCCAGGTCCTGCAACCAATCATCCCGCTCAATAGGTGTAGCGGAAATGCTTGTTCTCCTTGTCGGTCATGTTGGCCCACACCTCGGGGGACATGAACGCTTCCTCCTGCTGCTTGCTCCTGTCATTGCGTCGCTTGTTGGCCCAAACGTAGTACAAGAACAGCGCAAAGGTGGTCAGGGCACATCCAGCCTGTGTACCCATGACAGCCAACTTAGCGGGGCGGAAATCGGGCGCATCCTTGGCCTGGAAAGTCTGAGGGCCGATGATGTTTCCGAGTGAGAATGACCCGCTGACCAGGGCTGCCGCGAAGGCACGCTTCGTACCACCTGCGCAGTTGGCAACGGTCCACTGAATTATGGCGATTAGCATCCAAGATAGCAATGGTAGGCGCAGCATGTACGTACGTTGTAAAAGATGGTCAGGGGCGCGACGACGGCATTGACAAGGTAGATGCCGGCAAGAACGCCTGACCGGTTGGTTTTCGGATTCAAGAAAGACATCAAGGCGCCACCAAGGATCCTGCAAACCGCATTAGTATCGACAGCCTATGGTAAGATGCGCAAGAGACCCAACGTACGCAGGGATGATACACGCAATAATCCACGCCCAGCGGTGGGACTGTTTGCGAATGCCGAATCCGACCAATAGGGTGAAGAAGATGCTGACCGCGCCGGAAGGCATGTTCATCAGAGCTGCCTGCTTCGGCAGATAGCCCAGGTTCTTGATCAGCGTCGCAGAATACGTCGTGACGACACCGCTGGACACGGACAGCAGGACGACGGACAGGATCAGCAGGTAGATCTGGGGGTCCAGGAGCGCCTCGACAATCTCCTTGGCGCGGAACTTCTTGTTGTCGATGCCGGTCTGGTTGACACTGACATGCTTGAGCAGCGCAACCTTCTCGGCGTTGGACAACCAGCGGGCCTTCATGGGTGTGTCGGGGAGGAAGAAGAAAGTGCACAGGCCGAAGACGACCGTCAGGCAGCCAAGCACGACAAACATGATGCGCCAGCCAGCAAGACCCGCGCCGGGCGCAATGTGCTGGAAGCCGTACGAAACGGCGCCGCCGATGATCTGGCCGAGGCCGAGGCCCAGGTACCAGAAGGAGAAGCGAGGGGCCTGTTCGGACTTGGTGTACCACTGGCTGCTGATGAGCATCAGAGAGGGCCCGATGGTGGCCTCAAAGATACCGAGGAAGACGCGGGAGACGAGCAGCGTCTGGTAGTCCTTGGCCGCAGCTCCGCAGGCCGTGGCGACGCCCCAAAACGTGACGTTGAATCCGAGCCACTTGGCGGCAGGGACCTTTTGCAGGAAATAGACTGGAGGGCGGGTGTTAGAACAAGGCAAGTCGGCGTTGCGGGCTGGGCGAGGTTGGTCAAACTCACTGTTGGGGACTTCGAAGCAGAGCAGGCCAACGAAGAGAAAGGTCGCGACGTTGGAGAAGTCGTTGCCCTGTAGGTTCAGATCCTTGTTGAGGCCCATGACTGCGGCGTACTACACGACCAGACTGTCAGCGCGACAGCTCAATTGAGACGCCACTATTCCAGCAGCGTGTCGCGCGCACTAGAGAGACGAAGCGCGGCGATCGCAAAGGGGGTATGGAGCTTTGACGCACATTCAGGATGACCTTGTCGAGGAACTGCATCGTGTAGCAGCAAAACATGAGCGGCACAATGTGCCAGTCAATCTTGTGGCGGAGAGCATTGATATCGATGGCAGCGACGCCGTCGACGTCGACGTCGCGGTGCTCATTGAGGAATTTCCACGCCGCGTCGACCTTGGAGCCACCGCTGGCGGCGTCGGAGTTGACACCGGTAGGCGCTGGGCGGTCGCTCGACGACGATGACAGGCCGGCCTGGCGGACGTCGACGTCGCCGATCTTCTCGTCACCGACGGCGGCCATTGTCGACGGTTCTTGGGCGAAGAGACGCGGGTCGGAATGCACTCGACAGATGAAGAAACGTGCGAGACACGAGCGATGGCGGAGCGAGAGGAAGAAGGACTCAGGGCGGTGCCTGAAATGGCGAAGGATCGGCGTGGGTGGGAATGTGCAAGGACCGCTGCGCTCAAGGACGAACCATGCGGCCAAAGCAGCGCGCCCAAGGGACCAGACGTCTTATCAGCTGCACAGCAGACAGCGGGCGCGCAAGGGTCGAGGCCGGGTCGACGATGCAAGGGCAAGAAAAGAGGCGCAACGGCGACAGAGATCCAGAGCGAGGCGACGGCGCTGAAGAAGGAATTACTCGTCCCAATGTCTCTGATGGCAGCCCCGAGTGACAGGTCCTCGAGGGGAAAGAAACAAAAACGAATCGACCAAAGGGGGAAAGCGGACGGGGGACCGGGCGTTCAAGCCACCTTAAGGTATGGCTGCAACGTCTCGTAGCAGTTTCTCGGCGCAGACCGTGTCCCTGTTGACGGCATCCATGGATGGCTGCGCTGGTGCCGAGAAGGTTAGGTGCTACCTGAGGAGGAAGGCGCTACGCTACGAAGTACGGCAGAGGTACTGGACGGGCGGGCGGCGGGCGGGTCGCCACATCGGCTCTACCTTGCCGTCGACGATGGCTGACCTGGGGGTGTCTTTGCAGCTCCACACTGAGGTGGCCGAGCGGGACGCGGGACCGTGACTGTGGGTGGAATCTCCCACGACTTCGAAGAAAGGATGTGGGTGTGTGGGTGGTGGAACGCCCTCATCAGTGCCGACCGCACCTTGCACGCTCCTGCAAGTACCTGACCAGCACCGCCTGGAAATCGTTGCTTGGCAAGGCACTAACCGCGCCCCCAGTTGATCCCTAAACTGTCTGGGTACTCCCAAACCGCACTTGGCCGCAGAGAGGACGAGCCGCTCTCGCCCCAAGTGTCCCCCGAGACCCGATCCTTGCAGGTAAGTCGTGCCTCTCGCTGGTGGTGATAATGTAGCCCGCAATAAGTTTTCCCCCGAACCTCTCGCGGGCGCGACGGACGTGGCGGCAGGATGGGGTGGCGCGGGAACGGAGCAGCGCCGACCACAGCGCCGTGGAGGGCCTGGGACAGACGTGACTTGCCAGCAGGCGTCTGTGCCCTTGCGCCGTGGCTCCCCACTCGCGCCACGCGGGTGGCATACGTTGCGTCCGTCGACGCACGCCGCTTGGGGGGCGCGTGGTTCATGCTTCCTGCGCTGTCGCGAACCAAGCACTCGGAACAGGAAGGGTGGCCAGCGAGCGACCAAGGTCGACAGACGGGCAAAACAGTCGGGTCAGCAGGCTCGACCTTGGTTTTCCCAGCGCGCGCACGCATGCATGCAGGCAACCAGCACCCTGCGCCATGCAGGCCCCCGGTTGGCCTCCACCCTCAACTTGCACAACGTCAACCTCTTGTCTGCTGCAGGCGTCCCAAAAGCGCAAGGCATGCCGTGGCCCTGGTTGGAGCCGATCTGGCGATTCCGACGGCGGTTGCAGGGGGAGGGGCGCCGTTCGAAACTTGACAGTTGTCCGGGCCGACCGCTGCATCACGGCTGGTTTTGGGTTATTCCTGGGCCGGACGGGCGAAGACGGGAGGGCGGGAAGCCAAGGAGCGAAGTAATTTATCCTGCTGCCCCGGAAAGACGGCGAAAGGATGTCATGTTCACCAAGCCCCAGACGAGACGGGAGCGCGGGCACTGGCCGGCCCAATTTGCCTCGATAAATCCACCAGATCGAGAGATACTGTAGGGGGGATACTACGTGCTGGATGGCCCTGTCTGCGAGCACATACTACGGCGTTACTGCATGGAAAGCGCACCTTCACGATATTATTAGTTGGTGCAAAAGTATCATGTACGTGAGGGCGCAAGCTCAGATCCTCGACTCTTCCTCATCCTCCTCCCCATCCTACGGCCTTGGGCCTCCACCTCTGCCGCACTTGGCGGCGATGCCCTCGAAGTGGCCAGCCAAGCCAGCCCTGACGAAGGGTCCATCCGTCCCCTCCCGCCCACCTCACCGTCCCCACCAACCGCCTGGACCGAGTACCGAGCCCACTGAAGCGCCAGGCCCGCCCGCCCTGTTATCGGCTTCCTTGAGGTGCGCAGCGAAAACCAACCGAGTCCTCCGGCACTTGTTTAAGGTAAGGTCATGACATTCGCGAGCCCCCAGGGCCGTTGGGCCTGTTGGGCGCACGCGCGACAACGATCCAAAACCTGACAGCTCAAGCTCACCTTGGCGTCGATGCAACGCAACGCTCGAGTCGGCCACGCGTCACGGACAGTCTTGTCAGAAAAGGGCGCGCGCGCAACGGCGGCAACTGCCTCCAGCGCCGCTGTGGGCTCAGGCCCCGTCCGTGGCGCCAACACCTGGAGGTCATCTCCCGCGCCACGGGCACCTCCACCACAGAGCTCCAGATGGATCAGATCCCCCATCCTCCAGGGCCCGCCCCGGAGAGACGCAGGCTAAACTCCTGCACCAAGCCCTTTCGTGCCGTGCGGTAATAGCGGCTCAGCATCCACTCTCGTGGATGGCCCGCTCTCGTTCTTCCATACGGACTTCTCGTACGTAACTGGAGGCACTTTGTAACCCAGACGGCTCGCCTGCCGGGTCGATCATCCACTGCCCACCGCGAAACGAAGCTGCTGAGCCTTGCGAGCCCACCCAGCAGTGTCCGATCGAAAGCTTCGATGGCCACTCTGACCTTCTCGAACGGAATGGCAGATAGCCGGCTAGTATCCCACCCCTGCCATCCTCTAGACAGCATCCAGTTGTCATGCTACATCCAAATTTGCGGCCTTGTAGATCGCTGAGGGGAATGGTTGGCGACGAACAATCCGTCTCTGGGGGTGGGTTGCTCTGCTCGGCCTGCTATTTCTCCGGTCGAGGAGCTGTACCCTCTGATGCCAGTCTCGTTTTCTTGCCATATCCAGCAGTATACATGACCGAATGGTTTGGAACAGTATGCTGCCATCGCACATTCCTCATCAAACCGTCCCTGGCCAATTGTCGAAAATAGAGTCCATCCCATGTCACAGTCTGCCTGGTCTAGCCAAGCTTGAGGTGCATACATCCGCGGCGACGGCTTTCCCAAAGATCGTTCGTCCTTCCGGAAAGAAGGCGTGCCGTCCGCCCCTGGCGCGAATCGGACAGCGCCCGGCGCCGCTTCCTACGGCTAACCCGTGGCGCCAGAGGCGAGAGCTTGCTGCAGCCTTGCAAGAGTTCCTCTCGCAGCTCTTCGCGGTGGCGCTTCTGCTCCCAGCTGGCGCCTCAACCCTTGCTTCATTTCCGCGCCGCCGCAAAAACGGCATGCCCCTGATGACGATGGGTTTCTGCCCAGGCTCGGGCGACCTCACCGGCCGCTCCGAAGACGGTATTCAGGCCGCCTGGGTCCATGAATACGAAATACTCACGCCAGGTTGCCGTGCCGGCAGAGCTGGGTGTAGGCCCCTTGATGAGAAATCTACACCATCAAGACCTCGTACGAGATACCCAAACAAGCAATGGGCTCCGTCGTTTCGACTTTGGCAAAATCAATCCTCAGTCGGCTTGATCTGGAGCCCGGAGACTCTTCCCAACGGCTTTGAATACCAAAAGCAGGGCTCTACGGTCGGGGCCTCCGATGACAATTGGCACTCATCTGTTGAGTTTGGGCGTGGCTGTCGTCCGTGACGAAGCCCCTGGCGCGAATATTACCATGCTGAAAATACTCGGATGCAAATCTCAGGCTTCCGCAAGGAACCAATGCGCGCCAACAGGGGCGCAGGGGAACAGTTTACGCACTCTGGCCGCCCACACCCTCACGATAAAACGTTGCCGCCACCAGGGACCCATAGAGTCCAAATCCGTCCAGGGCCTGGTGAGAAATCCAGAGCGTTTAGCCTGCTCCCGTCACGGCACACCAAGGCAAACAAATCCAACAGGCGAGTGTTGAATGCGGCCATCGGCCGCTGCCTCGGAACGATGTAATGCATACAGATCTCGGCTGAGCCCTGTTCACAGCTGGCGTCTAATCAAGAACAGGCAGCGCGTTGGTGGCCACGCAATACTGCACTGATCTCTTGGCCAGGTCCTTCAACTTATCCTCACGGCGCCAGAAACCTGATAGCGACGAAACGGTAATCCAGCGGTGCGTGGCAAGTGAAACCTGTAAGCCGACAACACTCATCTTTCCGGGGGTGGAATGTTGGCTGGTGGTACGAGTCTTGACCACGATGAAAGCTGCTGTGCCGTTTGGTCGGTTAGGTACAACGCAAGAGGTAATTGTCCTTCACGCACTGCAAGGCAAGATACGAAGCACCTGAGCACCCGAGGTAGTTACTTGATCAAAATTGGGGCAAAAATCCCACACAGTCGGCAGTGGATGGGTGGGCTGGGGGGCGGCAGCTTTCCAGCCTGACCGGTCCACTCGTCAGAAGTTTGAACTGCCCACCCAGTCTTGCCAGTGCCGGCGGCCGACAAGAGTGCGTGAACCGGCACCCTTGCAGCCAGAGTCGACGCTATTTACTAGCACCGCACCACTCGACGCCGCTAAACAGATCACCTCCCTGTCCCAGCCCCCCTGTCCAGCGACGTCGATGGTCCCGCCTGGATGACCCTGAGAGTCTCTAACGAAGACGGGCCAAGCGCCGCTGGCAGTTCCGACTTGGACTGCGAATTGAACGTCGTCACAGCCGAAGACCGGCTGCGATGGATGGATGCATGGCATCAGGAACAGCAAAGTCGGCCCAATTGCCTTCCGTGTGCGTAGAACTCGCCTGTCCTACCAAACCCCCCGGCCATGCTGTCCAACACCGAGACTCCACTGAGAAATGGACGCATGCTTCCGAACTTGGCAAGCATTGATGTGCATCAGGTGCTGAGCGAGGGTTTGACGCCGTCTGGCTCCGTTCCATCTGGAAGTTCCTTTTCTTCCGTGGCTGCCATATTGTCCCGCATTGCCACCATGATCCTCCTGTGGCTCCCCTCTGCTCGCGCCCATGTCACCTCGTTTCTTTTGCCCGGTCGTCGTACTCGTGCTAGCTTCAATAAACATGAACAATCCTCTGTGCTTGATGTGACGGCGGCTAAGGCAAGGTGAAAAGGGGGCGATTGCACCATGGATTCGTTTGCCTGTACCAGGCGTAGAGCAAGGCCCGATGCAACTCTACAGCTCAAGCTGCCGTATGTGTACGAACGAACTGCCTCCAGATGGCGCATTCAAAATGCCTCTGAAGGAAGATCGGGAGACACGCCGAGCCACAATTTTGCCCCGGCTGTCTGGCTGGCCAGACACACCCCTCCCCCCTTCCTGGCAGTCGACTGTCTTCACTCTGCTACACGGGGTTGAAGGTAGAAAACTGGTGCATTTCCACTACGTCTCGCTTGGCTTCCTCTCGTCATTCAAAGCAGTCGTTCGTGGCCTTGCGTGAAAAGGTCCCGCTTCAGCGTTCCTTTTCTTTTTCCCAGGCTATTCCTGGCCACGACACTTCCGTCACTACATTCCTTTGGCCAGATCCGATCACCCGCCCACCCCCGCGAAGGGGTTTCATCCCAGCCTCACCTGTCAATTTTGCTTTTTCTTGCTCCCTTGGTTCGTCCAAGCGCTGCGGTTTGTGCGTTCGATAGAGAAGTGCCGACGCGGAAAGGCGATATAGATCACCAGAACCTCGGATCGGTTTCTGTCTCCCGACTTCGCCAGCTGCCGAGACCATCTATCGAGCATACCTTGGGACATTTTCTGCAGCGCCAGCTTGACGTCAATTGCTTGAGCATTCAACGCAATGGGCTGGGTTGACAACGCGACCCCTGAGGTCGAGAGTCTGTCGCAATACCCCACAATCATCGCTATCTGCGTGGTTCTCTCCATCCTCTCCATCACAGTTGTCGGCGCCCGGCTATGGGTTCGTGCGACAGCTCGCGGTTTGGCCAGTGACGACTGGATGGCCGCACTGTCCATGGTCTTCGCGCTTATCTACTCCATTCTTTGCATCATCCGTATGTTCTGCCGGCTCACAGTCACCAGAACACGGCGAGTTGCTGACAAACTACTTTAGAGACGAAGTATGGCCTTGGCTTGCCTGTCAAGGCTCGGCCAAAGGCGAACCTCATCCCGTACACCCGCGTCAACTTTGCAGGGCGACCAATCTACCAAATCGGCATCAGCTTCTTCAAGATCGCCTTGTTGATAAGCTATCTTCGTCTACTGAAGGGAACAGATCAAAAAACTTATCGTCTCGTCGTTTGGATCACCATTGGGCTCGTCTTGGCTGCCCACCTTGGATGTGCCCTCTCCCTTATCTTCGCCTGTTCGCCAGTCGACAAGTCGTGGAATCCTCTGAAGGCTGGAACATGCCTGGCACCCGGTCCTTCTTTTACTGGATACGCAGTCGTTACAATTGTCTCCGATATTGTCGTGGCGATTCTACCGATTCCGGTTCTGCTTAAGCTCAACGTGCGCCTGGAGAAGAAGCTGGGCCTTATCGGCATTTTCATGCTGGGCCTCTTCACCACTATCTGCTCCATCCTCCGATACCTTCAAATCAACCGTATTCAGTACGGTGACGGCAATTCAACCATGCTAGTCCTTTGGGGCACAATCGAGTTTAACGTGGGCGTAAGTCGGAGAATAAAGACCTGGTAATCTGTGCAGGCCTGCTAACCCTGAATCTTGCAGAACATGGTATCCTCTCTACCGTTCCTCGCCCCGGTGTTCATGAAGAAAGCCAGGGAGTACCGATCCAAGCACTCAGGCCAAGGATACGGCTCGTCACACCGCATGAGCCGGAGTCGAGGCCACAAAAACGGCGACCATTACCAGCTAAGCGACGTCAGCAACGACAAGAGTGTTTTTGCGTCTACGAACAAATCAGGCAGCGAAGAGAACATTTTGCAACAAGGAGCGATTGTGAAATCCGTCACGTACAGCGTCCAGGTCGACGAGGAAGCGGATGGCCAAGGAACACGTCGGCGCAACGACTCGGGGTCCAACGTCTGAAGCCCTGGGTTTGGCGGGATTTTGTTTTTATTGGGGCTTGCACGTATAAATGCGGTAACGGCCGAGAGCTTAGTTCTTTTCGAGCGAACCCGGCGACGGTTCTGGTTGAAAGCTTGCATATGTTAGTCAATTGTGTAGATACGCCTGATGCCTTGGATGGGCAAGAAGACTGGGTTTGAGGGCACCCTGGAAGCTTTGGGCAAGCTGAATAAAAGTACATTTTGCAGTGCTGCAGCTCTACGACGACGGGATGCCATCAATCGCTTTACCACCAATACTTCGCAGAGAGGTCCAGAATATCGCCTGAGCCACGATATGGTAGCCAAAGCGTGAGATGCACCACCACAGTGCTGGTATTGGCATCGGCGCCAGTCTGTGCTGAAGAATCTGGGGTGGCGCCCCGATCGGAGCGAACCAACACACTCCTGGCCTTGCAGCGACGAGTCAATTTTCGCCCCCAAGATGGGTCGGGGGCACAAGTCTCCGTACCTTCGCACAGACACGCTGATCCGGGAGCCAGGCGCAGACGCGGGCCAGCAGCCCAGGCGCCGGGGAAGCACGCCCGGTGCCCAGAGACTGCTTGGGTGAACGACCCTGGTCAGGGCCTGCATGCGCTTTGCACCATTCAACCAAATCGCTTAGGGCATGCCGTTAATATACCTCAACCGTTAAGGCGCCGCCGCCGTCAGTGTTCACTGGTGGCATTGAATCGGTGGCGCTTGCACATCAAACCCCTCCTACAGGGAGGTGTTGGAGGCTGGGCCGGATGTGGTTTCGCGATGGTCACTAACGCCACGAGTCTGGCCCGGAGCCCTGTTCATCTCGGATGCTTCGTGTCGGAAGGGTCTAGACTTTGCACCACGAAGCGTTTCTCTACCATGTTACTGTGTAATACTTGCCCCAAACATGACCCGGCAGGTTCAATCTTGTCCCCTCCTGTCGCTTACTTTATGTAGCTGCCGCCAAGGCCAGGGATCCCCCTGTTTGGGCTGTAAGTCATACTGGGATGCCAGGGGCTGCGACTCGGTCAACTCTATTCCCCCGGGGCGTCATTGTGCATTGACATATGTTCCTACTCGAAGAGTATCCTGTCATTCTCCTCGTCGTATGAGATGTTCATCTGACGCTTGCAAAGTAGTGGGCTCTCAGGCCGACATCGAGTCCAGTCGTGAGCATCCAAGCAGGCTCGTCGGGATGCCAACACCCCAGGCCGGGCCCTGTCTACCGCTGCCGCCTCATACCGGTCTAATGCCTGCCGCAGGCTTCGATCCCGGTCCTGCCCTCTCGTTCCCTGAAATTGTGAGTCGTATGTGGCGTCACTACCAGAGCTTTCGTTCTGTGGTTGACTGGCGTCGTTGCAAAGGAAAGGTGTTACAAGACGAGCAAAGTCTTGGACGTCAACAATGGCGTGATTGGCACCTTCTCCGCGATCTGAAACGTGTCAACAATTTGCACGTAGCATTGACGTGCCCAGCTGAAACGGTTCGTCGTCATGCGAGAGCGACTTACACATGACCATGTGATGAAGTGCGTCGCCCATGAGCAATACCGAGCCTGTGGAGCGGAATCCGTAAGGCGGAGCCCAGTCCTGCATATCGACGTGCTTGATCTCAGTATCATCAGGAATGCCCTGGAAGATGGAGCGGAAGGGCTCGGCCCATGTTTGAGCAAGCTTCTGAACCAGTCGGTGCCGGTCTTGATTGGACTCGGGTACGTCGAGAGGAGATACCATGCCAAGAAAGCCCTTTCTATATGGCCAGGAGACGCAGATCTGCAACACATACGGGCCTGAGCCGTCTGCGCTGTTCCCTGGGGCGTCGAGAACTGTCCAAGTAGCCATGTCAAAATCACTGCCTGCGCAGTCGAATGTCAAGCCGGGAATACCTACCGCTACAAAACAGAAAGCTGTCGTTTGCTGACGAGCATCCCTGGAGGAAGAAGGGGTCGAGTTTCCGCAACGGCGCAATCTGCTCTGGTGACAAGTCCAGTTTCAGGCCCATGACGCGCACTGGGATCTTTACCCGATGCTGCTGGTCAAGCGCCGGCTCCATTGCCCGGCGGACACGAGAGCTGCCTCCATCACAGGCAACTAAAAGACTGCCGACGCAAGTTGTGCCGTCCTCGAACGAAACCGTGACGGACGATGTGCCAGTGTTTGGGTCGCTGGTCTCGTAAAGGTCACGGAAGGACCTGCCCCACTAAATTGCCATCAAGCAGAACCGGCAGGTCAACTTACACGATCTCATTCTTCCCAAGACACGCCATACGACATGTCGCGCTGCAATATCATCAGGGATCAGATCAATGCACATACCTCGATGTCTATCCCCGTAGCAAGGAGCTTGCGAAGCTTTTCCCTGGTCACGCGCACCCTCAGTGCGTGCGGGATCTCTGGCGTTGCCGCCTTCCTCTCCCCCGTGCTCAGATCGTAGAAGGGAAACCGCGACGACAATCCAGCTTCGACACCTTTCCGATCCACGTAGGTTTCTTCGAGCTTGGCGAATGCCTCCTCACCCAGGAGCTCGCGCGCGGCCGACAGCGCCCAATGCAAAGTCAGACCCCAGCCGACACCGCGGGTTGCGAAGTCATTGTCGCGCTCGAATATTCGGAAGCGAATGCCCTGGCGCAGAAGGTGCTGGGCGAGGAGTAGTCCCGAAATTCCAGCGCCTATAATAATCACCGGAAGCTGAGGACCGGCAGAAGTGATGTTCTTCGCCATCACGTTGGGGATAGAGGTGTCACAGTGCCTTGTTGAGGGCCTCAGTCAGTAGCACAACGAGCGTGTATTAATACGGCGAGTTGGAGGGACCTTTATGGGCCCTTTTGGCGCGCTGCCACTGCGTACGGAGCTCTCTGGTGCTGGCTAGCGTGGCCTCCTGGGCGGATTCTTCCAAAGATAGGTAGTGACGACGAGAAGGCCGCGGGTGCCCTGACCACGTGTGGGTTGATGCGGCAGGCCCGGTCACCGCTGATTTCAGCCAACGACACCGGCAAGAATTTTGTTTAGCTGTTAGTGTATATGCTTGACTCTTGGAAATCGCAAAAGGCAGACTCCCGGCTGTCTTCGTGAGCGTCCCTGTGAATCTAACGTACTCCTCAGACTCCGGCCCGAACCCACCACTGCGGGACGTCGTGCCACCTTCGGACCTGACCAAATCATCCATCAATGTGCAGGGTGCCCACAAGCATCCTCCAAGCTAAAACTCGAAAGGAAATTGCGATTTCCGGGCCGAACGCGCCAAGGCAGATCCTTTGGGGAGCGGGTTCAGGGCGCGGCAAAGAGACAAGGTTGGGCGGAATCGTACCATTGCGAAGCCAAGTAAGGCGCGGGAGCTAGTATTGCAGACTCGACTCTGGAGCACCATCCGTCGCTTCACCAAGGCCCCTGATCCCTGCTTTTCTTTGCTCGCCACAGGTTCCCAGGTGTGCTCTGCCCTTCACAATGCAGGTCCTCTGTGGTCCTTCGTCACCGGATGGTGGCGCCCGAAGCTCTTCGCCATCGTCTCTTGGCGCTTTTCACTACCTTCCTTGCCTGCCCATCTGCCGTGTCCACTTACCCGCAATGCCCCGAGAGAACCCACAGATTACGTTAGTGGTACTTCGAAGTCCACGCCTGGTTTTGCGGCGGCCTTGGGAATCTTGGGAATCTTGGGATGCTGCAAAGAACATTTAGCTCTCATCCCTCGAAACGAAAGGCCCTGTAGCACGCAGGTTCGGAGCGCTGTCGTCCAATCTGAGTTGGCATGTAACAGAGCAGGACAGAGGACCAGCTGGCCACTGGGCCGGCATTGAAGCGATGGTGGGTGGTAGACATCACGCCTTCTCCCAGCTTCAGAGATAAAGACAGTGGACCGTGAGTGTTCACTCGCCTGCCGAGGGGCTAAGAACAAGCTGCGAAGGGCAATTACCCATTTTAGCCGCCCAGATTGTTGTGCATCTGCGTTGTTGGAAGGTCCATGCCGGGCGCCGAGTTAGGGCTCCCGCGGAGTTGTGCCACAAAATGCTGGTTGCTGCCGCTGGCCTGTGGATCTTCAAGTCGTCAACACCTGCTGCAAGACAGAGCGCTAGCTCCAGGGGCTGGCTCATTCATGCCACCCGGCCTGCTTACAAGTGGAAGTTGTATCAGAGTCTTTCCTACTATGCACATTCCCCTGATCGCCTGATGCTTGAACCGCTGCCGGGAGTTCGGCTCCAGGCCAGGATAACCATTCGCGAGCTCAAGCCCTTTCTGTAATACTTTCCGCTCGATCTTGACACAAATGAGCCGGCAGGCTCACGGACGATTCCCCACCGCATTGATACGACCAACACTCAGAGCCTGTCACAGTGCGTATCCTCTGATCAGGTGCGGTGCATCGCCGATGAGTTTACGACCAGGCACGGGGAACAAACATCACAAAGGGTGTCTCAATCGCCCTGTCTTCGAAGCGGCACGGAATGGCAGCTGATCCATCACTGCAACTAAACGTTTAGGTTGAGATGTTGCGTGGGCGGTTCGAGTTTTGCCACGACTTTCTCTTGAAGGACTCGTTACTGATGCAAGCACACATTATCACGGCGCATGTGATTTGTCTATCACTTTGTCCATTCTAGACCAGGGTCATTTGCAGATGCCAATCATACGTGCACAGGAAGCGGCAACACAGGTTGTCGCTAAAAATCTCAATTCATTTTTCATGCCCTGAAACCTGCAACACCGTGAACCCGAAATCCCAATGCATCAAGGATGGATATTAGACAGCTTAAATCCTGGTGGCAGCCTCCAGAGCCTTCTGCTTCTTGAGCGTGCGCATCTGGGCCTTAGCGCCCATGATGCCACCACCCCACTGTCTCCGGGCCTGGTCGTGCTTGTCCATGAAGCCATCCTTGACGGCGGAAACCAGCTTGGACAGCTCGTTCTTGTCCTCGGAACGAACCTCGGTGACGGCCAGGACAGCGGCAGTCTAATATTCAGTCAGCATTCAGCTCGCAAGCTATTGAAAAGGACCATGACTGACCTTCTTGTGGACAACAGTGCCCAGACGAGCCTTGCCCTTGACGATGGCATAGGGGACGCCCATCTTCTTGCACAGAGAAGGCAGGAAGACGACCAGCTCAATGGGGTCGACGTCGTTGGGGATCAGGACCAGCGAGGCCTTCTTGTTCTCAATGAGGCCGACGACGTGGTTCAGGCCGTACTTGACAGTGTAGGGCTTCTTGCTGACGTCCTCCTTCTTCTTGCCCTCCTTGACAGCGGTAGCCTCCTTCAGGAGACGCTCCTTCTTCTCGGTCTTGGTCTCGGGGCGGTACTTGTTGAGGAGCTTGAAGGCCTGGGCGGCGGTGTTGCGGTCGAGGACGTGCTGGAACTGGGCCAGGGAGGGAGGGACCTTCAGGCGCATCTGGAGGATCTTCTTCTGGCGCTGGAGGCGGACATACTCGGGCCACTTAACCATGCGCGAGAGGTTACGCTTGGGCTGGATGTCCTGGCCGATGCCGAAGTTTCGCGGGCGCTTCTCGATGAGAGGGTTCTGTGGCCGCCCAGTCAGTTCAGGAACGGGAAACACACCGGAGAAAGCAGATGCACAAACCTTGGGAGCCTTCTTCGAGCCAGCCTTTCCCTGAGGGAAAGGGGCCGGGGCCACCTTCTTTCCGGATTTGGGGGGCTGTCATTGAGAAAAGAAGACATCAGCGAGTTGCTCGAGCCAACAAGTCTTCTTTGAACTCTAATGAGAGCACGGCGTGGCATATTTCAGCTCATCGTCGCGTCTCCAGCCAAGTCTTCACCTGGGCCGCGAGCGGCTCACAGGCGGAATTCCAACGGGTCGCCAGCGACACTGTGGAAAGTAATTGCGCTTTCGCACAATTGACTCACGAGCTGTGGCCATTAGAGTCGTGATGACTAGGAACTTACCATCTTGTTCCTCGGGCGGCGGTGCTCGGTCGTCTGGAGCAATGTGGTTGATGCCGGAGCGTAGGATGGTTGGGAGAAACAAGAAAAGATCGTTTTCTGGTGGTGGGCGAAAAATTAGGGCTCGGTTTTTCGAGAGGCTAGCAGTTGTGCCCCACACGTGGCTAGTGCCGACGTCGTGGCTCCAGGATGTGGCTGAGCACCCATTCTGGCTTTTGAGGTCACGTGGTCGTTACCAACATCCCGCCGGGGTTTGGTTTGCTGGGACAGAGCGTTTCATTGTGTAAGACTTTGCCGGGGTACAACGTAACGACTCACAACATATGCACCATCTGTCTGCTTTACCTGGTCCTCAACTCACACCGTCAACTGGATCTCAACTCAACGAGTACCCTCGATACCCCAACCAGCCTTTGGTGGGTACGCGTCACTTTATTCGAGGACCACAGACAGCGTGCAAGACTCGGTTCACAGAATGCCACCCACGCCTTGCGTCCGCTGCCAGACCAATAGGGCTGTTGTCAAAAGACCAAAGAATCACCACAAATTATGTCGAGAGTGTTTTCTCGCCGTTTTTGAGAATGAGGTGCACCACACCATTGTCACCTCGAAGCTCTTCTACCCTGGTGAGAGAGTTGCCATTGGAGCATCTGGCGGCAAAGATTCCACAGTCCTGGCGTCCGTTCTCAAAACTCTGAATGAACGGCATCACTACGGACTGGATCTTGTCCTGCTCAGCGTCGACGAAGGCATCAAAGGATACCGCGATGATTCGCTGGAGACGGTGAAGAGAAATGCCCGCCAGTATGACATGCCCCTAAAGATTGTTGGTTACGACGAATTGTATGGATGGACAATGGACCAGGTCGTGGATACCATTGGCAAGAAGGGAAATTGCACATACTGCGGTGTGTTTCGTCGGCAGGCGCTCGACAGAGGTGCCAAGATGTTGGAGATCAAGCATGTCGTCACGGGACACAACGCCGACGATGTCGCCGAGACTGTGCTGATGAATCTACTCCGAGGAGACCTGCCACGACTGTCTCGGAGTACCAGCATAGTCACGGGGAGCTCGTCTAGCGAGGTCAAGAGGAGCAAGCCACTCAAATACGCGTACGAGAAGGAGATCGTTCTGTACGCGCATCACAAGAAGCTCGACTACTTCAGCACTGAATGCATATACAGCCCAGAAGCATTCCGAGGAACAGCAAGGAGCTTGATAAAAAGTCTGGAAAGAGTTCGACCAAGCGCAATACTTGATATTGTCCGGAGTGGGGAGGACATGGCCAGGCTCACGCCGAACAAGGACCAGGACCCTTGTGCATGCGACGAGGGTGAAGGCATGGGAGGTTGCGGATCGGCCGCGGGTCGCAAAGCGCCAATGTCGTTGCCGCCTAAAGAGTTGAACTCTACCAAGCAAGGCCAACTAGAAGGCCTTGAAACAGAAATAACCCGTGACGGACAGCCGAAGTCGGCAGCAGCATTACAGCTTCCAGTCAGGAATCGCCGAACCAAGGACCGCTCTTCTGGACAGATTCAAACTTTGGGGCATTGTGTACGGTGTGGCTACATGTCAAGCCAAGACGTGTGCCAGGCGTGTACACTCCTCGAGAATCTGAATAAGAACCGGGCAGATATTGCCATCTGAATGGAAACATTGAGCCAGGAGTTGGCTTTCGGGATTGCCATTTCTAGCCCTGAATGCGCCATTGTGCACAGAAGTAGACCTCTTCCGTACTGTCGGTCATCCTTGCGAACAGGATATCCCTGAAGTTATATATACAGGTGTGTTCCATAGCATCGAATATGGTTTGCCCGACTTCTCAGGAAAAGCGCTTCTCCATCTGTGCAAAGGTCAGCCGGTCAATCCAAAGAGCAATTGGAATGCTTGGAACGCACTTTCCAACCATTGCTGAACTCAAAACCCAACGGCGCCTCTGGTTGATTTGTCTGTCCTCGCAATGTTCCAGTGAGTCGGCGATCGCGCTCCATCACTGCGGTGTCTGTGTCAATCTCTCGCCGGTTCACAATCGTACGCATTGAGCGCAAGGCAGCATCTTACTTTGCTACAGGTGTTGTTAGCTAATTGACGCGCATGCATGCGGGGAGGCACCAAAACTGACCTTATCCCATTGATCAAGGGAATATCGCGGGCGCTTGCCCTCGTTCCTCCATGTCTTCACGGCTGCAAGACCTGTGCCCGTCACGCCAAACATCTGCACATCGATCAGCCATTATATCCAAGCCTATATCGGTTCTCTTTGTCGGGCGACTTACGCCAATCATGATGGCGTAGGGCAACAGGGTCTCGAATGGAACCGGCATCGTGGCGGCGAGCCGGCAAAGCGGGCTTTGACGGGAAAGAGGATTTGGAATCGGCGGTGGTATCTACGCTGTAGCCAGCTGCTATTGAAGCCGTAGCCAGCTGCTGTGATGCGTTGTCGAATGATGGACCGGCGCAGACCTAAATGCTGCTGCGCTTGGTTGTCGCGAGAGTTGAATGTGGAAGTCAGAGACAGGCAAATGGTTGGATGCCTGAGGCCGGAGGCCCGAGGGGCCCACCTTCGCGACTAGCCAGTAAACCTGATGCACCTCGCACTGTGCGGCTAGCAAATCTTTGTGGGGCATCGGCGTCAGGACGCGCGCGCGCACTGTAGCAACGTTGGGTCCCGGCTCGCATGCTTGCCGTGATCGAAACGCGACAGCTGGTCCTCCGATCCGCGGCGTCGCCATAGTCACAGGCTCTGTCTCGTTCAGCGCGTCGCATGCAATCGCGCGGTAAGATACATCACACGGCCTTTGTATTTATGTCTTTTTTCCGCCCAGCTAACCGTCTGTCAAGACCAGGCGTCTTCCCCTCGCGTGGTTGTCGAGCCGCGTCTCGCATGTCACCATGCTGGCACCTTGAGAATCGACTGAACCGATCCATCGCAACGCTCGTTTGAACCGGAATGACAACGCTGTATTCACTCAACTGTCTGCGAAGCGATTTTCAACATGACGAGCGCGCAAGCGATGGAAGAGGAGCTCCAGCAGAGCGTTTTGCTCTCCGAGGAAGCAGGATACGATACAGCAGACAGTGCGCTGGCCAGCGACAGCAAAGCAGCCATACAAGATGCACTGGCTGATGGCGTCACGGACATCTCCGGAGGCGGCCGCAGTGGCCTGGACGAAGACCTAAACGACCGCGACGCGTCTGGCGAAGAGCTTGACCAGGATGCATCTGGGGAGGAAGACACCGACCCACTCGCTCGCCAAATCGTTGTCGGCGATGTTGTCGATGACGACGAAGAGGGGGATGACGATGACGATGAGAATGAGGATCCGGACGCGGATGCGGATCCCGACGAGGATCCCGACGAGGATGTCGACGATGACGCGGAAGGCGAAGACGAGGATCCCGATGAAGGGGTGGGAGCCGTCAAGATTCGCCCTGGAGAATCTGATGACGAAGATGTCGATGGCGACGACGACGAAGACGACAACGATGCAGAGAGCGACGTTTCAGACCTCCCGAGCGCGGCAGATGAGGACTCTGATGAAGAGGCGCCAGCCTGGGAAGACGCAAACGAGGTGGGAGAGGACGAAGAGTCTGACACTGCTCCATCAAATACTTGCGTGTTTTGCAAGCAAGACGAAGAAGACGACCCCAGCGAGGACTTCGAGGCATTTCTTACCTGCGCGAGCTGCGGCGAAAACGGTACGTCGGTTCCTCACCGACATAATAACAGGACAGTGCCACTGACTGCTTCAGCGCACCAACAATGTGCTCGTGATGCAGCAGCAATGAGCGAACAAAACAGTAAGCAGCTTCTCAACTCTCTTGCATCGAGGGTTTTGCTAATCTTGCCCAGCACCTCATCGGTGGAAATGCCCCGAGTGTTTTACCGCTGAGTCCGACTTGAACGACGAAGATGTTGATATGAAAGACGGCATCAGCGCGGACGGCCTCGAGCTGTCTGCGTCACAGCGTTCAGAAGGCGAAGAGCAGCAAAACGCACCCAGTGCCCCCGTCAAACGATCCACTTCACCACAAGAAACTATGAACGACGACTCAACCGACGGCTCCCGAATGCTGAGGAAGAGAAAGACATCCTCTTCCGAGCCAGAGGAGGAGGTTGTGGCGTCGAGGAAGCGGCGGAGACATCCCTCTATTGAGGCTGCGATTCAAGAAAGCGGCTCTGTCTACCAATCCGGCGAAGGAAGTAGGGCCTCGAGGACCTTGCGTCTCAAAGTTCAGCCTCCTCCACCCGTTACCGTCGTGAAGCGGTCTCGCACCTCGTTGGTCGTCAAGATTGAAGTACGGCCTGGGAATCTCAAGGAAATCTTGTCTCGCAAGAAGCGCGATAGGCGGCGTACTGGCGGGGCAACAGCTACCGCGGGTGCGAAGCCAGCCCCTGTCTCACGATCAACCCCTGCGCGGCCAGCAGCAGTCCCGACCCCAATCAGCTCCCTACCCACGCCTTTCACATCAGACTTATACTCCCAGCCCTTTTATTCTTTCTTCGACAAGGAAACGGATGACGCAAAGGGAAGGCCTTACGGCGGTATTCTTACGGAAACGGAAGCGGATACGTCGAAGACACTGCCAACTCCCGATGATCGCAAGAGATTTGACCAAGCAAAGCAGAAAGCCGAGGATGAGTGGCGGGCTCGCATCCTCGCAATGCAGGCAGAGGCTGAACTGCCAGTGCGGAAATCCAAGAAGTCGAGCGACAACGCAAGCCAAATCGAATGTATCGAGTTTGGCGGGTGGGAAATCGACACATGGTATGCGGCACCGTACCCGGCAGAGTACAGCAGAAATCGTGTCCTCTACATCTGCGAGTTCTGCCTGAAGTACATGAATTCGGATTATGTCGCATGGCGACACAAGCTCAAATGCGCCACGAAACACCCGCCTGGGGACGAGATTTACCGCCACGGTTCAGTATCAATCTTCGAAGTGGACGGCCGAAAGCACCCAGTCTACTGTCAGAACCTCTGTCTCCTGGCGAAACTCTTTCTCGGGTCGAAGACATTATACTACGATGTGGAGCCTTTTCTGTTCTACATCCTCTGTGAATACGACGACTGCGGCTACCACTTTGTGGGCTATTTCTCCAAGGAAAAGCGCGCCAGTAGCCAGAACAACGTGTCATGTATCCTGACACTACCCATCCACCAAAGGAAGGGCTACGGCAACTTGCTCATTGACTTCTCATACCTTTTGACCAAGGTGGAACAGAAGACTGGTTCTCCGGAAAAGCCCTTGTCGGACATGGGGCTCGTTTCGTATCGCAACTACTGGCGCCTCGAGCTCTGTCGATACTTCTTGAACCTGGTGGAGGCCGGCAAACACCATTCCGACGGCTTGAGCGTCAAACAAATATCTGATGATACAGGCATGACCGCCGACGACGTTGTGTCTGCCCTGGAAGGTCTTCGGGCCCTGGTGAGGGATCCGCAGACTCAATTGTACGCCTTTCGCGTCGATCTCGACTACTGCAGACACTACGTGGCCAAGTGGGCATCAAAAGGCTACGTGACGTTGAAGCCGGAAGCACTCGCCTGGACTCCATATGTCATGGGCCGAAGCAACGCCGTCAATTTTGAACTTGGCCCACCCATCAGTACTATCGCACCACGCGAGGAGGATGAGGCCAAGCTCCAAGAGGGACACAATATTGCTAGCGCAGAAGGGCGTTCTCTGACAAACGGGCACAGCCAGAGTGCTTCCAAGGAGCCCTCCACCGTTGTCAGTGAGGCAGACATGGCGCTGGATGGCTCAGAGCACACTGCGTCTTCTGACAAGCCCACGTCCGAGGACAAGGAGAATGCGGAGCCGGCTGACAAGGCTGTGGAGGAAGCCGCTGCAGAATCACAGTCATGGTCAGAACCTTACAAGGACATACCTGCAAGTCGGTTCGAGGTATTCCCACCTGTAACAGCCAGTCGACGAGCCGATCGGTCGCGCCAAAGCGTGAGTCGGCCTGCCCCACCTCGACCTCCCACGAGCTCGTCACGGCCGAAACGTTCTAGTGGTAGCGCCCGTCGACCGACAGCAAGCCGACCAAGCCGGCCCAAGACCAGTAGCAGCGGCGCACGGCGGAAATCTGGCGGCACTGGACGCGGACCAGGCCGCTGGCCCAAGGGGACCAAGAAGTCTGACTACGGCAACGCTGACAGTGGACCTGGTCTCCCTCCCGGATGGCTGGAGAGGCAGGCCCGTATGCGCGCCGAGGTTGAGGCTAGGAGACTTGACACTGATCGAGGCCGCACAGATAAGCCCGCAAAGGAAGAAGTGCAAGTCGTTGTGGCGAGCAGCAAACCTCCCATTGGCAGCGGCAACGGGGCTCCCGACCAAGAAGATGTCGATGCGGAGGGTGAAGACGAGTAGATGGGTCATTGTTCATGTCAGGATGATACCGGGTTCAGTTTTGGTACAGGGTTCCAGACCCTGTTTTTTCAGAGGCATGCGATGTCAACAATGACTGTGGGAGCTATCAACGATCTGTAGGATTAGTGCGATACAATTTTGATACCAAAAGGGACTTGGTCTCCCTGTTCAAATTACCACCCGCGCTCCCCTTCCGCCTCGGTTTGGCGTCAGTGGGTGGACAGGGGCATCGTTCATACCTCAAAGTGATTCAGAAACACAGAGTCGTCGTGTCAAGACTGGGGATAGCATTGACGCAGGGTCATGGCCGCCACGACCATTGGAGTGGTGGGCCAGAGCGCAGCCCCCTCGCTCAAGTTCTCGCCGCTTGGGTTTTGAAGGAACTACCTCCATGTTTGCTGAGTATTGCCCATTTATCGCTATCGTGTATTCGTGTCCGAGTCCAAGAGCGAGGTCCAAGGGCATTAGTCTTGCCTACGTTAATGTGTGAGATGGTAGTGTTCAGGTCAAACGTCACGGCGTGCTAAAGAGCCTGTCGAAAGACATTGTGAGGTATAGCTCTTCGATCAACGGAAGACACAAGCACATCTCCATTCCACTATGTTTGCCAGAAATCCCTCGTTAATAGACGCCACGATTGGTGCAAATGTGATGCAGTAGCTCTGCGTGGGCAAAACAAGGCCTCGTGGGCTCTTGCTTAAGCGTACAAGCACATTAATGCAGGGATGCAAACGTCCATCCAACCGGCAATCCCACTCCGAGCCGCGCTCTGTGTGTCCCAGTCTCCCTCAATTCGTCAGCATGGCGCTGATCCATGTTACGATCCCACGGCCCGGGAGAGGCAAGTGCTTACCACACCACCATATAGGTCATCTAGCGGAATAGAACGGCAGTCACAAAATGGAGTGGCAGTTGACAATAAAAGCACGTTCACGGTCTCTCATAAAAGCTGGAGACTGTAGCCCGAAATCTCCAAAAAAAAAAAAAAAAAAAAACCTGTGTATCAAGCCGCCGCCGCCGCTCAGTGCCAACTCCCAGCCTATCCGGCCCAAAATCTCGGAACTCGAGAATCCACTCACCTAGTAAAAATGAGTGGCAATGCAGGAGAACCAATGCACCAGCTACCGCCCGCCCGGCTTGTTCGAACGTCGCACACGGAGGATGGCAAGTCCATCATTTCTTCGGACTCCGACATGCCATCATTCAGTCCTTTTGGACCTCAGGGCAGCTCATTCGCCGTATTCGACGTCCGTAATAGTATCCCCGTCACCAACACCGACCCCATCTCGTCATTTAGCAACACGCTCCCCCGGTGCTCGCAAGGTGGTTCCGTCTTTTGCATCACCGATATCAAGCCAGGTGGCCGTGCGCCCATGCACCGCACGCAGAGCATTGACTACTGCATCGTTCTGTCGGGCGAGATAGTCATTCAACTGGACGGTGGGGAGCAGAGAACGGTTCGGTCTGGGGAGTTTATCGTGCAGCAGGGCGTGAACCACCAGTGGATCAACGAGGCGCAAGAAACATGTCGGATCGCTTTCGTCATGTTGGGTGCACAGGAGATTGTCCTCTCTGATGGGTTGGCTCTCGAGGAGGCGGTTTTCCAGGGCCAGAAATGATGTTCATAGACGTGGGTGTTGTGTCTGTGACCATCGCGCTGTACATCCTGACGGTTCATCAGTTTGGGGGTGGTTACTCTTGCACAGGGTCAGAGAAAGCCGTTATCATTATCGTTTTTCGAGCAACCGGTGAGCTCGGTCCAGAATGTCCTGAAGTGTGACGAGGATGATCGGGCATCCAAATGGCTTCGTGCATGTAGCGCCCTCTCAATGGCTCTCTTCTCGCCGCTCGGCGTCTCCTTGGGACTCCTTGGATCTCTCTTCCCAGAACCCTTTTCCGTAGCTCACCAGGATTTCTTCGCCTTTTCTGATGCCCTTGCCCGCGTTTTTCCCACCTATGACCCAGACTCCCATGCACACTTCGCCCCAGCGCTCGCAGAACGCCGTTCCAAATACTGCGTTTGCTCTCTCTCCAACGCCCCGGTAGTCATTGACGAAACGGCCCTCGTTGCCCTCTGACGCTGCGTCCACAGCCAGCCCATCGCCTTCCCCGCCATCGCGCGTCAGCCACAGGTCGTAGTCGCTCTCGGCGGACGACGAGCCGCCAGGGTGCACCCGGCCCAAATACGCGAGAATAAACGCTCCCGGCTTGAGATTCTGCGCTGCAAAAAGGCCGTACTGCCCGTTCGCTGGGTGTGACTGGTCCCGTATGTGCTGGATCTTGACGTTGGGTGATGGTGTGAGCGTCGCTGAGGCGGGGATGGCGGCGAGCTTCTCTGGGTTGGCTCGCAGGGACGCCACTTGTGTGCCTGTAAGCTCTCTTGAGTGGAGAGGAGCCTTGAGGTATAGGATTGAGTCTGGCCAGTTCTTGGGTTTGGACATGATGAGGACACGTGAATCGCCCAAGACCGGGCTGTGTCGTCACAGGTTTTCGCAGGCGAGACCGCGAGAGGTGACACGCGTGCGAACAAGGTGCGGTTGTGGCACTGTGCTAATAGCTTGGGAGGTCCACTACACCAACCAACACCTACCGGAACATCTCAAACGTAGACCACATGCAAGAATCCAGAACATGGAGCACGCTTGCTGGTGAACACAAAGCTGGCTTCGTCTGCATTGCACTACGGTAAGTATTTGCGCCTCGGAGACGATATCGGATCACAACCAAACTCTGTTGATTGTGCAGGCTATCTACTATACTACAAATTTGCCCTGAATCGCGCCGTCTTTGCCCATCGCGTCGTCTTTCCTTATCCACAATGGTGCTGTTGCGCGCGCATTTCCTTCGTTTCTGACTGCTTGCCCTAATCAAACATGCATTGTCACCAGACCGCCGCGCGGTCAAAACACCTCCATACTGAGATCGACAGAGTAGGCCAGCAGGCGATCTTGTGTAAGTGGTAGGGCCAGAATTTGAGATCGGAGTTCAGCGTCCTGGTAATGTTAGCTACAGGAAGTAGAAACACTTCCGAGTTGGGGCACACACCTGCTTCTTTTTGGCCTGCTTGAAGATCTCCTTCGCCGTCTCGTCCGCCATGTCCGACACTGCAGCGTATCGCATGACCTCGGAGTCACCGACGCCACGATTCATCGCTCCGAGATTGGCAAGCAGCTTCTCGAGGAGTGCGGCCGGGGCGGTCTCGCCTCTGCCACGGTGCTGTATAAGCTTGAGGAAAAGGTTGTAAATCTCCCCACCTTGGTTCCACTCCGTCACCGTCTCATGCCGACCATCGAACTGTGATAGAAGCGCCGACAAGGTGGCGTAATCACGTTCGATAATGGCGCGGGGGGCAACCTGGTGGACCAACACTCGATGCGCCTCCACGAAAGATCCTGCTTGAATCAGGCAGTGGACCTCGGCCGAGGCGTCTTTTCGCACACTGCGCATGTAGAGGGCCAGTGCTTCCCACAGCCATGCAGCGGGTATCTGGAACTTTTCAGTGAGGAGCGTGAACGTTGCCCCAGTTTCGGGTCCTATCAGCCCAGCATGTCGGCAAAGATGCTCCTGCAATGCCTTCATACGGGCTGTTCGGTCGCTGAGGTGCAGCAAAACGAACGCTGCCTCTAGCCAATCTCCCGCAGCAGTGAGCTGCGCCGCATAAGACAACGTGGCCGCATCTGCCTTTGCTGCGGAGTCTTGTCCAAATGAAACCTTTCCAGTTGATGTCAAAGCGAGACCGAGTTGCCAACAAAGTCTGGTGTCGAGAGGTGATAGCTGCGAGTTTTCTGGGCGGATAATGGCCTCCAGGTCGGCGTCCTTGTCGGCGTAAAGTTGAAGAAGGCCCCAGAGGAGATCCTGTCGGTTCGTTGAGGCTGCATCATCCCAGAGAGGGACAATGCCCTGCTCCGTGTACCAAGGCCTGGGCAACTCTTCCCGATCTTGTTGAATGTCCTCCTGGAACAGACCCACTGCCACGGCGGCGCTGTCGGTCGGTGCGGTTGCATACCAGAGGCGCAGTCCAAACGACTGCCGCCAATCCAGGCCGAACTTCTTTGCGATCACGAATGACTCCATTCGGTCCTCCACGGGCACGTCCTTCATGCCATCGCAAACACTCACGTTTCCAGCAAGAAGTTCGTAAATCGTTCGAACCGCTTCCGTGAACTCAGACAGCATCTTCGAATCGTGCCAGGCCTTGAGCTGGACTTTCATGTCGCTTTTGGCGGTGTCGCTGGTGCCAATAAGCGGGATCAAGGTTCCCAGTCTGAAGTTCTTGCCTTCCAGCAAATGCCGGCAGGCCTCGGTGATTCGATGTCCCGCAAGACAGGCAACGGCCTTCTCTTCATTTGTGCCGGCGAGCCCAATATTTGTGCTCGAGGCAGGCTCCACAAGGTCGGTCCAGAACTTAGACAGCCGGGCCTTTCGTTGGATATGGTCGGGTTCGACGGCGTCCGAGCCGGCCACACTGTCGAAAAGGATACCCGCCAATTCCCAAACACGCTGCTCGTGAATATTGATCGGGTCATTCATGTCCTGGTGATGAAACAACTCTTGAAGCCGAGTGGCGTGCAAGATTGCGGCTGGCACGCCATCGATCACCCGGATTTCAGTGACTTGATCCTGTGCGCGGAGAAACTTTTTGGAAGACTATGGCCGGGTTAGAGCAAGTTCGCGCACAATGGCCCTGGATAATACGTACCCCAGTGGAGAGCCTCCCTAGGCGGAGATCCTGCCGCCCAGTTTGAATGCCAGACCGTTGAAGGGTCAAAACATCCGAGTTGTTGTGAATGGCACGACTCGACTGCATATTGTTCAGTGATCGCGTCACAACCAAGGTCTCATCGGGACCCCAAGTCGGCCGCGAGGCGCCGTGAAATGCCTGGTCTGCCCCGTCCACAGCGAGCGTTTTGTCCTGTCTGTCATAAGGCCACTGTTATGCGCAACTATCAGCATCCATATTCTGCTTGTGGAAGTTCGAGGCTCGGCCAGCTCAGATACGGACCTGTGGGAAGCCCTTGGCTGAGGCAGAAGCACGGAGGTTCTGCCGAGTGGGTTTCGGTTTCTCGAACAAAGAGTTCATCAAGTCGATGCTGGTTGCAAACCCGCGACCTTTGTCTGCAGTCAAGTGACTGGTTGCAGCCGCGGTGCTTGGTTTGCCCACCTTGCCGAAACCCCTTGTCCATATCGATGATTTCCGGCCATCGTGTTCGAGATTATCGACGTTCACTTCTTGGCCCATCTGCTTGAACGGCGACTCGTTCAAATCTCGCAGGAGCTGACGGTCCTTCTTGACAGGGCTCACTGTCTTCCGCAACATCTCCATCCAGTCGTCGCCATCCGCAACCTCCAACTGCACCGGGCCAACGGAATCCTTCATCGCCCGCATCCGGGCTCTGAGGATCCCCCCGGGTGTACCTCTCTTCGTCTCAACTTCGTTCTCCGACGAGTTGTCGTCTTGCTCCGCGGCTTGATGCAGTCCCATGGAAGATCTCGTCATGTCTTCGTCATCGGACAGGTCATATCCGTCGCCCATGTTGTCGTCATACTCGTCATCGAGTGACAACGTAACATTGTTGGCCGCCGAATCCGCGGAGCTAGCCCCTAAAAAAGACTGCTGCTGGTTGTTGTGTTCATCCGGGTAGAGCCCTTCCTGTTGGTCAAATGCACCAGGAACCCCTTTGTGTTGCTTGAAATCGAAGGTGTCGTCATCCATAGCAGAGTTGACAGACACGTCCAAAGCAATCGGTTGTGGGTGGGGGGCGAACGACGTGGTGTTAGGCTTGGGAGGAACCATATCGTCGTCAGATTCCTCGTCAGAATCGTCCAGGCCATACGTCGTAAAGTGCTCGACCGAGAAGACCCATATACCAGTCTCTTTGTCGTAGCTCTCGAACGTTGTGTCCGGGATACGCTTGAGTCGCTCAATGTGCTTGCTGAAGCGCTTGGGATCGCTCGTAACTCGCTTGTCACGGCCACCTCGCGGCCAGGACTGTTCCAGGGCGATCTTTGCTGGCACATTGAGGCCTTTGCCAACGGGCGGCTTCTTGGCCTGCACTGGGTAGACTGTGGCAGAGCGGGGCTCAAGCTGGATGATATTGCCGCACAGCTCCTCAATCTCAATGCCGCTGATATCAACAGGAACTTTAAACATGATGTAGCCGACATTCTCACGACCAACAGTGAAGCGATCGATCCTCTGTCGCTGCATCCGGTTCATGCCCAAGAGCTCCTCTTTCGAGGGTTGCATCCAGTACTCTCCTGGCATATTGTCGAAACCGGCGGAGTTTGGCGTTGCCGGTGTGGTCGAGTGGTCCTCTTCATGAACAATAGCAAGCTCATTGCCCTTCACCTGTTCCACCTCCGGGGTCTTTGAGCCGTTCGATCCGAGGGAAGACCTGTTCTGCCGGGGGGTGGTCTCATCGGCCGGAAGGTCGGTAGGCACCTCAGGAGCTGGCAGGGCGCTCCGCACTGGTGTGCTATCCTCCCCGTCAACCGTGCTTGTGTCGAAGCTCACGCGTTTCGAGAGCTTGCGAGAGTTGGTGCTGCCATCAATGAGGGGCCTGTCCTTCTGAGGCGTGGAGAAGAGGTCGCTCCGAATGTCCCTATTGATAACGAGCTTCTTCGAGCCAGTGCTTCCATACCAGCGAGAGCTGGAGCTCGACGAGAATGCGCCAGGCGCCAGGATGCTGTCTTCTGTGTTGAAGCTCCGCCGAAGATTGTTAGTCGACATGCTCTTGCTCAACGAGCCGACAGAGGTGGAGCTAAGGAGACTACGACCGAGTGCGCCTGGCGTGCTGGAAATGCTGCTGGCGGGGCTGACACCCGGCGTGCCATAAGAGCTGTAGGAGAACCCAAAGCCCCTTTTCTGGGGGGTGGCGAATCTTGACGCGGCGGCAGGGGCGAGCTTATACATCGGCAGAATGGAGCTCCGTCGTGGTTTGGAGTTTCCATTCAAAGGTGTGGCCAGAGGACCCGGGTTGGAAACTTCGCTGCCCCCAACACCGGCGAACAGGGATGGGCTCCCGTAAGCCGACACGTCGCTTAGGTTCGCCGTGAGCCCTTGGGGAGTGTTGCCGGCCTGCTGAGAATTGCCCAAGAGTGAACCGCCGAGGCCTGCGCCCTGGTTCTGCTGCTGATTCACGCCTCCAAAGAGGGAGCTGCCCTGGCTTTGATTGCCTTGCCCCCCAAAAAGGCCCGAGCCGGCGGGTTGGGTCGTCGAGCCAAAGAGGCCGCCAGGTTTCTGCTGCGTGCTGCTACCAGCAGCACCGAAAAGTGATGAGCCGGTCGATTGTTGTCCCTGTGTTGCCGAACCCAGACCACCAAACAGGCCCGTACCTCCAGTTGTGTTCGGCTGAGCCGTGGCTCCTCCAAAGAGACCGCCGCAGGTGTTGGGCTTGGCGGCACCGAAGAGACCACCGGCTCCTGCGGCGTTGGTGTTCGATCCGAATGCACCGGTACCCTGTTGCTGAGCCGTGTTGCCAAAAAGGCCGCCGCCGGTAGTGTTGGCCGTGCTTGAACCGAAAAGGCCGCCTGTTGCTGGCTTTTGCTGACTGCTACCAAACAACCCTCCACCGCTCTGTTGATTTTGGGTTTGCGCTCCGAAACCCCCTCCAAAGGCGTTGCCAGCGTTCGGCTGCTGTTGTTGCTGTTGCTGCTGCTGGTTCTGGCCAAACAGGCCTCCGCCGCTGGCCTGATTGCCAGCGTTGCCAAAGAGGCCTCCTCCAGTATTGGTGTTTGAAGCGCCGAATCCGCTGCCTGTGTTGCCAAAGCCGCCAGTGGTTGCGTTCGCGGCGTTTGCATTGCCAAAGCTAAAGCCCGTACCCTGCGGCTTGCTTGCCTGCGTGTTGGATCCGAACAAGCCGCCACCGGTGTTCGTGCTCGTATTGGAAGCGCCGAACGCATTGTTTGCGGCATTAGCGGTAGAGCCGAAACCTCCAGCGGTGTTCGATCCAAATAAGCCGCCACCACCTTGTTGTTGCTGCTGAGTCTGAGCACCACCGAACAAGCCACCACTTGGCTTGTTTCCTCCAAACAGGCCTCCACCGGTTGTTTGGTTGGCAGAAGCCCCAAAGGCGCCTGTTCCAGTCTGGCCAAAGGCACCCGTGGTATTGCTGGCATTGGCGTTGGCGTTGGAAGCGCCAAAGAGCCCACCTGCGGTGTTGCCTGTATTCCCGCCGAACGCGCTTGTCGTCTGGTTGCTTGCGCCAAAACCGCCACCGAAGTTGGAGCCGACACCAAAGGCCCCGGCCCCACTGGCGTTCCCATGGCGCCGTCCTTGAACGTAGTCGGTCAGTCTGAGTTCTTCGGAAGACCATTTTTTGTATGGTTCTTGGAACAAGATATTCTGGAACGAGTTGGTTTGGTTGGTGGTAGGCTCCTTCTCGTTGAAGGCCTGGAATGGGGTAGTTGCAGTGCCTGGAGGATCTCCGACGCCGCCTCCGATGCCTGGGTTGTTCGTCGCCCCAAAGCCGCCGCTTGCACCAAAGCCGCTCCCTGTGTTGGCAGTTGCGCCGCCAAACAGTGACGTTCCCGTGGTGCCCGTGGCGCCGAAACCTGTCTTTTGGGCATTGTTGCCGAATAGTCCGCTGCCAGCTGTGTTACCACCGCCAAAGGGCGACGCTGTGGTCGTGGTGTTGCCCCCACCGCCAAAACCACCAAAAGTCGAAGACCCTGAATTCACCGCAGTAGCACCCCCAAACAAGCCGCTACCAGTAGTCGTCGAGGCGCCGCCAAAAGCGGGTTTGTTACCGAATCCACCGCCAGTGTTCGCTCCAAAGCCACCACCTGGGCTCGAGTCAACAACGGATTCGTTGGAGGGAGATTCGGTCTTACCTGTCGAGGCGCCGAAACCACCCGTATTGGTGGTGCCCCCGAACATGCCGCCGCCTGTGTTGGTGTTCTGGCCAAAACCGGTGGTGCCAGTGTTGCTGGATCCAAAGCCTAGTAAGTAGATGTGTCAGTACTCTGTTGGCTGTGCTATCTGTGGTCGCCGGTGATCGATTCGTACCTGACGTGGTATTGTTTGCGCCAAATCCGCCGAAGCCGCTCGTGTTCTGGTTATTGCTCGAGCCGAAGCCCCCAAATCCGCCACCACTGCCAAACGACATGATGCCTGGAGACTGCGGATCTTCAGGCCGGATTTGCGCTTCGCCCAAGCTTCGTGGTAGACGGCTTCACAGCGTCACAGACACAGGCTCGCAGAAAGGCGCGTCGGGTTGCCGCTGACCTTAGCTCGCCGGACCTATCGAGTTGTGCGGGTGCGGGAGTTTGCATAGGCAGACGCTTCGCGATGGTCGTCGATGGATCTCTCGAGCCTTCGTGATGTGGGCACGACGCGCGAGAAACCGCGAGGGGACCCTCGCCGGAGCTGTTTTGGGGCGCTGCGAGGGATCCGTCGGTGCGCAGGGCAGTACAAATAGACACAAAGATGAAGAGAAGCTAGAGGCGCTGCCAAAAGTTGGCGAGGGGTGGGTGGCGCGCCCTTTTCAACCTCGCGGGAGTTGGGTGAAGCTGCGTAACTGAAGTTAGGCCAGCTTTTTTCGTGTTCACCTTGCGGTGGTGACTCTGGGCTGGGAGCTGGGCTGGCAGTGCTAGGCTGGGGCCGTTGCTGCCTCAGACCTAAACTTTCGCGCCCAATTGGCTCATCGCTTCCCTGCTGACTAACGCCTACCAATCAGCGATGCGAATCAAGCTACCTGCCTGCAAAGTCTTCGCTGCCTAGCGAGCTGCCTTGCCTGGTACCGAGCAAGGACGTACCGCAAGGCAAACTGGTGTTGGACGCATTCCCAAAGTCGCGTCCAAGGCGCGTCGCATCGGTCGAGGTCGCCGACTGCTGGACCGTCAATTTGCTGCGTTGCTGCCCACCACAGAGCCAGATCATTGCAACGAGCTCCGCCCCCCTCAGAGATATCGTGCCTCTGCTTTGCGACCGAACGGCCGCCGTCACCAACTCCTTTGGGACTGAGCATCAGTCCTTCGCTGCTGGCGCTAGCAGCGAATTCCTCTCTTCACTTCGTCCAGCGCTTCAGCTGCGCGGTCCACGCTTCACCGCCAGCATGAACCCTCACACGACACCTAGGCCGTTCCCTATGCGGTCCATGGCGGGGAGCTCAAGCCAACAACCTCAGCAGCAGCAACGAACGCGACAGCCGCCGGCGCCCCAGGTAACGACAAATGAGGAGTATGGAGCCATCGCTGAGGAAGACCGCGACCACGTCGATGAAGTCGTAAGTTATTCGCCCAATGGGCTTTCCGTTGCAATTCATGGCGTTGAAGGCTAACTCCAATGTCAAGTTCGACTTGATGGACATGAAGAAGAAGGGGTGGCTCAACAGTTACGAGTTCAAGCACTCGCTAGCAGCACTGGGGTTCGACTTGCCGAAACCCGAATACTTTCGAGAGCTTGAGGCGTACGGCTCCGTTCCCCCCGACTGGCAAGATCCGCATAACTGCCCCGTAAATCGGTTATACATCTATCTCGACCAATTCAGGTTGTGCGCCGCGAAGCTCATTGCCAACCGTGACCCCCGAGAGGAGGCCTCCAAAGTTTTCAATATGTTCGACTATGATGGGGACGGTATCATATCGTTCGAGGACATGCGGCATCTCGCGCAAGATATCAAGGACGAGCGATCGATGACCGACGAGGAAATCCAAAGCATGATCGAACACCTCGATCACGACGGAAAGGGCGGCGTTAACCTTGAAGAATTCATTCAGATGATGGAAGAGGCTGGCTAGGCTACACTGGCTAGTGGGAGAGTTCACGTTTTAGAAGGCCCGGTTGTCTTGATCAAGGCCGTTCAGCGCCGCTGGCTATTACAGCGTCGATTAACGTCGCTTCGCCGAGTTCTGTCATTGAGCCCCGGCAGCATCTCATTCGGCACAACCCCAAGGCCATGTCACATGTTACTGCCAGCCGGGAGCAGCTGAAACGGGCATCAGCAAGGCATGTCCGTAAGGACTCAACCGCGCGTGCCAGCGTTGCGACGGAGGTGGAAGAGCATTTGTTTTCCGGAGCTTGCGGGGCAAGGAGTTTTACGGCGCAATCACTATTGGATCCAACCAGGGCGGCTAGGAGCCTTGACTTCTCGGACGGCGTTGTTACCACATTGCAGGTGAAGGGGTTTTGGATGTTCGAAGATGTACCATATCTAGGTAATTGAATGCGAGCGTGCTCACTCTACATGGCCTACCGCGTAACCCGCACGTATGCGAGAAAATCAAACCTGCCGTACGATACAGCGTGTCCACCGGCCCGCCGCTCCCTGAAATTGACTTCAAACGACAAAGAAAATGCGCAGGTCAGACGGGACAACCAGCAATCTTGGTCCCATCAGATAGTCGAACTTGAGAAACAAAAGCCGAAAGGGAGCTCAGGCTGACGAAACCAAACTTTGTGAACGGTCGAAGAGGGAATAGCTTTAGAGACTGTCTTCATGCCTTTGCCTTTCAAAACTGAATCAGGTCTTGATTCTGCGTCTGCTGCTGCGGCCGCTGAGCTCCAAACGGGTTACCGTTCCCGTTGAGGCCCGCGGGCCCTGTCGCCTGGTTACCGTAACTTATGCTCGGCATGCCAGTAAACTGCTGACGCATGAACGGGTTGGTTCCCGTGGCGTCCGCGTTGAGCCTCTGGACGCCGGAGCCAGCACTATTGGCAAACGTACCAGGTGCCGTGTGTTGAGCCGGAATTCGCAGGTCGCCAGTGTTACCGTATGTGTCCATGCCGTCTCCAGTTGCAAGCAGGGAGTTGAGCTTCGTTTCGTATTCGTTCATGTTCTTCTGCGGGTTGTTGAACGACGGCTGCGGGTTATTAAACGACGGCTGCTGCTGCTGCTGGAGGAGCGGCTGTTGCGGTTGGTTGAACGTTGACAGTGACTTCTGCTCCGGCAGAGGACTGAGCGACGATGTCGCGGGCCGGGCCGACTGCGGACGGTTGAACTGTGCAAAAGGGTTGTTGGATCCGGTCGGTGTTGGGGCAAGAGACTGCGGCTGGCTCTTTGTCGCCCAGGGGTTATTGCTACCTGGGTGGAGGGTAGGCTCGGAAGGTGAGGGTGACTGGAGTTGTGATTGCTGTGCCTGTGCTTGCTGTTGCTGGGCATAAGGATTAAATCCTGTCGGTTGAGGCTGGAATGCCCCCAAATTTTGCTGTTGTTGTCCGTAAGGGTCCACGCCTATGCCTGGCTGCATACCAAAGGCGTTGTTGTAATTGGGTTGGAATCCGGTCGGTTGGTTCTGCTGGAAGCCGGTGTACGCATTCGGCATATAGCCCGTAGGCTGCGTTTGCATCTGGCTTTGGTCGATGGGGTTGGCGAAAAAGTCGACAGGGTTGCCTTGCTGGTACCCCTGGTTGAAGCCTGTATACTGCGCTTGAGTAGCGCTTTGTGCGGGCTCGTCGTCGAACAGCGAGTTTGCGTTACTCTCCTCGAGCTCTCGACGTCGTCGTTCTTCCTCTTCCTTGCTCAGTTTGATGGCCTTGGCCAAATCATCGTCGTCATCCTCGTTGCTGTGTCGACCCTCTCTCTTTCTTCTGTCCTCCTCCTCCTGGAACTTGCTAGCCTCGAGTGCCAGACGGTACTCGGCGTCCTCTTCGTCGTTCGCCGGTCGCCTCTCGCGGTTTCGCTGTCGCGGCTGGGAAGGTTCCGAAGACTGTGGCCCGAACTCGTCTAATCCCGTCACACGAGACTTCCAAGACTTCCGATCACCCCGCTCAGCCCGCAGGCGTTCCTCGTCGAGAATCAATGAGGTGAGTTCCTTGGCTGCGACTCGAACTGCGAAAGGGTATGAGCAAGTGTCGTCATCACTGCGCAGATGGAGATGAGGGTACCGTTCTGGCCAACGTCGCGACCGTCCTCCTCGATGTACTGGAACTCGCGGAGCGTCTTGATGAGGTATATGTTCTGGCGCGCCCAAGTAACCACAAGCTCGGATCCCTCGTGGAGACAATAGTCCAGAACTTTGAGGGACTTGAGGACGTGACGCCAGTTCTTGCCCTTGTCGTTCAAACGTTTGTCGATTACTTCAAGAAGATCCCACAGTTCCGTGGATCTGTTCCGGTCAGCGCTGAGGTCATGGTCGCCGTCGTCGCCACGACGGCTGTCAAGTTGCGCAGTTGCAACGTACGTGTTAAATGTGGCAGCTGCAATCTCGGCCATCTGGCTCCCTTTCCACATTGTCAGCCGAGCGCAACGCATTCAGTTCATGACAGTACATACCCGTGGGACCCCAGTTATCGTTGCTGGTGGCTGGAGGCCGAAGCGACTGTGGTCAGCGTGCATCGCGGCATCCGAGCCAGCGTTGACTTACCTTCCCGAACCTTCACCTGCACCGCTGAGTACCCCTTGGTAACATTTTTGACGCTTCGCATTACCTTCGACATGGTGGGCGACTTGGGTGCCGAAGCGGAGAGGGGCTGGGTCGTGAGTTGGGAGAGTGGTCAAAGGCGATCGCGAAAGCGGTGGCGGGGGAGGCCGGGCTGCGGCTTGTTGGTGCGCCAAGGCAACGCAGTTGGCGAAAATGCACTCCGGCGACAACAATGCTGGAAATCGTGGGGAGCACGGCGTCGGTAATTGGCGATTAACCTGAGGGTATTGTACGATTCCAGTTGGGAGTGAGCAGACCAAGGTTGACGACAGACGAGGCAAGACCACGATTGATTACGTATGCGGTGCTACGTGATTCATTAGCCACCTTCCCCACATTTTTGTCCTCATCGGGGCGAAGCCTCGCAGGGTTGCTTCACGTGGGAAGGTACTTACTTTTTGGGGGCAACCCTAGACACTGACCGGCTGTGACAGCTCGTCATGCGACAAATTTGTTGACGTGGTGCTTCAAGGATAACAATGCACGGCTCGTAAACGATACTCGCGTTCAGAATTACCACATACCTACCTGGGGTTTGCCTTGACCAGTATCTGGTATCAATAGAGCAGAGAGGGCCTCTGGGGCTTTCTTGGGCACCAGGGACATCTTTCGGGAATGCCTCCGTCAGTGACGGGTCAGAACTCGCCGCGTCCTCTCCACGCCATGTACTGTCTCCAGCAGGCGCTACCTAGGAAGAGATGCCGTAGTTTCCTTGTTAACCTGGCACGTCCCTCGGTCGATTGTCTACTCGCTCGCAAGCAAATGCATGCCCTTCGCTGACAAGGCATTGGAAGCATCCTGGACTACCTTGGGTATCGATGCTTTGCAATAGCACAGGCCGGAATGAGAGCCAGCGTCGGGCATCTGCCAACTTGAACAAGGCGCCACAGGTCAGGCCAGCTGGCACTCTGAACCCAATGACAAGCGGCAAATGTCTCCGCGACCCAGCAGCCCAGCCTCTGCGCGTAGGGTTCCAAGTTACGAGCAAAGGATAGATCGGGTTCGAAGGAGTGCATGTCAGGCGTCGAGGCTTCGCGAAGTAAAGGTACGGATTTCGTTTCATTGCAGAGGCAATAGCCTCCACGATGTGCGTCTGTTCCCTTGACGGGTGCGACAGCAATCCAAATCTAGGCGCATTTCACGTGGGTTTGCCAGCTTCAAATACCCAGGGCATCCTTGCAGAGTGGTTGATTATGCCTGAACTTGCCTCCGTAGCCCGTCTATGTGGCTGCAGCCTGCAAAGCGCGCGAGAGATATGCTTCAGTTCCTTCCTATTTCGCTACACATCTGTGCATCTAGAGCGGTCATATCATCGTTGCCATTTCCCTCTGCGCAGTTCCTGAGCAGTATACCAGGCCAAACAAGGCACAAGCCCCTGCGGCCAGCCCCGTTGTGTGAGTCTAACCATAGACTAGCTTGAAGATGTCGTTGAAGACGAAGTACTGGCCACTGCCGTCGCGAGCAAGCTGGAACGCTTGCGTGTAGTTCATCGGGCGCTGCTCCTCATCGACCTGCATCGACTTGTGTCAGTCCCGGTTCATGTTGCTCAACCTGTTGCTCGTTCGCATACCAGAAGCTGCCCAGTCACAAGGATGACAATCCCGCCATCCGACATGCCGGGCTGGGCATCGAGAGTGGAGACCTGGTGCTTGACCTTCTCGAAGGGGAGGGACTATTTAAGTGCACTTTGTTAGTCCTCTGGGCCGAGTTAATCGGCGTCGGTGAGGGCATATTGTACCGCAAGCTTCTCAACGATGGAGTTGACACCGAGGACCGAGGCTGATTCGAACGTGAGCATAGACTGCTCGCGCTGTTGACGAGTCAGTACGACGAGAGAAGCTTAGTCGTGGCCGATCGAGTAACGCACGTAAAGGCCGGACAGGGCCTTGCGATCGGTATCGAAGGTGTTGTAGTAGAACTCGATGAACTGCTCTATTCGCGGTTGAGATCGTTAGGGGCTCGTCCGTCATGCGCGGTTACGGGATGATGGCGCGTACTCGCAACGTCCTCAAAGTCTGGCCGTGCGCGGTTAGCATTTCTGCCTGAACATCAGCAGAGCTGCACACTTACTGCCGGCCATTGTGACGGAGTTGAGGTCGGTGAGACCGAGCGCTGAGAATACTGAGAAAACGACGGGCGAAAATAGTGCCAGGAGCTTGGAAGCTTCGCGTTGGGTTCGTCGCAAAGTGTGCCCAAGGAGTGTGAAGACACAGCCGCGAGGGCAGCCTGGGACCGAAGATGGTGGTGGGGTTGAGGGGCAGCACAGTGCAGATTCTCATTTGCTTTGTGTCGCACAGGGGTGACGTGTTGTCGTCCAGGCACAGATCCACCTGAACCGCAGCTCTTTACAGTGCGACGCGGCTCTTGGCACTGACATGTCAGGGCGGACGAGCTTCGACCTACCCGCCTAACAAGGCATATGCACTTATCGAAAAGCTCCACAACAAGCTTGTGTTAAATTTGCTGAGGCTCGGCCGAATTTGCATCTGCTCCTAGACACAACTCAAGCATCACTGTTTGATACAGGAGCAATTGGACCATCAAGTGATGGGTTGGCGACATAACGCCGTCGCTCCTGTCGCTACTAGAGCATGCTTGGCTATTGCCCTAATTCTCCGCTCATACTCCGATCTCAACATCAGGTAAGCTGGCAATCGCCGTCCTCCGCGCATCCCTTTGCATGATGACACAAACTTCTTAAGAACGGCCAACTGAACCCCCATGTTGAATGTTCAAATTATCAAGCTCAACAGTCTGATTATTGCGACTGCCAAATCAATTGTCTATTTCACGGATGTCTTTGTGCTCAGCAGCTAACAAGGCCATCAGTTTCTTAGTTTCACACCAGACGCTTGCCGCAGTCACACGCTTGCCGAGTCATACGCTCGTGTCACGAAGTCTTTCTGAAGACGCACTTGCCCTCGATTGTGCCCTCAACGCGACTCATCCAGTTGATCTCCAAGGCTGAGACCTTGCCATCGATGCCTCTTCTGAACTCGCCCTGTTGATATTCGTTTAAGAACGTAGGGTTGGGCGGCGTAGTGAGGTGCACAAGCCAGTAGTCTCCCGAAACGTGATACAGTCTCAAGTGATACTGCCATGTCATATTACTGCGGTCCGCCACAAGAATAGTCTCACCTGTTTTATTGGGGTGAGGCTGCTCGGACAGAGTCATCTGACCGTAACCAGGATCTGCGTATGTTCCCACGAGTTCCCCAATATCGAAAGTGGGGGGCAAAGGCCTCTCTGGTTTGTCTGGGAAAATCGTCTTTTGCGCTTCGTCCAGTGGCATTTCTGCAGCCAACTGCTCGATTTTGTCCGCCCAGCTGAGGGAAGCAAGTCAGCATTCCGTTCTTAAGGAGGTCTGTTGCCACATACTCTCCGTCAAAGTCGAACCTCTCGCTTTCGGCAATGCCCAGTTTGTCTTCGATTAGCCGATAAATGATGATGTCCTCTACTGCATTGCTTGACCAGGACGTGTTGGCAAATGCGACTGCACCAAAATTGGCCTCCGGGACCCAATACGTCTGGGCGCCATAGGCATGCATGCCTCCGCTGTGTGAGTAGACAACATGGCCACGATACACTTTACGTGCCCAGCCAAGTCCGTAGTGAACAATGTCGGCACCTCGAGTAGGCTCTGTAGTTATGAGCATTCGTGGTTTCTTGATGTCATTGTGGACGTCCTTGGAGAATGGCTCGTTCTCGTGCAGCAAACACTTGAGCCATCTACCGTAGTCCTGAACCGTTGAAATGACCGCTCCAGCGCCAGCAAGCTCCGTTGTTCCCATGAAGCCAGCTTCCTTGAACGTTTCTGCTTTCTTATCCCAGTAGTAACCGGACGCAAAATGCGCTGGTGCCGCTTGCGCTTCGTGGAGGTAGAAGTACGTCGAGTTCATGCCGAGCGGACCCCATATCTCGTCCCGCAAAGCCTGGCCGAGCGTTTTGCCAGTGACGGTCTCAATGACGTGGCCCAGAGTGGTGTACATCAGATTGCAGTACTGGAACTTGACGCGCGGCTCTGCCGTTAGCGTTAGGTTTCTCATGTTCCGAACAAGATCGACAGGTGTGAGCTCTTTGCCGTCAATGGTACGTGCACAAGCCGAATCGTGCCGGGGAAGCCCTGAGCGATGACACACTGCGTCCTCAAGCGTGACGTGTGAAGTGGCCCATTCATCCTCGAGTACGAAATCTTCTCGTAGGATAGACGAAATTGGCGTGGCCCAGCCATCTGCAAGCTCAGGATACTTCTTGGAGGCGATGAGCTTGGCGAGAGTGGCAGCAATCTGAGCTTTGGTTGTGGATGCTCCATACCAAAGGGTCTCCGGAGTTGCCTTCACATGAGGGAGCGATGCATGTCCGTAGCCCTGGCTATAAATACTCTCACCATCGACGACAGCAAGTGACATGCCAGGGACCTTCCATCGTGCCAGGGTTTCCGTTACGAACCGGTTGAAGTCGTTCGTAAGCGGGCTAGGACTCATTTGGGGCGATTCGGTAGCCATGATAGCTAGCAGTCTAGGCTGTACAGTGGTCTGTCACTTGATGGCGCAATAAGAGGAGGACAGTTGGCGAGACTGAGCAACTGAGCCGAATGCGAGATGGTCTTAAAAACGGTCCCGACACCGTCTTTAATGTTTCTGTGAACAGCAGCATCGTTGCGACGCCCTGGCGCTTCGCCCAGAGCCCAATGTCACCTCCGTGTTTCGCGAAGTGAACTGGGTAGAGACTAGCGTTGATTGCACGAATTGCGTAAGGCAAATGAATGACGCGGAGTTGGAAGGTGGCACCATGAGCAGTCGCCGACAGAGGCAGCAAGGGGGTGCTGGGTTGTTCGAGGGGAAGCTGGTTGGAGATGCAGCGACATAAGCGCCAGGCAAGTGACGCTAATGCCCTCCGTGTTGCTATCCAATTGGAGAGCTCTTCAAGGTCTTTGGTGCATTCACGACTGGAACTTGCACCCGAGGCACCCCTGTAATGCATCACAAGTTCACAGCCGTGACGGACCTCAGGCTCAGGTACCCGATGCATGTTTCTAATTCTGAGTTGGGCTGATGGTCTGTGAGAGCCGCGAGGTGAGCGTTTTCGGGAGGCACAGTGTCTGCCGAGTGCCCTTTTGGTGAACGCTCTCATTTAACTGGCAGATCTCCTTGGTGGAATCGTTTACGCCGCATTGCCCTCCATGTGAGTCTTATGTGATTTCAGTAGTGATGCACCGCTCAGCCTCTTCAACAAACAACAATTTATGTACGACGTAGACGTCGTTGAAACAGAAACAAGTGTAGTAGGCCAGTAGCGAAGGACGATGGTCTGTTAGGAGCACTTTAACTCGTGTGTGAGGCTCGTATCATGAAAGAAGTTGTGCACCAAATGATGAAAGAGGCAGCGAGGGGTCAACTGAAACCGTCATCTATTTGTCCTGTCACCAAACTCCGCAACCTCCTTCATTGCAATTCTTCACGGCTTATCCCGAGTCAATTCCAGGACAATTAGCCTTCGCTCCTTCCTTAATCGCTTCTCGTCAATGTGCAAGCATGACGAGGTAAGTGACGGTCAATGTTTTGGCCAGTCCTTGACTCCTTCTTCATCTCGCACGAAGACCACCGAGGACAGATAATACTCTGGTGGCGGCCGAGCTCGACGGGGCTGTAGAGACTCCGGAATTCACTCGCTCGCCATATACTCATCCCATCGTTACGCCACAATAGATTCGCCCGACGAGTGAGCAACGGAACCAGGACCGTGCTCTATAGTTCTTCCTCTTCGTCGACCTTCGTCTTCCCTAATGGTGCGGCCTTCACCACACCTGCCGGAGCTGGTGTCGAACTCGTCGAGCCCGTCGACGCACCTGAAACGGCCGTATTCAGAGCCGCACTGAGACTCTGCGTTGAAGTTTTGTCGACGGCGCTACTCTGGTCGATACTGGGTCGAGCTTTCTTCAGTGGGCTCCCAACGATAGCCTCCGGCGGAACATCCTGACCACTGTAACTGCTCGGCGTGGGTTGGCCTGTGGGCACGCCCTGAGGCGCGGGCGAATCTTCTGCTGTGGCTCTCTGGGAGGTCTCTGGGGTCGAACGGCTGTCCGGCTCCGTTGAATGCGCGCGCTTGAGCTACACACAGTGGTTAGCTGCCGTGTGCACAGTCGTCTCGCAGCTGATGGAATCACCTACCCGAATGCGGTTGACGCCATCGGCTAATTCGCCGCCGAATTTCGTATCGTCCACGACCGGCTTGCCATTCTCGTCCTGATCGTCAATGTCCTCCATCTTTCCAACGATCTCACCCTCGTCGTCATCGTCGTCGTCACTGTCATCGGCGATGTTGCCGTTGCTCTTCTTTCGAGCCTTCTTACGTCGCACAGTCTCGGCATCCTGGTCACGGAAAGCGGTGAAACCAACGGTGCCACCCGCCTTGAGCGGCCCGAGAGTGGAAAAGTCTAGCTGTCCAGAGCGCCTTTTGGCAGATCCGGGCGTGGTATGTGCTTGCTTACTCGACTGCATGACGCCAATTTTCTGAAGTTGTTCTGCTCACCAGGTTAGCGTACTATTTCTGAGCGGAGGAGGGCCGAAGACGTACTCTCGCCGCGATAGAAGAACGTAAACACGGCATACGGCTTGTCCGGGCCGTCAATACCCGTTACCGTCTGAGTGCTGATAGTCTTCGGATCGAGTGTTTTGGGTTTGGCGAAGCTGGTGGTGTGCTCCACATCGGCATTGATGCCATTGTCTCCGCCGCTCGAAGCCTCTTCATCACCGTCGTGGGCATCAAATTGTGGAGAATACTCTCCCTTCTTGATCTCCCCGGATGCCAGAACTCGGAACATGGCGACTTTAATCTGCCCCGTGGCCTCAGGAGGCTCGTCGTCGTCATCGGACCACGAGTCTGAGTCAAACACGGCCTCGATGGGCGACGCATCGTCAGCGCCGTAACGTAGTGTATCGCGACGACCGTTGGAGCCCTGCTCTGTATCAGCTCCATGGCCACCGTCCAGAGTCATATTCTGTCGTCGCTGGCGTCTCTCAAACTTTTGTCGGCGTTTCTCGAGCTTCTCCGCCGCGTCGTGGCCTTTGAGGTCGAGACCATTCAGCCAGCGCTCCAAGCCAACTTCTCGAAACAGGAACTCGCGCTCAGCCAGACCGCCGCCTTCAGAGTCGGGAACCTGAACCCATCGGCTGTTGACCCACGTTTCCTCACCAGGGCGGAGAAGAGTCGCCACCTCTTCTTTGGCTCGACCGTCGAAATAAATGTAGGCGGCAATGGTCTCGTTTTCCGAGTTTGTCATGGGGATGTACGGATTGACGATGCCCGAGAATTTTCCCCGTTCGGTATTCGAACCGGGGTTCAAGCTCCCAACGAACTGCGGCTTCGGATATGGGTTGTTGTCGGTTGGCTTCGGGGCGGAGTAGGGGATCGGCAAGCCTGGCGTTAGAAGAGTAATAGAGATAGCAAACTTGGCGGGCTCGGGCTTGTTCGAGTCGGGGCTGAGGCTCGGCTGGGGCACAGGGATGTAGTTGCTGATGCGAGATAGCCTCGATTGCCTCTGAATGCCGTACTCGGGCAGTGGTGCACCATTTGCATGGATGCTCACCGCAATGCCCTTGAAGCAGGGCATCGTGGCGACGGCTGAGCTCCCGGACAAGCGGTAGCGGCACGCGTTGCCGACGTGTCCACCTACGGAGAAGCTTCTTTGTTTCTCGGATCGGGTAGTGGCGGAGGACGGTCGGCGTGGATGTAGAAAAGCAGTGGCGGCGCAGCCGGCCTAGCCACAAACAAGCAGGCAAGGAGCAGGCTGCTTTAAGTCGAGTCGAGAGCGTTGCTTAGCGGTTGAGTACCGTAAGCGAATATGTAGGTTTGAATGACGAGGTGGAAGCAAGCAAAGTCAACTCAGCTCAGCTGGCAAAAAAGGGCATCGGATGCAGTGCAGGCGTGCAAGGGATGTCTGCGTAAATGTCCAAGGCTTGGTTGGAATATATCGAACCAAAAAAAAGGGCCCGTGACACGGCAGGTCTGCGGCGCGTTAACGACGGTTGTAGGTTGTCGGTGGTTTGTGAACCGCGGTGCACAGGAGGTCCCGCATCATGGAAAGGTAATTAGGTCGTGGGTTAGCGAGGCAGCTGGTGCGTCTCAACGGAGCGGGAGTGGAGGGATTGGGGAGGGGGGAGCCTCCTGGCCGTTCCACGTCCCGCCGGATCAACCTATTGATCCGCCGTACCTCAGTGGCAGCATGGGTCGAACTGTGCGCAGCTGGCAAAGCTACGGCGCTGACGAGTGGAGAGCTATCATGGGTCCATGTCCGCCTTGGGCACCTTGTGAGCCACCAGCCATTCCGTTTCGTCCCCAAAGCTGTGTCCACAATTCGCTGCCCGTGAGGGACGCCAAGCGGAAGCTTCAGACAGTATCTGCCACGCGCGCCTAGGTACCAGCTCACACCTGGCGTCCGATCACAGTAGCACCAACACCCCTTCCACCCAAGACAGACATTCGGGTACGGCATGGAAAGTAAAAGTTGTGCCTCATGGGAACGTTTTATATACTCGTGTTCCGTGTGCAGGCTTCGATTTACTGTCATGGAGCTGGTGCACCACGAGGATCAGAGTAGCATATCTAGCTGCAAGGAAAATGAAAGCAACCGTGACTGCGTTGTAGGATGAAAGTTCCGCGTGAGCACGCCCAGGCGGCTACACAAACCATGATTGAAAGGCTACCAGACATTTTTCCTGTCGAATTCAGGCAAACCTCCTTCAGCGCGTGTCACCGATTTTCCGTGACCGTCACCAGGGCGATCATCTTGAAGCAATACGACGCGGAATCTATAGCAACTGTCGACTCCAGACGACACTCGGCACGAAGCTTAACCATACAACCAAGAAATAGAATTCGGGTATCTGTTGCCATGCAAGTAGAGGAGCTAGCAAGCTCAGAAAGACCAGTGTCCGCAATATTTGCAGGCTCATCCATCGAGCCTGCCCCGAGACGATCTTCTGCGCACAACGGAACGCCTCTCTGAATCGTAACTTGTTCCTATACCAGAATCGTATCTTGCTCTGCTGTCACCGTCATCGGTGTCCTCCTCATCGTCTGCCTCTGCGCCTGCAATAGGTATGTCGGACATCCGGGGTGTGTGCCTTTCAGCACTTTCCTCCTTGACCGCTGGTTCGTGTTTAAGTGGCGGGTGCGATCCGTAGGTAGGGAACGTGTGTGCGTAGTCAGATGATTGATCAGGATCGCCATCATCACTGTAGCGGTCGTCGTCCGGATGACGATGGGGTTTGCCGGTGAGCTTGGGTGTAGTGACGGCGCTCCAAGTCGTCCATGCAAGGGCCATAAACAGGACCTCGCAAACCCAGAACAGGAATGTGAAAGCGATGTACGTGGCCAGCCGGTAGTGGAACATTAGCCAACGAAGTCCTCGTAGCTGGGCCGTCATAGTCAGAGTGGTGCTGTATATCTGAATGTCTTGCCCCGCCTCGACCTCCAGGTATGCCGAGGCAGGGATTGCCGAGTCTTTCGAGAACGCAAGACGCTCCGCAAGATTAACAGTCATTGTGCATGTTTGTGAGCTTGGGAAAAGCAGATGATAGAGCATGAACACGATGCGGTTCGCGATGGACACGATGGGATCAACGTAAGGGAACAAGGCAGATCGCCTGGATGTGAAGATGACCGTGTGGTCGCCGATCTTGGTGTCTTGAGCGGCAAAGGTACGAGAGTCCACCTCCAGTCTCTCATTCGCTTCTGATGCAAGGAGATGCAATGACACCATGAAGTTTCCGCGCTCGGTGTTGGCAGGTGATCGTGGCATCGATAGCGCAACCGAGATGTCGTATTCTTGCTGGGCTTTAAGCAGAGATGGACGGGCGAGGGATGCGATGCCGTAGGGGTTGCGAGCAGTCCTGCAACGAGGTACGTCAGCTCATCCAGGACTCCGTGGCATGGCGTCGCGCAAATTACCCATATTGAAGGTGTACGGGTGTCGTTACAAATCGATCGGGAACAAAGGTTTGAAAGAATACTCCGGTCGCGAGAGACGCCAACAAGAGCAGCGCAGCAGCGCCAGACACCAGCAGGGCGGTATTGACCACAGCCCGCTGCACGGGCTTGGACGTCACCACGCGAACGGTCTCCTCAATGGCATCCTATAAATCGTACAAGTCAGCCCGAGCCGAAAGGAACCATGCGCGCTTTCTGCTGCTAAGCGCCTCACCATTTATCGCGTTGGACGTGGGAAGGCTGTCGCTGCGCTAGCCAGTTCCGTTGCGAGTCAATGCCGGTAATGCCCGTTTGCTGTAACCGTCGAGATCATCTCACGCTACTGAGTCGTCGCAAAAACGACGGCGTTCAGCGTCAAAGGAGGTTCGGGGGCAGCAGCAGTGACGCGATGACGGTGAGAGGGAAGTTGCATCTCAGGAACAAGGACCGGCTGGGCTATGACGCGTGATGCCATAGTTCCCCTAGCACCGTTCCTGGTAAACAGCTGACTGGAGGCGTAGTGGGGCCCGCTCCAAAGTGTTCAGAACTTGCGCTGCCGTGGGCTTTCCGCGGCTGATTGGGTACACGGTACATGGCTGGTGCTCTGCGAGGCGCACCTGATGAGGATTTAACTGAAGCGGCGGGGATCGACAGAAATCTTCATGGCCGGCATTGCGGACTTGTTGATTAAGGTAGTTTGTTCATTCGATACATTGACGGACATTTGATACATTCTTCTCATGGTCCAACACCAACACCAACACAACAGAAAGGTAGTGAAGACGGCGGCGCGTCTGTAGAATAACGTGACATGTACAAGATCGTTCTCGTCGTTTCCATCGCGTTCCTGCAACAAAGGGAAAGGGAAAGCTGTCAGAGCCATGCATTCCGTGGAATTAGCACGGTTGCAAGTAGTTGCTTGGGACCAGCCCAACACGGCCATGACCGCCGTGTACTTCGGCCTCCCACCAGCCATCGTCCTGATGGCGGAACACGGCCAGGTAATCTCCCTTGGCGAAGCCTAACTCCTCAGGAATTGCGGCCTGGTACATGTAGAGGGCACGTGCTGCTAGATGTCAGCGATGTCGAGGCAAAAAGCAAGCCATGAAAGGGATCCTACCAAAGTGCAGTATCGGTCGGCCATCTCGAGAGTACTGCCGCGCAGGATCTGCCACACTCTTACTACGCGGACGAGAGGAGCCACCCTCATAGAGCCCCATCGCACGAGAATCGGAGCGTGCAGATCCTCTGCTTCGCTGAGACCCGTACGGGTCGTCACCTCCGGGTGCCAGCTGGACTGCCATATCGCCGCCACCTCCATAACTACTTTGCGGTCGGTGGTAGTCTCTGTACGTCGACGGAGACGCCCCGCGAGCTGAGCCGCTTGGAGAGGCGGAGCCGTAGTAACCGTGGTCAGCGGGTCGGCCCTGGGACATGCTGGCCTGGGACGACTGCCGGTGATGTCCACTGTAGGGATTGGGAGAAGCAGACCGGTAGCCAGAGCCCCGCGAGTCATTCGTGAATGGCTGGGGGGACGCACCGCGAGCGGGAGCCGGCGAAGCTGCTCGCGGCATGTCGTTACCCCGAGTGCCTGGGCGGGAGCTTGGTGATGCACCTCGGCTGCCTGCGTCTGCCCTACCGGTATTTCCGAAAATGGTTCGAGTCTGGTCTGCGACCTTTTTCGAAGCTTCCTTCATCGCCTTCGAGGTCACTGCAGGCGGCGGCACGCCCAGTCGCGCCACCGGCGCCGGTTGCTGGTACGAAGGCGGAGGTGTGCCCCGACTAGCGGCTACCGCATCGTGGCTCCCAGGGACGGGTATAGCGCGTGATCCTCTCTCCGTTCCGGGCGCAGGAGTTGCTATCCCGTGGTAGTGGTCCGCAGACATCCTGACAGAAGACTGCTTGCCCAAGTTAACTCCCTTGAGCTCCGCAAGCGCGACAGCAATAGGGTCATTCTCGTCCACTTCCGTCGCCGTCGCTCTTCCCGGTCGCCTTTGAGTATCTGCGGTGGAAACCGGGAGAACATTCTGCCCAACACCAAGTGCGAGGCTTGCATTCGCATCAATAGGCTCAGGGCTTGCCGTGCGTTCCTACATGCATATTTAGTGACTTCTGGCTCCAACAGGATATTCTTGGAACATACCAGTTGAGGGTTGCTTTGGTGGCCAGCGCCAAAGCGCGAATTTCGGCCGGCCTGAGCAGGTGGGTGCGGCTCTTTGGTACTCTTTCGCCGGAAAGGACTATGGTTTTGGAAAAAGCCACTTTTCTTCTTGAGCACTCTCTTCTCCGGACTCGAGGACGGTGTTTGTTCCTGCTTCGTTGGCGATGTTTTCCCGCTAGGAGGCTCATGGCTAGAGAAGGATGTCGGGTTCGAGTAGTCGCTGTGTGACTCTCGGCTTGAAGGCCGGGCAGAAGTCGGCTGGGAGCTTCGGTCGGAGGGCGGTCCAGTACGGCAAAGCATCGTCATGCCGTCCATTGGATACGGATCGTGCGGGACAGTGGCTAGCGGACCATGCTGACCAGCATCATACTGCATCGTTGCGGGCGGCGGCGGCTGGACGGGGTACTGGTCGTCCATAGACATTTTGAGCGGCTGCTGAGTCGAAGCCTTTTGGGGAGTGACAGTAGCTTCCCGGCTGGCTGATTGCCCTGACTCCCTGTGTGCCAAGTTGTTGGCCAACGCAGAATTGGGATCATGGTGAGATTCAAAGGTCGAAGGCTGAGGTGACGAGGAACGGAAAGCCGGGTTGATGCTGCGCGGAAACTGAGCAACCGAATAGTTGTCGTCCTCCGACACTTCAGACTGGCTGTCGTTAACATCTCCACGACAGAAGTTGATGTACTTTGGAGGGTCGGGTATCTCCTGCCCAGTACCCCGCTCCGTGATGAAGCCGACGATGTCCTTCTCAACTTCCATCTTCTCGAGCGACAGACGGATCTTCTCGCAGGAGGAATCGTCACTGACGCACACCGTGGAGGCGATGTTTGCAAACGTCCAGAGGCTGCTCTTGGTGAAGTCGAGTCGCTCCTCTTCGAGGTCCTGGAATTTGTCCGCGGCCGATTTCCATTCTCGATTCCATCGCGCCGTGGTGTCCTCGAGCGCTTTCACCGCATTCTCGTACTCCGTATTCGCCGTGGCGAGGCTAATCTGCGTCTTCTCAAGCTTGGCCTTGTTGCGACGCTCCTCCTGGCCCATTACCATGTGGCCCTGCGCAAGGTATCCCTTGATTTTGAGACACTCTTGCTCGAACTTGTCGCGAGTCTGGAGGTAGGACTATATTAGTGGACGTCTCACGTAGGCAGAAGCTAATCACTGAACAAACCTTATTCACCTGCTGGGTTTGTTGGACCTTAGTCTTCAGCAGTTTTTCGACGGAGTTTTGTACAATCTTCCGCCGTTCTTTCATGCCGCCAGAAAACGCAGCCAGCGGTTCCTCAAGCTCCGTCTTCATCTGTGCCGCGATGCTTTGGTGCTGCTTGGCCATGGACTCCACCTCCCCGCGGACAGTGTCCAAAGAAGTCTTGAGCGAGCCCGTCTCATGCGATCCAAGTGATTTTCGACACAAGCTTAGAAGCTTTCGAGCGTATTCGTCCTCGATTGAAGCGCGTGCTGTAGACCGCCACCAGTAAGCATGGATACAGCGTGCGCATGTTATCCCAACGCACCGCCATAGAAAGACTTCAGCTCATCACAGGTCTGCTTTGCGCCTTGCATACGATCCAGAAGAGGACCAACTCCCGCATCTTCTTTGCCCCAGAAATTATTGGCAACTGCGATGATGGTCAGCCAAACCTGGTACGCGGGAAGTTCAACTGAGATGGGGCTCCCCACAAGACAGCGCGACTGCCGGAGCATCAGCAGTTGCTGCAGGCATCGTGCCTGTTCTGAGGTTCTTGGATGACCTGAGCTCCGAGATCTTGGTCGAGATTGTGGTATGATTTGGAGTTGGTCGCCGGCGACGCAGGAAATACTTCAGGCCTGCACAATGCTGAGGGCGGGGGGGTTGGCAAGTTTTCCAAGTTGCTGCTTCGTGAAGCCTTGGGAGGTGACGCACGGTTTGTCTGCTTTGGTGTGGGGTGCCCACGACAGCCACTGTGCTTTGTTTGGGGAGGCATTCCGTCGCGTTGACAGGGCGACGGGCTAGCGTCGTGATCCGCCACAATGTCACGTGATGCGAACTCCGTGGCTCCAGCCTCCCCTGCTACAAGGGCTGTACGGAATTTGCCGCCCCTTCTGTGACTGGCCGTTTTCTGGAGAGCGCTTCGTTCTGTCCTCCACCACAGCCCAACGACCTCTTGACATCGAAAAGCACCTATCAAGAGTCTCTCATCCCTCGTTTAATTGCGTCCAACGTTCGGCGGCAGGCCAAGCACGATCATCGGCAGCAGCAAAAGCTTCCCCCCAAAGCTCGCGCACTCCGCTTCGGTATCTGGCATCGGTTCGACAGAGCTCGTCACCTGGCATCCTCGGTCTCGAAACTCTTCTTCTCCGACGTGTTTGGATCCCTCACCGTTGCTCGCTCGCGCCTGGCTCGTTCGGTCCTGAGCCATCGTACCCCTCTGGCGCCATTCTCCACGCGACGACCCACGAGATTGCGACGTTTTCTCTCCCATGTAGAGTCACCTCCCGCTTCTCCCTCGTTGCAGCCTCACCACGTCCGACCGCCTACCCACATCTTTGCTTGAGCCAACCTGCCTGCCGCGACTCCACAGGCAGGCGCTCTATCAAGACTCGTCGACGCCCGCGAATACACCTCCATGGTCCCTCCACCAAGAGTGGGATCATTCTCACCAAACCCTTCGCAGACTCTTCAGACGGGAACCAGTCACTCGCCGCATCCGTCGCACGGTGGTGTCCTGAGTGCTGGCGCGAGCCCCAGTACAAGCAGTCCGACTGGGGCTAACCCCTTGACAAAGATTGTTGTCGCCCAAGTCTACCTCCTACTCAGCACTATCAAGGAGGACAAGGATCGCGCCAGGTGGGAGTTACAGGTCGAGCAGCTGCATAAGGTGACATCTCCCCTGCCCGAGGAAGCTAATCCAAGAAACACTGACCGCTAACTCGCTCAAAATCATCAGCTCATCGATGAACACGGCATGGAAGTGTTCTCCAAGTATTTTACTAGGTTGGTAGCGGGAAATGCGCCCCAAATCTTCCCCGGGCTTAACCGCCCCGTCGCCAACCCCGGTAACTACCACATCCTCGTCGCCGAGATGCGAAAGATTGCCCACGATGTCGATCAAGCAAGCAAAATCGCCGAGTCGGTGGAAAGTGGCACCGAAGACATCTTCCGTGACTTCGACCTGTCAACCTTCATGGAACACTTCAAGCTCGATGCCCTGGAGAAGACACTCTTGGCGCTGGCGTTCAAGACTGGGTCCCGCTCCGACCTAAAGACCAAGGGTATGAAATGAACCTCCCATCATGTCATGTGGACTTGTCTGACCCCTGATCTCGCAGCCGACGCCATTTTGTCCACGAATTTCCCGGCTTTCCTGGACATCATCTCGCGCCCAGAGATCGAGGCCCACGCTGACCTTACTCCTGCGTTCGTCGCCCTGATTGTCGATCGGTTCCTTCAATACCACCCCCCAAGTTTCAACGCGGCTTCCAGGCGAGATCTGCAGAACTACATCGCCAAGCGGTACGTGGCGATGGATCAGGCGCCTCCTTCAGAGGTTCTTGCCGCCCTCGATCTCGGCCGAGTCCTTGCCGACAGGCCGGTAAACGCTTTGGCACGCTTCGTGCAGAGGACGGGTGCTGAGTTTACGAGAGACGAGGAGACGTGCGTTTCCTGCTTGCAGGGCCGTCCTAGCAACATGCAAATAGGACCTGACCAGGTTTCTGCGGCGCTTATCTTCACCACGATCACCCAGAGTCCTCAGCAAAACCCGACCGTGCTTGTCGCAGCCCTGCAGCGTGTTCTCCCGAAAACATTCGAATGGACGGAAGTTGTTCGGTTTTTTGACCAGCCTACGGCTCGAATCTCGTCTACGCAATTTCTACGACTCTACCGGGCACTGCTTCCCATTGCTCAGGATCCCAAGCACAAATTTGATATCCAGAGACTTTGGGGCGGCTCTTGGAGCGAGTCGGAGGCCCAGTTGTCCTTCGTCAGCGCTTTCGCCTCCCTGACTCCGGATCAGCTAGACGCCACTACAATCCCAGGGTTACAACGGAGCATCAGCCTGGACGACTATGCCAATTCCCCCCCGAACGTTCAGGAGCGTGCTGCCGTTGCGGTGAAGCACCCTCTCGTTTCCGTGGCCGCTTTGTCCGCCATATTCACTGTTGCCCTCAACTCGGTGCAAGCATCTCAGAGCGTGGAAGCGAAGCGCCTCTTCCAGGAGGTGGTGGTCCCCAACCTGGATATTTTCCTGGTGTCCGCCTTTGAGGTTCCTCGGCAATCCTGGGCGCCAATGGCGATGGATACGCTGAACTCACTATTCGAGAACTTTTTGTACAAGCGTTCACCTGAGTACGATTTCGTCCTCGACAGCTTGTGGAAGAAGGATAGTGCTTGGGTGACCCAACGATTGGTTGATGCTCATGCAGTCAAGCCCATCGATTTGCCTCTGATTTTCGACCACGCGCTGAAGCATGGGTGGCTGGATCATCTTGTTTATCTCCCCAGCGGGTTCGGTATCGACCTCGCCGCATATGCGCATGCCGAGGGCCACTTGGACTTGAGCAACTGGGCGCGCTTCAACGCGGAGAGAAGCGTGGAGATGTCTCGCATCCTGCTCCAATTCCTCATGATCAAAGCGAATTTGGAAATCCAGTTTCAACGCCCTCCGGATGGACAGCCTCCGGTCAAGACCAGTACGAGCTTGCAGGTCAGGACCGTATCTGCGTTGCTGCAAATCTTGGAAGACTTCTTGCCCAAAGCACCAGTGCAGGACCTCATCCTGGTGCAACGCCACTGTATCACGGCATACCCACGACTGATCAACTACGGCGAAGGCTACGACGACGTCATCGACACTAACGGCAGAGATGGAAACGCATTGCCACTGGCTGCCAACAGCAAGATGGAAGAGCACTACAAGAAGATGTACGGCGATGAAATCCAGGTACGCACGATCGTGGAGATTCTAGATCGCTACAAACACTCGAGAGACCCCCTGGATCAAGATGCATTCGCTTGCATGATCCACGGTCTATTCGATGAGTACAACCACTACGTCGACTATCCTCTGGAGGCTCTGGCGACGACGGCGGTATTGTTTGGTGGGATCATCTCTCACAAGCTCATATCAGACCTGCCGCTTAAGATCGGCTTAGGGATGATCCTGGAGGCTGTTCGGGACCATATGCCCGACGATCCCATGTACAAGTTTGGTCTTCAGGCTCTGATGCAGCTTCTTGTTCGCTTTCGGGAATGGCCTGGGTTTTGCAAGCAGCTGCTCCAGATCCCGGGCCTGCAGGGCACAGAAGCGTACAAGAAGGCCGAAGAGATCGTGCGCGACCACGAGGAGGACATTGTGCGTTCTCGTAACGGCGCGGGCACACCCCATGGTCTGAGCTTCCCAGGAGAGTCCTTCACGAACGGGAATCCCGACGAAACCGCCAACGAACGCCAAGCACCCCCGTTCGCAGCCATCGGCATCGACCCTATCCCCGCCGGTGTCGAGTTCGAGGAGCCTGGCGATGAAGAGCAGGGCAAGATCCAATTTGTCCTGAACAACATCACCGAGGGAACTCTTCAGTCAATGCGCAACGAACTGCGCGATGTGGTGGAGCACAATCACCAGCAGTGGTTTGCCAGCCATCTCGTCGAAGAACGTGCGAAAATGCAGCCCAACTACCACCATGTTTATTTGGAGCTTGTCAAGCTGTTCGAGGACAAGACCCTCTGGAGCGAAGTGCTTCGGGAGACATATATCAGCGTGGCTCGAATGCTCAACTCAGAGGCCACGATGCAGAACTCGACGGAGCGGACTCATTTGAAGAACCTTGGTGGCTGGCTTGGGCTCTTGACCCTTGCCCGTGACCGTCCCATCAAGCACAAGAACATTGCATTCAAGCAACTGCTAATCGAGGCCCATGACACCAAGAGACTCATTGTCATCATCCCGTTTGTTTGCAAGGTCTTGATTCAAGGAGCTTCGTCAGCCGTATTCCGGCCCCCGAACCCATGGTTGATGGACATCATCCATTTGCTCATTGAGCTGTACCACCACGCTGAGCTGAAGCTGAACCTCAAGTTCGAGATCGAGGTTCTGTGCAAGGGCTTGAATCTGGATCACAAGAGCATCGAGCCATCAGGCGAAATACTCAACCGACCCGCGGCAGAGGAAGCCGTCGAAGTGCTTCCACACGAGCAGCTTGACGCCTTTGATACCCTGTCCCTGAACGGAATCGGGTCTGTTGTTGGTGCGGGTCTCTCTCCCCAAGCCGTTGCGCCAACTATACCCGACGTCGGACCTATGATCAGCATCCCCCCTACGAATGAGATGGTTGTGAGCACGACGCGCCTCCACGAGATTGTTCGGAGTGCTCTCACACGGGCTCTGCAGGATATTATCCAGCCTGTTGTGGACCGGTCGATTACGATAGCGGCAATTTCGACGGTTCAGATGGTTCGCAAAGACTTCGTCTCGGAGCCAGATGAGAACAAGATGAGGAACGCTGCCGTCAATATGGTCAAGTCGACCGCGGGCAGCTTGGCTCTTGTCACTTCCAAGGAGCCTCTCCGAGCGAACATGACCAATTACATGCGCAATCTTGCCAACGACCTTCCCTCGGGCCTACCTGAGGGTACAATCATCATGTGTGTCAATTTGAACCTCGAACTCGCCTGTAACATCATCGAAAAGCAGGCCGAAGAGAGAGCTGTTCCGGAGATTGAGGATATGCTTGAGGAAGACGTCCAAGCTCGAAGACGGCATCGCGCCCAGCAACCAAACGAGCCCTTTTACGCCGGCACGGTCAATCGTTGGGCCATGACCATTCCAAGTCCGTACAAATTGTCGCCCAACATAAATGGCCTTAACAGCGACCAAATGCAAATCTACGACGATTTCGCGAGACAACCGCGTAACACCACGGTATCGACTGCGCATGCGCCATCTGCTTCAGATGCCACCCGATCTCTTGCCAACGAGGTCCTACAGGAATCCTACAGCACGATTCCCAGCATTCCCACACCAGCCGAGACGCCTTCGGTACAGCACATCGGCTCTCAGCTACCGTATGCCCCGGTTTCCAGTGCTGCGGGCAACGTAGGCCGCGGGGTCGGCGCGAATGCCTATCATATTGATGTCCGTGGTCTGGCTGAGCGCGTCAACAAGCTGCTGCAAGAGCTCTTGCGGGTTGCCGGGGAAGCTCAAGAGGAGCACTTCATCGGCCTTCCAAGACCACATCCAGTTCTGGACGTGGTTGACGCGTTGGTGCAGCTCATCATTAAGACGTCCCAGAGCTCGGAAGAGTTCGCCATCTACACTGCAGAGCAGATCAGCGCTCTCATTTTCCAGCAAGTCGAGGACAATCTGACCTTGGAAAGCCTGGTCCACGTCTTGGAGACTTTGCGGAAGATTTCCGGACCTGCGTTGAACAGCCGAGTTCGGGCGCTGTTTAGCCAGCAACCCGGTCCGAATTTCTTGAGCCTGCCATTGCTTGCCGCCTTGATTCGCACCGATTTGATCGACTGGAGAAATATCGATGCGGCAATGTCCAAGGCTCTCGAGAGCCGGAAAGAGTCGTCACTGGAGTTCCTGGAACACCTGCTTGATCTCGCCCTCATCAGCAATCGGCCCATCGCGCTTTACGCAGATTTTGTGCGCACAATGGAGAGAGCGTGGGCATGGGTCTCGGAAGAGCCCAGCAATGCCACTGCCCAAAGACTGAAGGAGAAGCTTCTAAACGCAGGGCTCCCGCAACCTTCGTGGAACAGTACCGGAGACGACAAATCAGCGTTCCGACAGGAACAAATGGAATATGTCTTCGAGGAGTGGGTCCATCTCTGCAACAACCCAAACGCGACAGCCGAAGCCTCCAATATCTTTATGGATCAACTGGAGGACAGGCTGCTCGTCAGAGATCAGAACGACTTTTTTATCTTGTCCCGCGTCGCTCTCGAACTGTGTGTCGATCGTTTCGACCACATCGCGCACTCTAGCGCTATCAGCGACGCGTATGTCATGGTCGATGCCTTGGCCAAGCTGATTTGTGTTTACACCACGACGCGCAACGAGACATCCGGCACCCGCACATCTCTGATGGACTCCACCTTTACTGTGATCGGCTTGATTCTTAGCCACCATCATATGAAGCGAGGCGAGCACCTGAATCAACGTGTCTTCTTCCGCCTTTACTCGCTGCTTCTTCACGAAGTACACGGCGACAGCGACAATTACACGGAAGAGGATCAGCGACGGCTGCTGCTGTCGTTCGCCGCCAAGCTCGAGAATGCCGGGCCTTTCTATCTCCCGGGTTTCACGTTTGGTTGGCTATCACTCGTTCAACACCGAGCCTTTGCTCCGGTGCTGTTGCAGATGCCTGGAAATGCCGGTTGGCGCCCGTATGCGAAATTGCTCGTGCAGTTACTAGACACGCTCGGCGAGCAACTCAAGTCACTCAACGTGTCAAGCATGGCCAAGGAGCTTTACCACGCCACCCTGAAGCTCCTGGTGATTCTCCAGCATGACTTCCCGGACTTCGTCGCGGCCAACCACGTCACGTTCTGTGCCAGCATTCCGCCGCATTGCAGCCAACTGTTGAACGCAATTCTATCAGCCAACCCGCAACAGAACCCGACTACAGGCATGAAGCCGGATCAATCGGAAGAGATCAGCTTGTATCCCGGGCTGGTCGAAGACGCAACGGCGAAGCTGCGGGACTCTGGGCTCCTCGCCGTGTTGGATCAGGTACTCGGCAATGGACCTGCCGAAGACACCGTCGCGCAGGTTGCACACGCCATGACACATAACAGCCCGCAGGAGACCTCGTTTGGACATATTCCGGTCGCGGCCAACGCTCACATCATTGGCGCCGTGGTTGTGTACATCGGGCAACACGCCGCAGAACGTATGTCTCGCTCGCCAAACTCCGCGGCCGTCACCGGGAGCGAGTCTGATGTGGCGACGCTCTCCCTGCTTGTTCACGAGCTGCCGCCTGAAGCCAGGTACTACCTTGTATCCTGCATGATGAATCAGCTGCGATTCCCGAGCGCCTACACAGACTTTTTCTGTCAAGTTGTGCTCCATATCTTTGGCAAGGACTTGAACGACCCCGAGGAATCTGAGATACGCCAGGAAATTACCCGGGTGCTCCTCGAACGTCTTGTCGGGTTCTGGCCTCAACCTTGGGGGCTCATGTACACGGTTCTGGAGCTGGTCAAGAACGAAAAGTACATGTTCTTCGACCTTCCCTTTGTCAAATCGACACCAGAGGTAAGTCGTCCCAAGGCCGTCTGTCCTCTTCTAGTCGCATTGCCAAGCATGCTTACATCTCCATCCAGGTAGCGGAAAGGTTCGCCACGATCCTCCAACGTAATTAAGTTTGTTGGACGCCTATGTCGGCGCCCGTCAGTCAACGTGAAGCGGGAGTCCTGAGTCTTCACGACATTACAAACACATCCACATTTAACGGAGGTATAGTCGCATTATGCCGGACTTGACTATTGCAATGCATGGCTGGGAGTAGAGGTAGATGCTAACAGATGGTCTGGGGCGTTCCATGTTTTGGGGGAAGCAAGGACGCACGGGCTTCATGAAGCAATGTACACCCTGTATATATGTACGAATAGCTACTAATGCAGAGAGACTGGCGCTGTCCAGTCGTCAGTGCGAGCGCGTCTTTGAAACAATAAGTGTAGACTCTCTGGACGAACTCGGCTCAGACAGTGAGGGTGCCCTTCATGACTTGGACGGCTGTGCCGGCCAGTTTGACTGTCTCAATCTTGGAATCCTGCACATCCACCTCAACGACGATATTGCTTTCCTTGCCCATCTCGACACCTTGCGTGATGTTGTACGTGCGCGTGGGGGTGGTTTGCTTGTCTCCGATTGCGCTGAGATAAGAACTCAGGCAGCAGGCAGCGGCGCCGGTTGCAGGGTCTTCGAACTCATGGGTGATCATGCGCGTGCGCAGGGACACGACGGGCTGGGCGTTCTGGTCCAGACCTGACCCAGTGCGCACGTAGTAATAACGCCCCATGAACCCATTCTGCCATCCGTCGTCCAGAAGCTTGTCGATGGGCAGCTGGGTGCTGCTCTGTTGCACCTGGCCAAGCAGCTCAAGCGAGGGCAGCTCAACAAGCACGAAGCTCACGCCATTGACGACGCTAAAGACTGGGGCGTCGAGTTCAAGCTCGCGGATCTGCGCGTTGGCCTGAAGGCTACCTGACGGAAGGGACAGGTCGCGAACGTGTTTGGCGTGTAAGTGGACGTTATGGGGGATGCTGGCCTGCGCCACGGCGCCGTCGCCTAAGCGCCGTACGGGAATGGGGCCGGCCTTGGTGACGAGCGTGTCTACGCCCTGGTCGAGCAGCGAAACCGCAGTGCCGACGGTTGGGTGCCCGGCGAAGGGGATCTCGGCAAAGGGCAAAAATATGTCAATGTTGCGTTGCTTCGTGGTCGCCGGGTCCGCGACGTCGTGGACAAAGACGGTTTCGGACAGATTGAACTCTCGGGCAATGGTCTGCTTTTGCTCCTGGGAGGGCTTCGGGCCGGAGGCGGGAATGGTGATGATTGCGAGGGGGTTCCCACGGAACCGGGTCTCCGTGAAGACATCGACGGTAATAAAAGGCAGCTCCATTGTCATTGTGAATTGATGAGATGGGTTGTGTAGGTTAGGGATGGGAATGTGTCTACGAGAATGAGAAGAAGACTGTTTACAACAACAACAACAACAACGACGACGATCACGAGGGTTCCATCGTGGTATTTATCTGTTGCAGATCAGAAGCGTACAGCCTGGGTCAAAGTAAGCTTCATGCGCTCTGTCACATCGTCGGCCTATGATCCTTCCGTCTCAACGGGGCAATTACAACTCCCAGGCCACTCAACGCAGGCCGACGTTCAGAGCTTCGCGGGGGTTGCTATCTGACACTATCTCGTTGGGCCTTCACGGGGGGTTCAATGAATGCTCCTTGTTACCCGGAGCTAACCGGGGAGGCTGAGAGCCACCCCCTCATCGAACATCTTGGATCCCTGCTGACGAACCCCAACTCCCAATTAATAAGCCTCATTGGCTCGTTGCGCCATCGTGGATGACCAAGGCAATGGCAAAAGCCAGCTGGTCGTTGCGATGCCACTTTAACCGGCGCAGAGACTCAACTGCTCGGCATTGCCTGCCAGCATCGTCGACGCGAAGCGCATCCTCGATTCGTACGAAGAACGCGTTACCACATGATACGAGCCCCAGAGCCGGATCTTTCCGGGAACGAGCCAGTTCCCTTTCCACGACTTACACCATAGAGACGGGGAGACAGGCTGGTGGGGCGTCAGTGTCGCCGCCAGGAGTCCCACCAAGACCCAATACCCTTTGGGACTTCAGGTGCGGCGGGCCCATGGACAAAGCGCCTGGTCGCGCCGTAACCGTGCCTGGACGCTTCCAGGTTGACAGCAGCCGAGGAAGGCCCACCACCCTGGCCTGGACCCTGTTTTCCCACTGGGCTCTCCCAGGACCCAGAGCTGATGTAATTGAAGTGCTGCGACTGCGGTACTTTTTCGTTCCGGCCCGGGGCGAGCAGCATTGCGGCTAGGCGTGAGAGGGGAGTCCAGATGGGCCCCTATGCACCCCGGCCTCTTACATGCAGCGCGGCTGCAGCTGAGGAGCACGGCAGGTCAGCACGTTTGGGGCTCCATGGCTTGGCATTGCCCCTTGTTGGCTGCGGTGTGCGGCGGTCGTGCGCAACGCTGGTCTCAGCTCTTCCGCCGTCGCGGCCGCATCTCACAGCAGAGCCGGGTGCTGCAGCCCGCGCCGGGGGGGGGGTTGCCAGCCACAACGATCGGGCGGTGAGCGCTGAAAGTCGTCTCCGCCATTCCCGAACGACGGGTGTTGCTATTGTTGTCATTGGGCCTACGTGCCAGTGGCGGAAACTGAATTGGGGGGCGTCGCCGGCTGCGAGCCCCGGCAGAAAACAGTAACTTAGGGCGCGGGAGGGAAGAGGGGTTGCGCGGGCTGCTGCGTCGAACGGGAAAAACAGAAGTGGTGAGGTCACGACTCGTGCAAACCGCCAGCCGTGACCACGTCCGTCCGTTGGGGGCGCCCGCGCCTCTTCCAAGGAGCAGAAGAAGAAAACCAGTGTGGGAGGGGGCGGGACTCACGGCTACGTGCCTTGGCGTGCAATTGCGCGAGGCTCAATGCCCGCGAGAGCGCTCGCGCAGGTGGTGGCCCATGCCTGGCTGTGCGAACGAAGCGCGTTTGCATCGCTCGACGGTGTTCGAATCGTCAGCGGCAACCACGGGCAGAGGGCTGCACAACCTTGGCCTGTCGGCGCGCCCGTTACCAATGGCCTAGGTAACTCTCGCGCGTAGTTGAAGAGCATCCATCGGCTTCCTGCGCCTGCACCTGCACTAATAAAGCATGTACACCGACTGCAAACGACGAGGGCGAGTCGACAGCACGACCCGGACGGCAGTGAGCAAGAACATGGCGGACGAGGCTCCGCAGCCCCGCCTCTCGTCCCCGTTGCGTGCGAGTACTCGAGCTTTGTACGGTACCTTGTATGTACGCAAGGCACAGTACTGTACGGTACGAGCCCAGGAGCCCACGCGACGACGATCGCCTCGCCTCGCCTCGCCTCGCCGGCTTGGTGGGCGTTGCTCTGGCGTCACGGCCCATCCGTGTCGGCGGGCATGCGCAGCCCAGGGAGCGGCAACAGGCGGTTGATGCAGGGGGTCAGTGTCCCATCATGTGTCAGATCTCGCAGGCCAACAGGCGCCCGGGGCCGGGGGTCGGGAGGGTCGCGAAGGGAGGGCGTTTCTGAGCAAGGGGGCCACCACAACGACGACGTCGTCGACTCGTCGCACACAGACGGTGTGTGTGTGCGCTGCCTTTTGTGCTCAGAAGTTTGCCGTTAGCGGCCCGTCCTGGCTTCGGGGATGACGGATGGCGGATGGGACAGACGACAGGCGATCTTCGCGGTGACGACTCGAGGCTGTACTGCCCTCGTGCTGCGCAGGTACAAAGTACCTTGTACCGCTGGTACGATGCCATGCCATGCCATGAGGTGGATGCTTGCACACCAACTCCCGGGCGGCAAAGACACCCTTCGGGTACCCTCCACTCCCTGTCACAGCAGCAGCAGGTCCCCTTGGTCCCCCAAAAAGACAAGGAGGAGCCCGCCATGGAATGCGCCTCCCTTTTTTTTGGGCCTGCGGGCCCCAATTTTGGTGACGCTGCATCGGGGGGCGGCCGTGCCCCACTGACGTTTAGGGGCCCCACTTCGGCAAGCTCGCAGCCAGGTGCCGGCCAATAGGATGCAGGGGGAAAGAAAAAAAAAAGTTCAAGCTCTCGTGCTTGCTGCCTTCCTCCCAGCCAACGCCAGAAATCGCCTGAGCTTCTTGCCTCCCCGTCCGAGTCGCACTCCATCCCCATCTTGCCTCCCCCTTCTGTAACCTTTTTGCCGCAACCACCCTCCTCTACCCCCTCATTCCCCCAACCTGCACTGCGTTGCGTGTAAGCCGACAGCGACCTTCTTTCTTCACGACACGACCCTTTTCCTGTATTATCGCCTTGGACTACGAGTCCCTCCGGACCTGCCGTCACCCGTCGTGGTCCTCGTCGTCGTCGCCCTCGTCCTGCACGCGCCCATCATCGACCCCCCCAGTACGCGCCCACGCTGCCTCGGCAACCGCCCTCCCTTCGCCGTCGTCCACAGCGCGACAATAACAAATCGACCTCACGAGTTCGAAGATGCCTTACAACACGCGACGCAAATCGCTCTCCTTGCCCAGCTTGGGCATTCACATCCCCGTCACGCACGCCGCTCGTGCCGCCGCAGCAAAGGGCGCTGGTCGCCTTTCCTCCTCGTCGTCCACATCAGATACCCGCTCCCAGTCGCCCGACTCGCATCCTAGCAAGCGCTTGAAAAAGTCTCACGATGTCGCCGCCGCCGTCGCCGAGGCCCTGGTCGAGCACACGCCACCGCCGTCACCTACTCCTGCGACCAGTATCGAGATGTCAGACGTCGACGAGAAGCCCAAGATCGATCTCCAAAGTATCAACGACGACATCGTCGAGGCGTCGGTGATGCAACTGCAGTCGACGGCAAACCGCCCTCATCTGATCAAGGAGCTAGCGACTGTCCTGTCACAGAAGTTGGTATCCGTCCAACAGTACGTTGCGCCTCTCTGGAGTGCCACTCTCCTTCTCCGCACTTGTCGCTAACAACCCTTCGCAGGTCCGCAAACCCGTGTGCCATCATCTCCTCCCGTCTCACCTCCTTCATGAAGCGCCCCTGCTGGTCTACCCTGAACCCCTGTCCGCTGGCCAAGGAGCTTGAGACTGTTCATCCTCGGCGAACGTACTTTTTCTTGACAACCTGCCCGCGGCCGGCGCTGCCTGATCCCAACGCCACCCAGGCGCCACCGTCGGCCATCGTCACACCGTCTGTGTCACTCACTGATGACTCTGGCTCTGATGATGTTGATGCGCGACGAAGAGACTTGAGCCCTTCGCCCGAAGTCGACTTGTCATCTCCCGAGTTCGACGATGCGGACGAGGATTCCGCCATGCCCATCACGCCTATCGGTTCCTTCAAGGCTCGCCACTTGAAACATTCAAGAGACATGCGCCACGACTCGCCCCCCTTGGAAAAGGACGAGCGCGAGTTCACTCAGACCGCAGACGTGCTCCAAAAGCGCAAGCTGAATGACTCGCCGCCAGCCCCAGACACGGTGGAGCGGAACTCCGGAATGGAGTATGGCTATCGCGACGACATTTGGTTTGGCGACAGCCGCCTGAATGCAGCGGCTACGTTTCTTACCAGCCCAGCCATGAGACCTAGCCTGCCGTCGAGCATGCGCAAGGATGACGAGGCCGACCCGTGGCTCAAGATCAACGAAATGTTCCAGTGGGACAAGGGAGCCGAGAGCATCGAGATCGAGGAACTCGACTGTTTACTGGAAGGTTGCTAATTGCTAATGATCTGTGTTTTTGTTTTCGGCTTTGCGACAGGCGCAAGGAGTTTCGAGGATCAATGGCAACAAAAGTCGATCGCTGCCTCGACAGAGATTTGGAATTTGACTTTGCGACGACTTTGGAAGCAAGATGCCATTGTAGAAATACACATGTATATATAGATGGCTTGTCTTGTCTGCGACGGCCTGGATGTACGAGAAGTTTGGAGACTTGGCGTGCCAGGAGCGCTGTCTGTACATATTACCACTCTCCGATGAATGACATGCCACTCATTGCAAGACTCGCGCGCATAGCGTCGCTCAGCCAGTGCCGTTCACCCGTAATTCTATCCAAACAAGCGTCCCCATTTGCAACACGTTGGGACGGTCCAACTTCACAATCTCTAGCCCCGGCATCTGGCGAACTGCCTCGTCGACGAGCGCTTCAATGTCTCGGTTCCACCAGCAGCCGTACTTTTGGAAATGCTTCCCAGCGTTCTTGTCCAGAAGGCCATTGACAATGCCATACCAGCCCTTCCCGTGCTCCAGGAGAATAATTCGGCCGGAGTCGGGTTTGACAGCCGTGGCCAAGTTCACCAGGACGGCAACAGGGTCAGAGACAGAGCAAAGTCCAAAGGTTTGTACTATTGTATCGTATTTTCGTCCCTGCGTGGCGACGGCTGGGGGTGGTAGAGGGTGGTGCGCATCGGAGTTGATGAGACGGAGTCGGTCATTGAGGAACGAGAGTTGGCCGCCGACATGGTCAGCCATGTTGGAGGCTTTCACGACAGGGGCGAATGACGACATCGGAGGGATGGTCTTGACAAAACGCTTGCGCGCAACGTCTAGCATGTCGATGGAGATATCGAGGCCGGTAAAGGACGTGATTCCGCCGGGTGTCCTGTCTGAACGAGTGGAGGGCTGTGTCGCTCCCTTGGCAATGGCAGTCAGTGGCTCCCAGTCGTAGTACTCGAGGTTCCGGCCAGTGCCCATGGCCAACTCCAAGACGTGGCCTTTGGCATGCTGGGCGAGCTTCTTCCGCAGCTTCGTGATGCCCATCCACCATTCGCCCAGGTTGAGCTCCTTGTCGAACTGTTCCGCATTCTCGCCAGTCAAGGCCGGCGGGCGACCAGTCGGCGTGGCGAGCTCGTCATTACATGACCCATCATGGTGTCCCTCACATGGACAAGTCTTTAAGGAAGCGACGGCAGTGCCGAAGATGTAGAAGCCGAGGAAGCCTGCAAGGATCGCGGCACCGGTGAGAGGCAGCCAGGAACGGCGCCAGAGCGTGAGGATGGTATCCGGCGGCGGCGGCGGCGGCGGCGGCGCAGATGATGAAGGGTTGCGGGTTGCGCTGCTATATCCCTGTCAGTACTCGTCAGGATTGGATGTAGGGATCAGACTGACGGCTTATACGGTCGAACAACGCGCGACGGGTGTTGCTGCTTTGCCGATTGCGGGGGCTTCGGCGGCTGTCGCGTGGCAGGGCGAGACGAGCTCGCATAGCGCTGCCATTGTCGAGCGCGGCAGAAGCCGTTCCTGGCAATGCCGCGCGTGTTCTGGATCATTGGTGCTGCATTGCCCCGTCGTTCGCCTTGGTGATGCGTCGTTGCTCGGAGCGCGAACGGGGGGGACGGGCGGGTGCCGGGGGTCTTGAAATTTCGCGTGTCCAGAACTCCCGGCAGCTGCAGGCGTCAAGGTTGTCCCGGAGGTGGGGACGGGCCGACGTTTCGGAGCCGTGGTGGATCCACGCCTATGCAGCCGCGGTGGCATGCCACTTGGACCGTTACTTGGACCGTGCACGATGACCGGGACTCTCTTCCCTCCCTTACCCTGCAGCTCACGGTTCTGCGACGCGCTTGTGGCCGTGGTACAACATCAGTGGTGTCACGAGAGCAAATCAACAGCATAATTACTACTTCTTCTCATCCTGTGGGCGGGAAAGCGTTATGGCGGGGCAAGGTGATTTGCAAGAGCTGCTGAGAATGCTGAATTCACGAAAGGTTCCCATGATGGCAGCCATGGGTCACATCAAGGCACTCCAGGCCAAGAACCTCCGGAGGTAGGTCACGCCCTCGTCTCGCCGGCATTCATTCACTCATGTCGTCCGTCAAGTATCAGCGACATTGCAGAGGCACCCATCGCTACAATTGAAGAAGCCATTAATGATGCGAAGCTCGCAAAGAGCCTCCACACGGCCTGCAAAGGCCATGGAAAGAAGTCAACTAAGCGTGCTGCTGAGGATGCGGCGTCAACGACGGCGAAGAAGATCAAACTGGAACCTCACAAACGCGATCTGGACTACAGTTCCATGGCGCCAGAGGAGCTCGAGGGGGCGCTGAGCCTGCCGCTTGTGGAAGACGAAGACGCAATCCGCCAAACGACTTTAGTCACGAACAGGGCGCCGCTCGTTCTTGCTTTTGCTGTCGAACTACTCCGCTGTACCATGCCGGAACAGCCACCAAGCAGCCGACTCAGCTTGGCCCAGGCAGTGGTCAGCGCAAACTCCAGAGCCAAGGCCGTCAGCCTGGGCATTGAGAAGGCTCCAGCTGGAGGCGAGATGACAGTTCCTGAAGGTCAACCCAAAGTCCGAGTGCTGGGACGGGATGTACCGGTTCTCAAGCGAGGTGGATACACGTGGACATCCGACGATACGAAAGCCCAGCCATCAACACAGAGTTCCACCAGCACTGGTACTGTTGCAACATCACAGGAGCCAAGGCCGAAGACCTGGACAGCAAGTCAAAAGCTGTCATCGAAAGGGTCCGTGTTCGTGGCGCATGCGGCCAAATTGTCGTCGCCGACGCAGCGGGCAAGCATGATGAAGGCTCTCATGACAGAAAAGCCGGACCTGGAGACGGCGACGCACAATGCGTGGGCTGTGCGGTCGAGCTATGGCAACTCGCCTCTGGTTCAAGAAGCATCGTTCGATGACGGCGAGTCAGGCTGCGGAAAGTTCCTGCTTGGAATCATGCGGGAAATTGACATAAAGAACGTCGTCGTCGTTCTCACGCGATGGTACGGCGGAGTGATGCTTGGCCCGGACAGGTGGCGACTGATGAGGGAGTGTGTCAACGACTCCCTGTCGATGCAAAGGCGCACATCCTCGCTTTCGGGCGAGGCTGTTTGGGCGCTCGACCCCCAGGACGACAAGCCTACGGCGTCGACCGTTGGAATGGCTATCCACCGACCAGAGGGGGCCCGAAACTACTTGCTTCGGAGCTTCGCAACCGCTCACGAAGACGGCACGAGCGAGGGAAAGAAGACGGCCGCGGCGATGAATGAGGAGAAGCAGGAGAACCTTGGGCGGCTTCTAGGCGCGCTTAGGATACTGTTCACGAGCTGGGACGCCGTACTGAGTAGGGAAGAGCTGGACAGACGGGCTTGGAGCTGGTATGTCGCGGTAAGGCCGGACGTGGAAGCTGGACCGTCTGGATGGGGTGCCAAGGGAACGTTGAGGCTCACAAGGATACTGGACCTGAAGCGGAAGGATTCCTAGCCGGCTTGCTTGTGACAATTCGAGCCAAAGAGGGCGGCGAGTCTAAGCGTTCATCGTACATATCATATGCACCTCACGTAGCGACGTTGAATTGGCCGCCATTGTTATTTCGTTCCAACGTCTTTCGAGGGTCACGCACAGTTTCCAGGCTGAAGAAATTCCCTGGAGACGCCGTGATGCCCTTGCCAGAGGCCGGCTGTCCCATATTTTTGTCAGCCCGTACAAATCCTCGCGACACGCCTGTCACCTTATCGATATGCCCCACTGAAGCGGCTGAAGCAAACGCGCCAGGGCAGGTGGTGGGATGTTTGGCCACGGCGATAAACACAAACAGCCCCAAGTCAACAAGGTCGGAACCCTGCATCAACAGCACTCGTCCAAATCGCAGGACGCCAGCGACCACGGCAGCAACCATTGCGGCGCGGCGACTCTTCATGGCAGGCCTTTGCCACTAACTTTGCAGCTATTGACACGGCTTCTTCCCCGGTGCACTCTCGTCGTGCCCCGCCATTCGCTCTCTGTCCCTTGCAGGCGCGTCTTCCCCGCGTCTAAAGTTGTTGACCACCTTCGCCGGGGCGACCAGCTCTCGACCATCGACTCCGTCCTCCCCCTCCTCGCACACCGCCGCCCCTTCGAACGACCGCCGACGCCAACGCCGATCAGCAGCCTGCGGCATCGAGGCACGTCCATTGCGCATTCGGCCGACGACAAAAACCCTTCTGCGCCTGCGTTCCAATACGACGAGCGAGCGACCGCCTCCCACACCGCCATCATGGAGAACTACCAGAAGCTGGAAAAGGTCGGCGAAGGTGAGTTCTCTAGCTGGAGGATGGGCTCCTGATGCGCGCATAGCGACAGTCGCATTTCCAATAGCGGACGGGCCAGGCTGACATTACCGCGTCTACGAAACAGGCACGTACGGTGTCGTCTACAAGGCTCGAGACCTTGCCAACGGAGGGTGCATTGTGGCGCTCAAGAAGATCCGACTCGAAGCGGAGGACGAGGGTGTTCCCAGCACGGCCATCCGCGAAATCTCGCTCCTCAAGGAGATGAAGGACAAGAACATTGTCCGGCTCCTGAACATTGTCCACGCCGACGGCCACAAACTCTACCTCGTTTTCGAGTTCCTCGACCTCGACCTGAAGAAATACATGGAGGCCCTGCCGGTCAGCGATGGAGGTCGCGGTAAAGCTCTCCCCGAGGGTGCATCGATCAAGGTGTCGCAGTTGGGCATGAGCGATCAGGTTGTGCAAAAGTTCATGATGCAGCTTTGCGAGGGAATCAAGTACTGCCACTCACATAGAGTGCTGCACCGCGACCTGAAGCCCCAGAACCTGTTGATCGACAAGGACGGCAACCTGAAGCTGGCCGACTTCGGTCTGGCACGCGCCTTTGGCGTCCCATTGCGCACGTATACGCACGAGGTTGTCACATTGTGGTACCGGGCTCCCGAGATTCTCCTAGGCGGACGTCAGTATTCCACCGGAGTGGACATGTGGTCTGTGGGATGCATCTTTGCCGAGATGTGCACGCGGAAGCCTCTGTTCCCCGGTGACTCAGAGATTGATGAGATCTTCAAGATTTTCCGGTAGGTGTTGGAGTGGCAGAAGGCGCACCCCTTTCGTCTTCAAGTCGCGACTGACTTCTATCCTGCAGTATTCTGGGAACGCCATCAGAGGACCTTTGGCCGGGCGTCACCTCGTATCCCGACTTCAAGTCTTCGTTTCCCAAGTGGCAGAGAGACTACTCCAACCCCATCTGCCACAATCTTGACGACAAGGGCCTCGACTTGCTGGAGATGATGTTGGTCTACGATCCCGCCGGTCGTATATCGGCCAAGCAAGCGTGCAATCACCCTTACTTTGAGGAATTTATTGCCCAGAAACAGGCCAGCGTGGGCGGCGCGAATGGCTACTACAATTAAGGTGCGCGTCAGACGGATGCACGCAGCATCAGTGCCGGCGCACAAGGGCAATGGGCAGACAAGAACTCGGCGTGTAGACACCTCGTGGGCTTTCAGGATACTGCGAGGCCCGCCGGGTATCGAACACGAAAAGACATGCCATCGACGCCATGATCGTACAGACAGCGAATATCACCTATCAGCGAGAGGCACTCAATTTAGGTCAGCGTTGGTCAGGCTTCGTTGGCCAGTCAAACTCACGACGGCAGCAACTTGCAGCAGGATGGCACTGCCCCAGACTGACGTTGGCCAACACGGCTAGGAATGGACCGCCTTCTGCCGGTGCAGCACAGCGAATATGCACGCGGCTTACAGATGAGTTGCGGCTGGCTTTATCGTGTAGTGACACGATTCTCTTTTGTTCTATCATGTACGGAGTAGACGAGGGCATACCGGTCTGGATTCTGGAAGGCACGGTAATAGACATAACGACACATGAGCAATCTGTATCTGATAGCGGAGCTCGGTACCGGACCGATCTCTGTGACCTCACACAGCACCACCACGGGCGCGGTTGGCCTTGGAGAGCCTCGTACTCGCGCCCCAAGTTCGAGATGCCGAGTTACCCCTGGAGGCCGCCGGGCTGAATGTTGTGTTACGACCCCACCGTCTGCCATGCCAACAGCCCTTCAGCGTTAATTAATCGACGTCTACATAATACTTCGTACGAAGTACCGCAGCTGGCTTGCCGCTCCCGACAGGGGGTACATCAGAATGGAAAGTTGTGGCCTGCTCATGCAAGCAAGCTGCAGTGATGCATGTTCGTGGGTGAGCGGCAGGTATGGCGATTGGCGCACGAAGCGCAAACTGTTGGTCTTACGCGCGCAAGCTATTTACAGCCTCTGCAGTGTGCTCGTACTGAAGTTGATGAGGGCGCCTGTTGATACCGGGTGCCAGCTACCTACCCCTGGGCCGAGTACGCGCCTGGGCGGGACAAGGCTTTGGGCGGCTCGCTTACGGCAACGGCTCGCGCGTCTGGGCGGCTCAGTGCATACGCATAAGCACAATGTGTTGGCAGCGACGGCGTACAAGCCCATGAGAGAAGTCCGAGTACGCAGTCAATTGCCGGGGAGGTCATCACGGTCCCACATCTGCTGTCTATGCTGTAGTGTCTAGAGCGAGCTTGTGGTCCGACCTGAGGCTCGCTTGTCGACCTGGCGCTCCACAACCCAGTCACAGTCACAAAGTCGATCGGGCTCGGCTATCACAGACACAAAAAGCACAGCCCAGCGGGCCATCCAGAGACACGAACAAGGTTCCGGACCGCCAGTAGGCCCCCACGGCCCAAGTTGTCCGGCGCACGTCCAGTGTTCGTCTGAGAGACCAGGCGGATCAAGCGTACAGCCGTACTGCGGGGATATCGTCAATCGCCTGAGGGAGATTCCGCTAGGTCGTGGGGTGTGTGCCACGGACCAAGGTCTAGGTCGTTGCCAGGTGGAGATGCGCAGGCAAAGCTGAGCGAAGTAGCGAACGAAATGACCTGGGCGAGAGGGGTTGAGGGGGAACTAGTCCAGATGGCTTGGAGCATTGATGGTGGAGTTTCCAGCACCGCACCGTACCTGACCTCTAGTACCTTGCCTACCAAGCAGACATGCCTCACCTCGAACTAATCGAATCTATTACCACCGCCACTGGCGGATGGTTGCAGGCTAGGACAAGGTCGACGACGAGCTTGGCTGGGCTTGCGACGACGGCTTGGACGGGCAGAGTGCAAATTTCACCTGGTCGCAGGAGCGCATGAGGCAAGGGAGGGAAATTTAATGACGGTGGCATCCGCCCCCGAGTACGTACATTTTACTAACGTGCTACGCACTTGAGAAACCTGTCACGGTGCGGTGCGGTGCGGGATCGGGCCAGGATGAGCCGGGTCTCGGGACGCACGCACGGGACCGGGACCGGGACTGGGAGGGAGCTTTCAAACGTGTGGCGCCTAGTGCGTGCTCGGGGGTTGGGATTGGAATCTGGGGTCGAGTGACCGGCCAGCGCCGTCAGCTGGCTTGTTGGCCCCCCGGAGACGCCCCCCCAGCGCCACCCCTGCCGATCGCTCGCCGCCCGTCCATCGACCAAGGCGGACCAGGGCTAGTCATCGCAGATGGTGCGTGGCGATCCAGCGGGGAACAAGACGAACCGTGAGAGGTGGTCGAGAGTTGCCGTCGCCGTCCCATGGCCTGATGGACTGATGGGATGGACTGACTCGGCGGAGGAATGGCAGGTCTGGGCTGGACTGGACTGCGAGGCCCCTCTCCTCTCCACTGGAGGCACACATGCGACGGCGACGTTGCCGGGTGGCTTCTAAGTTGGCATCGCTGCTGCCGGATTTAGTCTTGGCCCCTGGGAGCAGAGTCTTTCAGATTCTGCAGCAAGCAGCAGCGGCAGCAGCAGCCCGGAGCGCTGGCTTGATGGGGTCGCCGACAGGGCCGTGGGCAGCGGGCAGGGCCACAGCCACGTCGGTCGCCCCGGTGCATCAGCCACACTTGACGACCTGAATGCGAAGAAAGAGATCGGCCGTCGCAGCCAATCAGCAAACCGTTCGGCGGCCCTTGGTGAACCTGCCCTGCCGGATACCTCACCTGCTTCCCTGGCCTGGGAACAGGGGTGTCAGGATGGTTTTGCAGGCTCGGATACCTGAGACACGAAAAAAGGTGCCTCTGAGGTAGAGCGCAGGCGCAGGCGCCGTGGCGGCAGCGGCGGAGCAGTGGTAGCCACCACCTCACTTGCCAAACCAACGATGGCACCCGACAAGGCATTAATACGACGATCGGTGAAGTTGCATGCGATGAAGGAGGTACTAACTAACTTTTGCCCGAGAGCTCATCCATCGACCATCCCCGGCTGGTGCTGGGATGAAAGCCCGTGCGGGCTGCTGTCTGGCCTTGGCATCTGGGCCCTTTTAGCGTCACGTAACGCTAGCCCCGTGCGCGACGCACTCCGAGTGTGGGGTGTAAACGGCTCCCTGCGTCCAGGTCACCAAAGAGTCGACGATGCATATGTATCACACATGGTTCATCAGGGGTCTTCTTCATCAAAGTCTAGTCAAAGGGAGGGTTTGGTTCACGAGCCGTGTCGCGGGCTTGGCTCAAGAGACGAGGTTGGGTCGCCGTGGTTGTCTGGCTGATGATCATCCGTTGCCGCGCAGCCCGCCGTCATTCCGGGGCGGGACGTCACATTCTCCTCGTGTACGCTGCCCATGTCACCTTGGCGATGGAACACGCCGAACCGAATGCGCCCGAGCATGAGCAGACGGGATGCAACGCACAAGAGACCACGGTGCAGTCCGTACTGAGATGGAGCATTCATCGCCCGCCCCAAAAAAAGGAGGCCCAAAGGACCGTCGCAGGTCGCCATGTCATCCGTGTGTGTCTGACTCTGCCCATTGCCATGTGAACGTGGCCGTGCCCACCCTCCACCGTCTTTGTGTGCATCCCATCCCATACCAGCGACAGGCGGGATGCTGCGGCGGAAAAGGGTGGTGGTGGAGGCGCTGCGAATTGGACGTGCACTTGGGTGCGCGAGGCCCGACGATGGCGGGGTGCTGAGACACGGCGAGGGCGTGAGTTGGCGGTCGCAGCATGAAGGGTGTCGCGAACGGGCCCGACTGCCAAATTGACCGACCGTAGAAGTAGTGCGCAGTGCGTATGGTACCTTGGTGACGAACTACGTAACGGCGCTCCGTACAGTCCCAACCGCGGGATTCCAGCTCGTGAGTCTGTGACTGATCCGCAGCCCCCCCGAAGTCGGCAACGGACGAGGTCTGCCGATGCATGGTCCAGGAAGCGATGGCGGCGGCAGGTGACGGCTCGGAGTCGAGACGGGATGGTTCTGTCGATACGATATATCAGTGATTAAGATTTGTCTTTGAGCAAGCTCGACCATGAACTCGTCCGAGTCCCATTTCCAGGGAGATCATTGCATGGTTCATCAATTGGCATGGAGGTGGACGACGGTCTTGTCCAGGGTCTACCCCCTGCATTGGCACCGGCCCTGCGTGCTCAACACCAACGGCGACAGACGAGCTATTAGCTAGCCGGACGAAGAGGTCTGACCGCGAACGCCGGCGGCGCCATCACAAAAAATGCAGCCTGACGATCTTACAATGATCTCACCGCACCGACGGCATGACGGCCAACACAATGAGCCCACTTCCAACCTCATTGCTTGCCACAGCTCAGTGACGCCCGACCCTGCCTCTTCCCCTGTCTTAGTCGCCACGTTCACGAGGCTGCACGCACTTTGACGTCCTAGACATCCTGCTACGAGATCTTCACCGCCGGCCACCGAGCGTGAACCTGGGCCGATAGCCCCTGGGCCCCTCAAGCCGGTATAGGGGACTTTTGCCGTTGCGAACGAGAGGGCGATTTACCATGCCCTCGCTGAGCACTGGAATCGGGGCGTTAGGCTGACGCTGTCCCCTGCATCGAACACCATGCAAGATTGAGTGGCTCGCAGGAGCCCCGGGTTTCCGGCCGGAAACGATGTCCAGTTGCCATGCCATGCAATCCGTAAGATCCAAGCCCAACCAGCCCTGGTTGGGGCGCTCCATGTATGCCGGTTGCTGCCCAGTTGGCCCCGGCGTCGAGCGCAACCCCGACGCCGGGCTATACGGCGCTGCGTGCGCTCTATCACTTGCATCGAGCGGCCAGGAAACAAAGGCGCCGGCGTGAAGTCAGTCTGAGCCAACCGCGAGCCTGGCATGCAAGCAGCAGCGGCGGTAAAGGACACGGGCACAGAAATAGCAGCCGCATCTAGTTGCACCAAGCACGAGCTTTGCGGCAACGCCTGCGGATGACAAGAACGGACAGACAGCGGCAACTGAACCCAGCACAGCCTCGCCCAGGAGGCGGCCCACCGATTGCTTCACAATCTTGACGGGTTGACGGGTTGACATGACACACAGACGCACACAGAGTGGTGGGCTGGTGCGGACTCGCCGGGTAAGGGTGAGCGTCTGCATGTGAAGCTGGACGGCATGGGACGGGTATGCAATGTGCAGTATTGGCTCCCAACCAGGCGCTGCCATCCAAGAAAAGGAGAGTCTCAGGATTGGATGGCGCGCCGCGTTTCAAGGCGTTTGAACTGGTCGTGTTTCACGATGCAGATGCGCCCGGCCAATGAAACGGCTCCGGGGAGCCCTCGTCGGCGCTGCGGTGGTGATGCCACGGCCAGTCAGCGACGGGCGAGACGCCGTCGACAGCGGCGGGGGTGGTGGCCCACCCGCTGTGGGCAGCACGAGCCCCAGTCTTTCCCGCATCTCGGCTGCCCTGAGGCCCTGGCCTGGCATCCTGGGAACGGCGGGCGACACGCTGGCACCACTGGGGACGGGGCCAGTGGGCAGGACATCAGGTCGAGGCGGTTGCAGCCCTTTCGTTGGACGAGGATGGCTGCGAAGCGGTCCAGAGTTCCGGGGCTGAACGCAAAGGGCAAAGAAAACAAACCACGACTGTCCACTGGAAAGCCGAGTGGCCGGCTTCTGGGTCTATTTCCAGGGCAAAGCGTGAACTGGCGCGCGGCCCCCGTCCTGTAGATTGGCCGGCCCTGCCTGATGCGCATTTGCGTCCACGTTTGAGGTAGAGATGCAGCATGAGCATGGATCCGGAGCAAGCAGGCCAAGATCCATACGATAAGGCAAGGTAGGCAATAAGTGTCCAGTAGTAGTTGGTATTAAAGCATCGCCCTGGCCCATCTGGCAAACATTGTCCTTGCCCGGTCTCGGTAGTTTGTTCACTAGAACAGCCCTTGCGTGTCGATTTCCCAGTTTCTTCATCTCGCTGGACAGAGAAAGGATTCCAGCCGGCGCAGGAAGCAGCAAAGAGTATTGGCAAGGGAGGAAGATTTGACTTGACCGGTTGGCCCCATTTCCCACTTCGGCGCCATTGTTTCCCTCGTTTTCGCCCTCGACGACGACGACGAGCACCAGCACACGGGCGGCGCAATACAGCGCTCCTGTACCTACACGACGGACCCGCGAAAAAACGGCCCCTCCCTCCCGTCCCGTCTCCCAACGCCGCCAGCCCACTGGCCGAACGAGGAGCCCAGTTCAACCACCTGCCGCGAACGACCGGCCGGACCGACTGTTTTCTTTGCTTTGCTTTGCCTCTGCAGCTGCACCGCACGAGCAATTGAGAAACGGCCTGCAGTGACCAGAGCACGCGGCGCCCCCTTTTTTCCTTCTTTCCTCGCTCGCTCGCCCCTATTTTCCCAACTGGGGCTGGCCCCATCCTCGTTCGATCGAGTACGGAGTTGAGATACGGGGTACCCAAGTAACTACAGCCAGTATTCGGTGCTGGATTCCAATCCGCCCGACCCCTCGCCTCGCCTGTGCCAGACGGCGGCAGGCCACCGCCATCCTCCCTCCCCCCCCTTGGTTCAGGTTTCTTCCTGCCCGTCCGACTTATCGGAAGCAAGGGAAAACCGGCGGGCTTGGACCGTTTGCTTCTATATAACAACGGCTTCCTCTTTGTGCAGATAGAGTCCATTGTCTCCTCTGCATCCGTCACAAACGACAGCTTACAAGGACCTACACGCCGCACACAAAGGCACTCACACTCTCTTCCTGCACGCACGCACCTCACTTGGCAGCCAGCCGCACAGCGCACAGGCGCCACGAGGCCCCGAGTCCGACACCGTCACACGCGGGCATCAAACAAAAGCACCGCTCGCAAATCCTGCCGTTTCGCTCAGCCCGCGACTTGCTTGTGGCATCCTCGCGCTTATTAAACAGTAGACACGAGCGACCATCCATTCGGTCATCGCATCGCATCGCATCGCTTCGCGGTTGACCGGGGGTTTATCTCGCGCCCGCAGCTTCGCCAGACGCTCGCTCTTTCGCTCGCTCTGCCGGCATCAATCACACACCTCGCCTGCCACCAGGTCCCAATTCCTTCGCTTGTTTGACGCGCACACGACAGTCGCTCGAGTGGCAGCCGAAAGCGACACTGCACACAGCCTGCATTAGAGGAAACAAAGGAGAAACGCGCCATAAGCCGGACGACGCCAAGCCCCAACAGGCAGACAGACAAACGAGGCATCGCCCATCAGTCTCGCAGCGTACGCACGCACCGACGCAGCCCAGCGCCTGCATTGCAACCGTTCCGGTCGGGAACTCACACACGCTCACTCTCAACCACCACTTACTCACCGTGACTTCAGTCCGCAACGCTCTTCCGCCGGCTCGGAAGGTTCCCCCCCCATCTCCTGATCGGAAGGCACCAACCAGCGCCGCTGCAGCCCTGAAGCGGAGCTCCAGCGAGCCACCTCCGGACTTTTCGGCAGCCACGCGCAACGCCAGGCCCAACCGTTTGGCGAACTCGACTCGTATCGAGACTGAGAACGGCAAACCGCGCCCGCGTCTTGTTGGCCTTGTTCGCGCAGTGCAGCTTATTAAAAGGCGGCCCAAGACCCTTCATTACTGCGACTTTCCTTTTTCGAAACTCGACGTCCAGTCGTCATTCACTCTCACGGCTCTTTTGTTGCTCACATTTCCTTGTTCGCCGTCGTCGGCATCGACTCGACGCCTTTCTTCAGCATCAGCACCGCGGCGCAGCTCGTTGTCACCTGACTCGCTCGGGCTCTCGTCCTTTGAGCGCTCCCGTCGGCACTCCGTCCGCGCTCGCAGCACCCAAAAAAAGCCACACGGCGCCGTCGGAGCCAACCCAGCCAGCGGTGGATCGCCCCAGCCACAACCACGAATCCAGCAACCCCAGTTTCCTGGCCACTTCGGGAACGACAGATTCGCGTCCTGTTCGCCACCGCCCGTTATCCACGCTGTCCAGCACGAGCCGCGGCTGACTCTTTGCAGCCGGTCTTCGTTGCGTCCCGGCCTCCCGACGTCTTCGCCCGTCGCAGTCGTCATCACTCGGCGTCTTGGTCGGCCGGCCACCGTCCCGACCTGCATTCTCCGCCTCGCTCCCCGGTGAACGGAGCCCAGCATTGCTCACGCCTCGCTCAGTCAAACGAGTCGGCATTTGGACCCGCTGGCAATCGCGCACCCCCTGCTGACAGATCCCCCCTTGGACCAACTCTAAATCGCAACTGGCCGGCGAGCGATCCCACGCCCTGCTGGACCCAGACCCCTGTCGGCCTGGCCGCTAGCGATCTCAGCGGTGCTCCCACCCCCTCCACGCCTCGTGGTCTCCGGCCCAACCTTGGCTTGGAACCCTACCCGCCTGAAAGGGTGCAGTACCTGCGCCCCTTGGCCCCGGCCGTACCGACTCCACCGCCCCAGGCTGTCTTAGGTACCGCCTCCCTTGGCCCACCCGCGTACTTCGTGTCGCCCGGTCAGGTCCCTCCCATCCCTCCCGCCCGCCCTCACGGAGCCATCCTGAGGACCCCCTGCAGCAGCCACCGCACCGCAGGCATCCCCCGCTGCCGCTGGCACTCAGCGGCCGCCCCCCTGTGGCTCTGAACGCTCCTTGTGGACTCAGCCTCGTGCCCCCAACGTCACCCACTGACGAAAGCCCACGGGCCTCGCAGCTGGTCACTCGTCCCGAGCCAAGAGGCCACATGAGCCTTGGAGTTTGCCCTCCACTGTAGTACCTCTTACTCGTATCCATCCCATCCGTTCATTGTCTGACATATCAGTCACTCCTCCGCCTCCCTTCCCTTCCTTTTTCCCTTTCCCCCATCCCATACCCCCCCGCCTCGGCTCGAGAGGCCAAAGTCTTATAACACATCGCCGGCCCCATCCCCTTCCTTGTGCCGCCGCGATCTCGCATCCCCACCTCACTTATACCGACCCTCTCACAAGGCCGTCGCCACCCCATGCCCAACATGGCTTCGCGGCACCTCACCATGGACGAGCTCAACAAGGCCGCCCTCGAGCAGTTTGTCTACCAGCCCGTCAGCCGCGAAATGATTTCTTTCCTCGCCGACGCCGCCCACAACGTCATCACCTGCGACTCGACCGTCCTGTCTCCAGCTTCGTCCAAGGGCCAAGACCTGCCGCCGACCCCGCCGAGGAGTCCCGATTCGCGATCCGTCCGACCTGTTGAAGACGGCCTGCCGACTCTTGAGGAGTTCATCACTCAACTCGTCGTCTCCTCTAATGTCCAGGTCCCCACGCTCATGTCGACGCTCGTCTACTTGACGCGGCTCAAGTCGAAGCTGCAGCCCATGGCTCGCGGCCTCCGGTGCACCACCCACCGCATCTTCCTGGCCGCGCTCATCTTGGCTGCCAAGTACCTCAACGACAGCTCACCCAAGAACAAGCATTGGGCCAACTACACCCACATCAACACCGACATGTACAGTTTCGGCTTCAACCGCACCGAGGTGAACCTCATGGAGAAGCAGCTTCTCTTCCTTCTCGAGTGGGAGCTGCGCATCTCGGAGCAGGATCTGTATCGGGAGCTGGACTCCTTTCTCGAGCCATGCCGCATCAGGATTGCCGAACGACATGCGCGCAAGTTGCGCCAGCGGGAGGAGAAGCGCCGCCAGCAGGAGATTTACGCTGCCGCCACCCGCTATCCGAGCCCAGCCTCGTCCCGAGGCAATTCGCGGTCCCGCAACACGAGTCCCGATCACCTCCGTGCCGCAAGCGGAGGCTCTGTCACGCCACCCGGCCTCACCTACAGCAGCTCGGCCAGCTCATACGCTTCCTCGATCGCCTCGAGCCGACAGCAGTCCCGCTCCAACACCCCCTTGGGCTCCGACGGCGAGGCGTACTCGTACACCGGTCGCCAGGGCAGCCTCTACGGGTCCCCGGTCGTCATTGACACCGACATGGCCAAGGCTGTCCCCGCCCCCTCGAGTGCGCGGATGTTGCCGTACGAGATTTCCGTCGAGCAGTACCACGAGCTTCATGAAGGCCCAGCCAAGAAGCGTCACAAACGGGGCATGTGGGGACGACTTCTCGGCGGCGCCGTTGCCGTTCGATGAGCGAACCACTCTGCACCATCGCGTTACGGCGTTTTGGTTCCATTACCAAGTTTCTTATTTCATACATTGCATCAGAAAGAAAAGCATGGCGTTGCGACGGCGTTTTGGAGCGACTCGTGCTCCCCAGGATGGGACACGGGTCGCGCGCAGCATTTATACACCAACCACTCTCATATTCAGTCATGTCATTTCCGGCGCTTGCCTCTACACCTAATGCGTCCGACACAGGCGTTACAGAGATATCATGTGTGCACAAGGGGCGGGTTGTCGTCACATGGGCGTCAAGGGACTATTTCTCTATTTGGCTCGCTTCTGCATTTCAGTTGTGGTGTTGGTGGGCAAGGAGTGAAGGGTTGGAAATACCTCGGGCGGGACGGATTCAAGGAGTCGACGGTGATCATGGGTTATGGGCTGGGTTTTGCGCCGACATTGGAGGCTTTCCTACACTGGCCGCCAGAACGGGTTGAGAGAAGTAGACTGTTCTCCTAGACAGAAGCCAATACAATGAGCCTTGGCGGGCTCGCATGAAATGCAAAACTCTCGTCCCCTTGTGACGCATGAATACTCGTTACTTCGTAGACCCTGCATGCAGCGCATATCCGCGACAACCTTGGCAAACGACGAAACGACTCGTGTCTTCGACTAGATATGTAAGATCAATGGCATGTACATACTCGTCGTGTCGCTGTGAGCCTGATCTGATGCTGCAGTTGGAGCCGCTGCTGGCAAACGGACCGGCCAAGCCTCGCAAGCCATGACTCCACAGGGGGTGGGTGAGTCGTTGCGGAGGCGCAGCGCCAGCGACCCGGGCGGCTGACTCTGTGGCATCTTACATTCTCACGTTTTGTCCCCAACGGCGAGCGTGGCAAGCCGGTTGGGCACGAAAACGGTGAGGATGGCGGGATGTTGTCCGCGAAAGCCTGAATCTTGACTTTTTTCTCTCAGTCTTGTACAAAGTACCCTCTCCCATGCGCATCCGTCTCGGGCGGGCCGTCCGTAGTTAGGTCGTTGGCCACGCGGGGGACCCGGCGCTGCTGTTGGCGCCCGGGATCGCCAACCTAGGGGGGGGCCAGCTGCAGCGGTTTGCAGGCAAGGGCTGGCTGGCTATCCCCTGCCCGGTGCCGGCGCCACCGCTGCGCATCAAGCCGCAATCCAACAGAGACTTTTTTTCGCGGCGAGTTGATGGGTTGGCCGAAACGAGAGTGCATCCCGGGGTATGGGCAGAGAGAGAGAGAGAGAGCAGTCAGTCGTAAGCGTTATGCGCGTTGGGTTGGGCCGCACCCATGTACGGTGCGAGCGGGCGTCGCCGTGCGCTTCGGCGCGCCCATGGGTGGGCTCTGCACTCGACCCCCGGAAGCGCCGGCGCCGCGGCGGGGAGGCGGTCGGGCGGGCGGTCGGGGCGGTGGGCAGTAGTAGGAGGTGGTGGTGGTGGTGGTGGTGGTGGTGGTGAGAGGCGGGCAGACGGGCGGGCGACTTGTTCCGAAGTTCGTGACTCGCGCCCCGAAGCTGCAGACAGAGACGACTCGTCGACGATTCCGCCAAGAGATGCAGGAGGGAATCCTGCGGACGGAGCAGGATTTGTTTCACAAAACGGCAGCGGGCGCGCGCAGGACGCTCTCTGCACCTGCAACGCCAAGTTCATCACAGGCTGACTTCACGGCGGCAGGCGGGTAAGCGGTCCACCAACGACGGGCCAGGCTGCCCGGCGGTTCAGAGCCAGGGCATTTTGACGCCGTCGACGAGATGATGCACGAGTGGCAGGCACGGGGATGCACACGCGAATCGGGCTGCGGGACGACGATTGAGCCTCATTCATCCGAGCAAGCGCCTCTTTTCGTCACGCACAACTAATAACATAGATGCTGGCGGGACCTAGCGAAGAGCGAGCGGTTGGTGCCTGGTGCAAGGCTTCCACGGACGACGAGCACCTTCAACCACAGGACGTGCGTGCAATCATGACACACACATCCAAACGGCAGTGGACGTCTCTCACTCACAGAGTCACCACCAGGCTGGCCCCCCTCAAGGCCCGCATAAGCACCAGGTGTCGTGACTCCGTGCCACCTCCGACCCTGCCTGGGTTTCCATATTTGGCAAGTAAGCTGAACGGGCTGGAAAGTTGCCGGCCGGGGTGACGGCTGACACAAAAGACGGGCACGCGCGCACGCGCGACAGCCAACGTGCAGGGGTCGGAGAAGGAGCCAGGGCTGTTTATAGAAAGAGATGCTCAAGGATGACATTAAAAGAAGTAATGATGAGACCATTAATATCTATGCTAGTTTTCAACTATCGGCTTTGTTTGCTTTCGCGATGCTGGTCATCATGGCTGACCGACTGCAGCCAACACGCTGCATGGGCTAAATTCCTACAAAAAAACAAAAGAAGAAACACGTCATGGCTCGTGGCCCAGACCCCTTGTATCAGCAGTATGCCCGATCTGACCGTGGCTGGCGGCGGGCAAATCCACTTCGTTGAAGCGAGCCGAGCCTCACATTTACGCCCGCTCCTCGACCGCAGCGATGGGGGTGTGCCGAAACCCGATCCACGGCACCCTCAACCTCAAGCACAGGCTGCTGACGACGACGCTGATGCTCGACAGCGCCATCGCCAGGGCCGCCCACACCGGGTCGAGACGGACGTGGGCGCCCGAACCCGTGCGCACGGCGTACAAGCACCCGGCGGCAATGGGCACGGCCAGCAAGTTGTAGATGACGGCCCAGCCAAAGTTGGTCTTGATGCGGCGGAACACCGTGCGGCTGAGGTCGAGCAGTGTAAGCACCGCGGGAAGACTCGATGTTGCGAGGACAAAGTCGGCGCTCGAGATGGCCACGTCGCTGCCCGACCCGATGGCGATGCCAATGTCCGCCGTGGTCAGAGCCGGAGAGTCGTTGATGCCGTCCCCGACCATTGCCACCATGGCGCGACGGGTGGTGTAGTCGTGACGGCGCCGACGGATGGAGCGGGAACGACTGGCGTGCAGTGTTGCCTGGAGATAGGTGATCTTGGCCGCCTTTTCCGAAGGCAGCACCTCTGCGAGAACGTTGGACGATGGGATGCCAACGCGCTGAGCCACAGCCTTTGCCGTCGTGACGTTGTCGCCCGACAGCATCCATACTTGGGTTCCCCTCGCCTGCAGCGCCTGGATGACCGCCGTCGTCTCTGGGCGGATGGGGTCCGAGATGGACAAGGCCGCTGCGATCCTCCACGATGAGTCCTGGCGATGCTTCATGGCGACAAGGGCGACCGACTTGGCTTCGGCCTTCCAGCCCTGGAGAAGATTGGTGACGTGATGTGAAAGTGAAGCCGAGAGGTCGCGCATCAGGTGCTCGTTGCCAACAGCGATGTCGAGCTCCTTGTTCTGATACGACGCCTTCATTCCCTTGCCTGGGATTTCCTCAACTTGCCCCAGCTCCGACGCCACCTTCTTCTCACCACAGAAGCCCACGATGGCCTTGGCGATCGGATGGCTGCTGTTTTCTTCGACAGCCTTGAGGCCTGACAAGAGGGTCTGCTCGTCGACGCCCTCAATCGCGCCGTCAGGGAAGATAGTCGTGTCGGTGATTTGGGGCTCACCGCCCATCGTTAGAGTTCCAGTCTTGTCAAAGACCACGCAGTCAATCTTGCTAGCCTTCTCAAACGCCTCGCCGCCGCCCTTGGCGAGGATTCCGTGCTTTGCCGCGATGCCACCTCCTACGAAGATGGCTGTAGGTGCCGCAAGGGCCAGGCCACAGGGGCAGGCGACCACAAAGACGGCGATGGCGAACTGGAAGGCGAATGCTGCCTTGCCACCAGAGTTGTCGAGCTCGGCGTCGGAGACTTTGCCGGTAAAGGCGAGTATCATCCACACGACCCAAGTGATGATTGCCACGAGGGTGATGACAGGGACAAAATAAGATGTCATGAGATCTGCAATCTGCTCCACGGGGGCTCGCCTCGTCTGCCCCTCACGAACCACTTCGACGATTTGGTCGAGCATTGATTTTCCAGAGGTACCCGTGATGCGCGCCGTAATAGCGTCCCCTTTGTTGATCGTGCCGGCAAAAACTTGCTCTCCCGCGGCCTTCTTGATCGGTCGCGACTCGCCAGTAAGACTCGATTCATCGAATATGGTCTCGCCAGTCATTATGACTGCATCTGCGGCGGGAGATGCTCCGTGAGGAATCCGGATAAGATCTCCATGTTCCAGCTGGTCGACGTCAACCGTCTTGGTTGTCGAATCTCCCTTGGCGGCGGCCTGGTCGATGAGGATAGCTGTGCTGGGCCGAAGCTTGGCCAACGCCTCGACAGCACTTCCCGTCTTGGACTTGCTGTACCCCTCGATCAACCTGCCCGCAAGGAGGAAGAGTGTGAGGAAGACGACAGAGTCAAAGTAAAAGCTACCTTCGGGGGCCTTCTTCTCCTTTGCAACGGCCGCTGCAATCATCTGCGCCACAGAGGAAATGTACGCGATGCTTGTTCCGAGGGAAATGAGCATGTTCATGCTTCCGAATTTGTAAAAGCGCTCGAGGAGGGGCGTGCGGCTGTTACCTCTCCACAAAGTCCGCAGCTCCTTGACGGCTCGTACGTGGAATACGTCGGCGGCGAAGAAGTAGACAGGGGTCGCGAGTGCGAACAGAATGATTTCGAGGCGACTGAGTCCTGAGACCCAGGGCTTCATCAAGTAGTGCTTGGTGTGGTTCGTATCAGGCACTAGGCTCATGTACACGATTCCCAGGACAAAGGAGGGAATTGCCATGATAATGGTCAGGATCTCCCGGTACAGCAGGGTTCGCTGATGCTGAGCTCGGATCGCCCTGGACCGTTCCTCAAGCGTGGGCGGGTGATATATAGATGCTCGAAGGGAAGGGTCTGTGGCCTCGATGGCCTGGAGGATATGCCGAATGGTGAAAGTTGGGACGTTCGGGATGTAGCGAATCTTGATCCTGGGTGTCTGCATCGACGCTTCGCTGAGGATTTCGATTCGCGACTTGCCGAGGTTTCTCAACGTCTGTGAAATGCGATCGGGGCAGCGAGGGCAGAATATGCCGTCGACCTTGACTTCCACCTCTCGAGAATCGACTGCCTGCTTCTGCTCGTTGAGATCAACCACGGAATCGAGGACGGCGTCGTAGCCGAGGTCGCTGATCGCTTCGATGATGTCCTGCGTACGGTTCGGATCTGTGAACTCGACGGTGGCGCTGTTCGAAACAAGATTGACGACAACCTTGGAAACCCAAGGGTGTTTCTGAATCTCATCGGTAATTGTGTTGACGCAGACGGCGCACGTCATGCCGCCCACAGAGATGGTGGCTCGCAGTCGAGGGGTCTGCGCCTCATCGTCGCCGACGACAACGCCCTCAAATGCGGTGGCACTGGGCTTCTGCATGCTGGACGCAAAGGAGAGGTTCCGAACAAGGTTCACTCGGTCTTCGGATAGGTGGTCTTGGTCGTGTGCCGCGGCGTCCTTGCAAGATTCGCAGTTCTCCAGGTGCGCAGCAGCTTTCGATGCGTGTGATTCGACTGGCGGCGTCCTATTCCGCCAAAGGCGAGACCATATATCAAAAGTGCCGTAGCTCTGATGGGGCATGCTTCTGCTGCCCTCTCCTTGTTCGGCTTGGGAGAGGCTGTCAACATCGCTCGCGACGCTGGCAGTGGTGTCGACGGCACATATATCGAAGCCGACATCCTCGAGCGTCTTGCCCATGCGGCGGATGAAGTCGGCTGACGCATCTTCGTGTTCTACCGTGACCACGGAAGTCACCACGTTGGGTGAAACCCACAGCACCTTGTCACCATACTCGTCTTGCAGAAGGCTCTTGATCAGCGCGACGCACGACGGGCAGTGCAAGTTGCCGAGCAGGTAGGAAGTGGTGACGGTCGACGCCATGGTGTTGGAGGGAGGGAGTTTCTCCAGACCCCTTTGGCGGAGTTTTCAAGGTAGGACTCAGGTCTGTGTTGCACAGGATGCGCTGATGGGAGGTGGTGGTGGTCGAGGATGCTCCTAAGTCGTGATGAGGAAGGAACTATTTGTGGTGGATCGCAGTATAAAGCCGGATGGAGGGACCACGGCATTTATCGACGCTCACAATGCAGCTCACAGCCGGACACGTCATGGAAAAGTAGTGAGATTGATAATGGAGAAAAGAAGGAGGGGTCTTCTTGAACGTTCCGACCAGATGCTGAAAAATGGCATCGCCTGATTTCCTGCGCTGGGTGCTGCACGCCGCGAAAAAGACTCTCTGCCAAACTACGCACAAATGTCGCAGGCGCGGAGGTTGCGACCTGGGAATGATGCATCAACCGCCAGACAAGGCCGTTTTGAGGGCCTTTTGCGTGGAAACAGCCCAGCCACTGGGCTGAAACGTAACCCTCGACGTCGCATCATTTATAATGCTGCATTCGATCAAATTGACTGCTACAGTCACGGTGATGGAGAGAGTCCGTTTGCTGTCGAACGGCGGCGTTGAGCTGCGATTGTAGGTGGATACATATGCGGTACTTGTGAAAATGCTGGTTCTTCTGGGACAAAAAGGTACTGAAAAGTACCACCCTTTGACTGACGATTGATTGTGACGCGGACCCACCTGGAAGCTTCTGTCCGCCACTGCAGGCTAGCTGTGTGCGACTCGCCAGTTCCTGACGAGCTCATTGTGCGCCTTTGAGCGGTTTGTGCGTCCACAGGCTCCTGCCACGCTTGGCCGCCCCGACTGTGAACTTGCGAGTGCGCCGTTCCCAGGTGCCTTGGGCGATCATGCTGTGCGGTGATCACGTGCACGTGAATAATGCAGGCATCATTCGCTGGGGCTTCTGCGGGCACTGGCATGTTGCAGACCTCACGCAAGCCCTGGCGTCTTCTGACGCTACGAGATGGTTGAGCGCGGTCAGCCAAGCAAAGCCATGTACGCATGCCTGCGCAATGGGATGGATCCGCGCGAGGCCGAATTGGCGAGCGCCAAGGACCGCATTATGGCCGCAAAACCAGAATGCTGGTATATCACGATCGAACATCCATGTCACCGGTGCAGCGAATTGCCCTCAGGGAGAGGAGGGAGAATCGCTTTAAGCTAAGGTATCCCGAAGATCGCACGACGAGGTTCAAGGTGTCCGATAACGATCGTCCAGAGCGCGTTCCTGACGGGCGGATGAGGGTCCAAGCCTGGGTGGTTCGCAGCATCGCCACCTTAGAGAGCTCCTGTGAGAGGCACCCTGTCTGTTGTCTGCAAGCACCGGTCCGTCGTCCTGGATGCTGGCGATGAGGACAGCGAGCGTGCTCAATAGGCGGCGTTCGAGCCAGGCCGCCGATGCATCTCAACGGCACTGTACTGTACAGCATCGTGGCAAATGTTTGCGACTTGGATTCGCTGTGAGCCGATGTGCATTGGCATGTCTCTCCGGAACCAGGAGGATGACTGCGTTCTTCCCATTTACAAGCTGCGAAGCAGTGAGATTCGCGCCGGCTCCACCAATCACGGCCCGTCGCCATGACGAATGCGGAAGCGCAGTGCAGTGACTCCAGACCCCCGGGCGCCGACCGCCGACCGCATGTCGAGCACGACATGAGCGGGTGATGAGGGGTCGACGCGACGTCCACCCCCAGCTCAATGGAAGCAGCCAGGCGAAAGAGCCAGCGTGCCTGCCTCCCAGCGATGTGGCGGAAGTCGCCGGGTCGTCGGCCACGGCCCCCGGCAGTCTGGCGACGGAAGTCGGGGAAAAGTGGAGCCTCCCGAACGACGGGGAGCGACAGCGCGCGACAGGGCGGATCTAGGTCTTGCATCATAGGCGCTAGGCCGCTTTCGGCTTTAGACAATTGCGTGATTCTGCCAGAACATCAGCAATTCTGCGGCAGCACCGACCGTTTCTGAGGCCCAAGGGACGTGTTTTGCAACAATGATGGGGGAAAAGGAATGGTCTGGTATGGGGTAAAAAAGAGGGCCGAGGCTTCAAAGGGCCGCTTTACAAATGTTGTGCGGCCCGGGCGTTGGAAGACTCGCCTCCCCTGAATCTGCTCTTGTAAAACCTTCCTTTCTTCTACTCGTCATCCTCACTCAAAGAGAAGGACTGTCTTCGCAAGCAGACTCGTGCCGGCTCGCTTTTCTGGGCGATTGGTCTTCTTGTCGAACCCCGGACAGACCTAACATCTCGTGATTTTCCCGCAGAAATCTCGAGTGTCTCCTTCTCGTCCTCCACGTCGCTCATCCCTTCTTGAGCGTCTGTACCCAGGATGAGTCCTCAGGCACAGGAATCTGGCGGCAATGCCGCTGCCGCCTCCAAGACCAAGTCGTCGGAGTTTGAGGTCCTGTCTTCCAGCCTGCCCTTCGGCCAATCCGTCCCTCTGGCCTCCATCTCCGGCCCGACCTATGTGACGGCGCAACTCCTTGTCCAGCAGATCGCCTACAAGCTCTCCGACAAGATTTACTCCTACTCCCCCGAGACTTTCGACCTCGACGTCGCCGCGAAGCATTGGGCGACCAAGGAGGACAAGAACATCCACGGCTATACGCCTTCGGTCTTGCCGCTTCAGACTCGTACCGGTGCTGGTGCTCTCGCTCTCGGCTACATCTTCTCCCCAGACTTCGACGTCTCCAAGAGGCACATCCCGCAGACCCTGCTCGCCCCGTCCGGAAGCCTGCAGCAGCTTCGCGGCACTCTTGACCAGCTCTCTCTGCTGTACAACCTCTCCAGCCCGTTCGTCGCTCATGTCGCGGCCGCCGACTACACGGCCAGCGAGGGCCTGGTTTCCAACTACGACTCCGCGCTGAGGCTGGCGGAAGATCTTGGTCTCGGCCTGGTCGCCAGTTCCTCGGCTTATGAGGCCCAGCACATGTCCCTCTTCACGACCCTCCTTGCCGCTGTCGTCCCCACCCTTCACGTCTACGACGGTATCCGCGTGGCGCGCGAGACTCTGCGCGTTGTCGATGCTTTGAGCGAGACTGGCGTTGCGGACCTGTACGCGAAGCTTTCCTCTGAGGCTGGCAAGCTGAACCAGCGCCTGGACACCGCAGGCAAGACTGTCGAGCTCCTGAAGGTCTTCAACGATGAGCTCGGTACTGTATATGAGCCCTTCGAGTACCACGGCCACGAGACTCCTGACGTCGTTCTGGTTGCTTTCGGCAGTGTTGAGACACAGGTCGCTAAGCAGACGCTCGACAAAATCGCCCGAGACGGGGCCAAGGTGGGCGTCATCAACGTTCGCGTCTACCGCCCCTTCATCGAGGAGGCGTTCCTCAAGGCCATCCCCGCCTCGGCACGCACCATCGCCGTCCTGGGCCAGGTTCGCGATGACGTCGCTGTCGCCGATGAGGCCACGCAGTCCGCTCTCTACGGCGACGTCCTCACTGCCGTCACCTTCTGCGGCATGTTCGACGAGGAGCCCGAGGTCCTGGACATCAAGTACACGCCCTCCCAGGCTTTGACGCCACAGGGCCTGGTCAACACGTTGCACAAGATCTTTGGCAACGATGGCGAGGCGAAGGCGCTGCCGTCGCTCATCAGTGCTCAGCAGTACACGTTCTGGGACGTGGACGACTCTGTCGCTCTCAACTCCCCGGCCGTTCTCGGCAGTGTCCTGTCTCGCGAGTCGACCAACAACGTCTATGTGCACACTGCCTTTGACAACTTGACACAGGGTGGCGTCGTCCGAACCGATGTCCGCTCGTCCAAGAAGGCCCTTGAGGCCCCTTACGAGGTTGCCAACGCTGACGTCGCCGTCGTCGGCGATGAGAAGCTGCTGAAGGAGGTTGACGTCGTCAAGAGCGTTGCGGACCAGGGCAAGATCATTGTCAAGCTTCCCAACTTCAAGCAGGAGGACGTCGAGAAGAGATTGCCCGCCCACTTCCGAAAGCATGTTCAGGAGAGGGGTATCGAGGTGTTTGTCCTGGACGTTGCTTACTCCCCGGCTTTCGAGAAGGACCCGCAGTCATCAAAGCTGCTACTCGAACTGTCGTTCCTCAAGGTCGCGCAACCTGAGCTGTCTGATGAGGACATTGGCAAGCTTGTCCTGGTCGAGGGCCATCCGCCCACCCTGGAGGAGTGCGTCGATGCCACCAACCTGTGCCTCAGCAAGCTCGAAGTGCCTGCGGCATGGGCCGAGGTCGCCGCCGACTACAACGAGCCTCAGCTGCGCGCCACCATCCAAACCAACAGCTTCGTCTCGTTCCAGAAGGAGGAGGGCGAGGAGACTCTGGAGCTCCGTGACTGGCAGGCAGCTGCCCGTGGCATTGTCTTCAAGGAGGCATACGGTACCCGTTCCGACCTGCGCCCGGACCTTTCCGTCAACACGGCTACTATCCGCGTCAAGGAGAACCGTCGCCTCACTCCTCACGACTACGACCGCAACATTTTCCACATCGAGTTCGACCTCGGCGACTCCGGCCTCACCTACAAGATCGGGGAGGCGCTTGGCATCCACGCCGAGAACGACGAGGAGCAGGTCAACGAGTTCATCAAGTCGTACGGCCTCAACCCCGCCGAGATCGTCCAGGTGCCCGCGCGCGAGGACCCGGCCGCCCTCGAGGTCCGCACCGTTCATCAGGCCCTGCTGCAGAACATCGACATCCTCGGCAAGCCGCCAAAGAGGTTCTACGAGGCACTGGCCGAGTTCGCCACCGACGAGGTCGAGAAGAAGAAGCTCGAGGCTCTTGGCAGCTCTGCTGGCGCGGAGGAGCTGAAGCGCCGCACAGACGTCGACACGGACACCTACGTCGATATCCTGGAGGAGTTCCAATCAGCGCGACCCAGCTTCCACGATCTCATCAAGATCGTGAGCCCGCTCAAGCGCCGAGAATACTCCATCGCATCGGCGCAGGCCGTGACGCCCACTTCGGTGGCGCTCATGATTGTCGTCGTCGACTGGGTCGATCCCAAGGGCCGCACCCGCTACGGCCACGCAACGCGCTACCTCTCGCGCCTGCAGCCCGGCGCCGCCGTGACGGCGTCTGTCAAGCCCTCGGTCATGAAGCTTCCCACCAAGGACACCGCGCCGCTCATCATGGCCGGTCTGGGCACCGGTCTGGCGCCGTTCCGCGCCTTCGTCCAGTACCGCGCCATGCAGAAGGCCCAGGGCAAGGAGATTGGCTCCATCCTGCTGTACCTCGGCTCGCGCCACCAGCGCGAAGAGTATCTCTACGGCGAGGAGTGGGAGGCGTACTTGGCGGCGGGCGTGGTCACGCTCATCGGCAGCGCGTTCTCGCGCGACCAGCCGCAAAAGATTTACATTCAGGACAGGATGCGTCAGACTCTCACAGACATCGCCAAGGCGTACGTCCAGGAGGAGGGCAGCTTCTACCTCTGCGGCCCGACGTGGCCCGTGCCGGACGTGACAAAGGTGCTGGAGGAAGCCATCGCGGAGGAGGCCAAGGCAAACGGAAAGAAGGTCGATCCAAAGAAGGAGATTGACAAGCTCAAGGAAGAGGGACGTTATGTTCTCGAGGTGTACTAAGCGCGGGGTTCGATTCCTCGGAGGATTGAGTGACCATGGGTTGTTCTCGCATCGATCAAAACATAGAATTGCCGAAGCGATTTTTTGCCGCCTTTATCACACCACTTTTCCAGCGCCATGTCTCAGTCAATTTCTTGAGTGACGTGACGAGCCACTCTGTACTCCGTGCTTTGCACCCCGTTCCGCTGAGGATTTCAACCACTGACATCTTCGGCCGGTTCCAACCGGCGATGCTACATATGCTCATCTCTCTCTTTTGGCCTGTTGCTTCTACATCTTTTGAGAATCGAGTGATGCACCTGTTGGTCGACACCTTGCAAATCTCGGGACCTTCGAGACGACTACTTCCAGAAACAGAAGTGAAGACCGTCACGTCTGCCATTCCCACGTAGCGCCCTGGGGCTGTTCTAGGCCCAGTCGACCGTTCCCCTCTTCTCCGAGAGCGGTGAGGTCGCAAGTGAAGCCACCCAAAGCTGCGGGAATCTGGTCTCGGCCGTTCAAATGCCTGCGATTACCGCTCCGTGCACAGCCTCCGTATCAGTCCGCGCATCCTTCGCTCAGAAGCCAAGCGCAGGAAGCACACATTGCATATTTGTAGGGTATATACGTATATACACCAGCTTCCTTGCATCTCAAGATATAGTTGAGGCTTCAAAATAACCATCCTCAAAGATCGTGCGTGGTTTGCCTGCGTGTGAGGTCCTCATACCATGTGACCCGTGCAGGGAGAGCTGGGCAATGATTGATTCAGAAGAGCCATGAACAGTGGCAAACCAGTGAACACGGCATGTGAAACATGAATCGAGTCAAACGACCATGTCTGTTGCGCTCATACGACTAAATGCGGAGTACGCTGTACAATGTACAGTAATATCGCGTCCCAGCGTCCGGTGGAGAGTGCAAAACTTCACCAGCTAGCAGTCCGCATTTCAGCATCGGCTCAACATCTGGAGCATGCATGGTAGATCGGTGCTTCATGAGCACCATACGAAACTCAGGCACCATAGTGAGCAGCCTGCGTGCGGTTGACGGCTCGGAGCGCCAAGGATCCATGGCCAGTCGCCGAGCTGGGGTGGTACATCCAATCTTGCTCGGCAGCTGCCGCTCTCGCAACCCGCTGCGTAGGGCGGGCGGGTAGATCCTCCCCATCCCGCCGTGGAGTCGGTTCGGTCGCAACCAAAGTATCTGGTACCTGAGACTCACTTTGCAAGGGGGCGCATGTTGGGAGCGCAGCCAAACACAAGAAGAGAAGACGTACAGGAAACGGGTGAGACATCCAAAAACCTCACTTCTCACTTCTCGACGCTGGCCAGGACGTTATCCTGATCGCAACGACCGAAACCACAGCTACATTCTCATTCGTTGCCCGACGCACGGGACAGCACGTGTGATGTATGTAGAGAACACGTCCTTTGGGAGCCCACGACTTGCGTCGCACAGTCGCTGTTCTGGTATTGCGCCGGCATCCATCCCTCCGCCCGACGCTTTCCCCTCGCTTGCCCCATCGTCTCTTTTCTCGCGGCTCATTTCGTCCGTTTCCTCTTGTCGCTGACGACCCGCTATGAAGCACCGTGGATCCTCCCCTTGTCCATGATGCTGGTTGATGTAAGAATTCCTCTCTTCACCGGCTTCGGCACGATACTCCGCAGGATCTCCGGAGATACGGTCAACCGGGCAAGGACCTGGTGAATCTGCCCGAAAGGCTTCGGAACCGCCATCACGCCCGATCAGCAGGGGTGTCGCAACGTCATTGCATACTCGACGCGCCAGCCACACCAGAGATGATGAGAGCGCAATGGACCGGAGACGGCGGTTGAAGGCGGTGACTCGATGCTCCCTCTACGTTTGCGGTTTGGCCTGCATGAATCATGAAGAAGACTCAATTCCGCACCTGGAGACATCCCTTCATTGGGCTGTCTTGTCGTGGATGGCACTTGGAACAAGGACAGTCATTCGCTCCGATTCATGGAAGGTTTCCGCTACCTGAGACGCATGCGACTGCTCTGTCGCTACCCTGTTCGCATGGAGGTTACTCGTCAGAACTGACACGTCTTGTTTGCCCGCAAGTCATCCATGTCATGTCCACTTACACACAGGTCCCCACTAACAGACAGGATCATATCGTCGGCCTCACTGAGATTGAGAACGGACGACGGAATATGTATCAAAATAGCCGAGATATCTGAGAGACCATCATGAGGCGATGAGGTGCAAGGGAAAGCCGGCGTGCTCGGCTGTGGACAGGGAATATTTTCACCAGACGACTTGTCGATCGTTTGGCTCATGTTCTCTCTTCTCCCCTGGTACCTGGCTTCTTGCATACGACGTCTCCTTGTTACTGCTGCATCGGGTCAATGTATCCTCGTGTCACAACGCAACCAACTCGAGGCGGCAGGTCTTGTCGTACCCAAGAACGGCGCCCGGTCTGTTCGCTGCGCACGAATCATGGAGATCAGACGCCCGGCTTCAACACTCCCCCTAGTCTCCTTCTCTCCGCCGTGCTTGTCCACCACACGCAAGATGAGGCGGAAGGCAGGGGTGAAGGGAGGCTACGAGGGAATTCAGAGCACCTCGCTTCATGTTATTAGCGTTGGCATCACTTGAGATGGGGCAGGCGAGGCAGACATTACAGCGTTAGTAAGGTACGGTCCTGTACGAAGTACAGTACAGTACTACACAAGATGCCGTGAAAGCTGCACGTCGTCAGCCAAGCTCAGGTCTTCCAACGGTCGTATGTGCGTGCGGCAGGGCACACCGGCCGGGATGTGATAGTGGCCGTCCTGTTGTATCCCCTCACCCTGACGCGTTTCACGGGGGCGCCGTTGAGAGACTCTGCCTTGGGACAGGGCCAAGCATCGGCAGAGTTAGCCTGAACAAGCATGACGGGTGCACGAAAACGCCGAGGTGAAGTAAGAAGAGGGGCTCAAATCATGACGGCGAGATTGTAATTTCAACACTCAGATTCTACATAGAGAGTGTCATACCAAGGGGAGAGATTCCCCCGGTCGAACAAGCCCAAGCCCGTCTCATCAGCCCTACCCCAGTCCGCCCTCAGCCCCTGCCTCTCAACATCAATGTCTATCAACGGCCCATTCCGTGAAATGCTCGGTAATCGCAAAACTCCGTGAAACCAAAAACAAAAAAGGGTGGGCGAAGAAGATGTAACGATACTCTTGAATTAAACCAAGAGAATGAATATCAAAGGGCGAGTCGTCGTGAAACTGCGAAATGTAAATGCCGGTGGGTGAAGAGGAAAACAAGAAAAGCGTGCGTCGAAAGAGGCAACCAGCGCAAAACTCCTGACCCCGTTTGCAAGTCCTAAACCCCCATCCTAATCAGAGTCTTTTTTTTTTTCACCTTCCGTTTTTTTTCTTGCTGCCAAAGGTCCCCGTGCTCTCTCTCTCTCTCTTGGTTGGCGGTCATTGGTGGTCGACTTTGCAGGGTGAATGTGATTCTTCACCGGCGCCACGCGAGCAGAGGCCAGGCAAGCGACAAGGACAAAAAGACTGGGGTCACGAGATCCAGTCCTGCAGGTCTCCGACAACCTGGTACGTCGGGTTGGCAGAGTGGCCATCACCGCCCTTCTTGTCCCATGCCCAACGATCAGCGTAGTCTGCGTCCAGGCTGCCCTGCATCATGTCGGCGACGTAGTCGCCAATCACAGGCAGGAACTTCCAGCCGTGGAACGAGCCGCCCGTGGCCACGTAGAGGCCTTGGCAGTGCGGATGCTGCGTGATGAGGAAATCGTGTGTCGGGGTCGATGCGTCCCTATCAAGCCGCGCCCAAACATGTCAGCGTCGCAGATTCCATTGGCCCCAGGGCGGGCATGTTGGGCAGACATGGCGGGAAAGGGGGCCATCGGGACTCGGTGAGAGGCTGCAGCGGGCTCGTGACTTACCAGCACATCCGATAGGCGTCGATGGCAATGTCCTCCACTTCCTTGCCGTAGAGGCCGTCGATGGTGCGGCGCGCGCGCTCCTGGAAGAAGTTGATGAACTTGGGGCCCGTCCACACGTTGAAGACGTTCTGGTCTGGGGCCACCGACATGCGTTCACCGGTCTGCGGGCAAGTGACGTAGTTGGTGAAGCACATGTCGCAATTGAACTTGATGGTGCCGTCGCGGAGAATCGACATGCCCTCGCCTGCAGAGAACCGCGGCCGGTCAGCCACTGCGCCGCCCACCGCCATTCGGCAGAGCAAAATAGATGGCCGGAGAGGCCTTGGGGCCACGTACCTTTGACCTGCGGGAGGCAGTTCTTGAGCACCGGGATTGGGGCGAACTTTTCCTTCTGCTCGCCAAACAGCTTCGCGTAGAAGCTGACGGCCCCCGTCGCCACCACTCGGTCGCCGGCATGCATCTGCCTGTTGTCCGGGGCGCTCTGCGCCAGCAGTGCAGCGGTTCGAGCCCCAGTTGCCAGCAGGATCTTGTCGGCCTGCAGCACCTCTCCCGTCTCCAGCGTGATTCCCGTGCACGCCCCATTGGGCCCGAAGTTGAGGTGCTTCATGACCCCCAGGACGTACTCGACCCCCCGGTCAACCGCCTCTTGCACGACGGCCCCGAGAGCCTTGTCAGCCTCCGCAAACCCCACAGTGGGGTTGAAGAGCACCTTGTCGAGCCCGTCAAAGTTGGCCGTGGCGAACGCGCCGTTCCAGCGCTTCCGCACCTCGTCCACGGACAGGAACTCGGAGTCGTTGGCGACACCCATGTCTCTGTAAGCAGCCATGCTCTCCTCGCCAAAGTTGGACGCGTCCGCCCTCAGCATGCCGACTTCGTGGTAGTAAGGGCTGTACAGGCTGTCCGCTCGCCATTTCGGCATGGCCTTGATGAGCATGCGCATGTAGAGCTTGTCTGGGTAGTCGTCGCGCACAATCTTGTTGACATCATGCGAGGCGGCTCGCGGGTTGGGAAACGCGGCCGTGTCCACGAGAACGATCCTGGACGCCTCGCCGCGCCTGGCAAGCGTCAGCGCGGTCGCGGCGCCGAAGTTGCCCGCGCCGATGATGAGGTACGAGGTCATGGTGGGCAGCCGGCTCTTGTCGCAACGGGTCCGCTCGGATGCTGCGACGACGGCCTTCGTGTCTCCGCCGTCGGCCAAATGTGTCGTCGTTTCGGTTTTCCCTACTACCTCTTCTTTCACTTCTCAGAGCCGGAGGTAGCAGACAGCGAGTGCGACGAAGAAAATCAAGGGCGACCGAGGCAGATGGGTGCGAAGGCGTCAAGGTCGATGAGGGTGGCGGGCGGTGTAAGTCAGAAGGGACTTGCGGCTGGGGGTGTCCTAAACGGAGGTTATGGCAACGACGACGTCAAAGTCGGAGGCAAAGTTCAAGTCAATGGCGACGGCAAGGGCGGATTGGGATCTGATAAGACATGCATTCCACTCCTTGGGCGTGCCTAGTGAAAAGAAAAAGTCTCTCGGATCGCGGGTCCAAGGGAGGGCAAGAGTTGGGCGCTGGTTGGGACTTTATACTTTGCGACTGCCGGCGAGGTGTGTCTGTGCCTGGCCGCCATGTCCGTTGCCGGGAGCGGATGCTGTGGTCCTGTCCCTGCTGGGGGTGGGCAGCAAGCACTTCCAGAATCCCAGGCATCGCGTATCGAGGCAAAGCAAGCGATAGTACGTACGGGCTACGGAGCGTGTGTATGAGTTGGACCCCATGCGCGGGCGCCAGCCGAACAGGCCTGGCCCCGGCACCAGACGCCGCCGCCGCCGCCGGTGGGAGACTGAACGGGCCGGGCGACAGGCGTGGAAACGTCCCACCGCGACGTGCGGCAGCGAGGAAAGAGCAAAAAGATTACTTTTACCCATCCGACTACGTACTTCGCATGTACGTGCGCGCGTGCGCATTTCCCAGTAATACTAGCCGCTAGTAGCTGGCACCCTCGGGTGGCCGGCCGTGCGAAAGGGCGAGCTCCCGCCGGCCCGCCGCCGCCTGTGACGCCGCAGAAGCCCAGTGCGATCCATGGACATTGAACAGGCCCTGCCCTGTCCTGGACTGGGCTGGGCTGGAGACTGCGCGGCGCGGCAGTGCTCCAGCGCAGCAGCGCCAGCATGCCCATCGTGGCAGCCGCCCCCGGGGTGGGCTCGTTCGTCAAGGAACCTGGGAGGAGATTGACGTGTCAGTCCAAGGAGATGTCTCATCCCGAGAAAAGGGATCCTCCTGTCGCGTCTCTTCCCACCCCTGCGCCCTGTGGTGGGGGCCTCTTCCTTTGGGGGAAAACGCGAGACGCCAAACAAAGGCTCCGACGAAGAAAAAGAAGGGGTGGAGCAGGGCAGGTTGGAAGCCGCGAAGACGCACTCCGTTTCGACTGTTCGGACCAGCTGCCCGTGATGGGCGGGGGGCATCAGTGGGACGATGGATCTCGGTCTCTGATCGATGGCAGTTGGGGGGGCGTGCTGGAGAACGGGGGGCGAGTTTCACAATCCAGCAGCTAACTTCGGTTTCGCCCTTTCAACTAACGTTGTTGGCTGCGTGTTAGTGGAAACCTTTTTTGCCCTCTCGGGCACAACAGCAGCGCCAGAGCCAGCCGCGCGGCGACGGGTCGACTTGACCGATGCTCCATAGACGAGACAACAACAGATGAGAGAACAAGCCGGCGGATCACAGTGGCACAGCTGAGCGAGGACCGGGACCGACTCCGACAGAGGGGCGGCCGGGGGAGCCCAGCAAAGTTCAAGACGAGGCTAACAAACGAACAACAGGGTCTCGTCTCGCCATGTCCATCCAATGGGCAGGTGCTCCGTTCGTACTGGAGTTTGTCGTCTCTCGGACTGCGCTTGCGTCTCAATTGTTCCCTGTCAGAGGTGCACATGGGGTACCACCCACGGTGTTTTAGTGTTCGGATGGCCACTTGCTTTGCTGTTCAGAACAACCATCCTCCCCCACCACCAGACCGGCAGGCCAGCACTCTCCGTGGGCCACCAATCCTGCTGTACAGAGCAGGCGGCGCATCGGGAATTGGAAGCAAGGGGCTGGCAAACAAGGCGGGTTGGACGGGCCGTCGGGCTGCGCAAGAACACCCGGTCACGCCAGTTGTCCGTTCCCGAGACAGAGCGTTGTTGTGTGACCGTCCGGAAGCCTCGTGTTGGCGATATGACGCGCCGCTGGGGGGGCAGAAACGTACGAGGCAGGAGGCTCGACAAGGGGGAGGCGAGTATTATTCTTGGTTCAGCTGGCATCCCGACCGTCTCGTCTGCCCACGGGGAGGGATTGTCGGTGAAGCCCATCGGCCACGCTTCCCCCCGTACACTACTTGCTGCCATGTTCGCGCTACCACTACTAACGCACGACGGAGAAGAGGCGTCAAAGACCCGGGCCAGAGCGGTGCCTGTCAAGCCCTGTCATTCCCCAACCACATACGTCAGGCGTCACCACCCATGGGGCACTGGCCTTGCTCAAGCTCGCCGTCGTGTCGCCGGGATGCTGGCCGAGCGCATTCGTGGCACCGCGTTTGCTCAGAGTCCGCAGACTGCCGCATGCCTTGCATTGGGACCCTGGCACGCACGCTGGCCATGGCCATGAGCACGGCTGACGATGGAACCACTCCTGCTTGTCTTCGGCCTCGACGTCGCCGCTTTGTCATGGCCCCAGATGGACGGACGGAGAACCGGAGCTGCCCAGCGGCATCGCCCCAGACGGGGTGCGAGGAGAGAGGAAAGAGAGGACGGCGAGACAAGAAAGCCAGGCCTGGCCAGAGCCCAATCAGAGGCCCGAAGATCAGCGGCCGGCCGGCCGGCGGGCAAGAAATGGCCCTGGCGGTGCGTGGGTGCACTGCTCGAGCCCCGCGGACACGAGAACCAAAGAAAGGAGGAGGAGCCTTGGGGAAAAGTGGTGTTGCTGCTGGTGCTGGTGCTGCTGGTGCTGCTGCCACCGCCGCCTCTGCCTCCGTAGCCGCTGCTGCGGCGAAAAAGCAACCTGGCGAATCAACGGCTTGTCCCTGACAGGCACTGGCTTGCGAGACGTAGGGGTTGCGTTCAGAAGGGTGTTTTCCGGAGCGCCGCCTTGCATTAGCGCTTAAGGTCTGAGTGGCCTCGGTGGCGGCTTCCCGCCCACCCAGGGCAAAATCCAGGCATTGGATGCCACGACCACCGCACACCCGACTGTGGCTCGTGCCTGAGGGACCCGAAGAATGTCGCGATCTCTTCCATGTTTTTTGTCCTCCTCGGTGCTGGCGAGGCTGCGTCTGGGCCTGCAGTCGGCGTGCCTTCTGCCACTCCGAGCTCGGCCACGTTCCTTGCCCACACCGTCCACCTCTTTTGTCGCCAACCAATCCACCGGTCCGGCCATCTTCTAGACCCTTGCGCCATTGCCTCCAGGGCGGCAAGATGGTGCGGCAGACGCTCAGCCATGAATCATACCCTCTGTGGATCTCGACGACTGGCCACGAGAGTCCATGCCCCGGACTTGACAGTCATCATGACGAAATCAACCACCCACCTGCCCAGACGTCCAACCCCCGTCTAATGCCTCGCCGCTCGTCGTCGTGTTTCCTCGGCGGTCGACGGCTCCGTCGTCCTGCTTTAGGGCCGCACCTGGACGTGGCCACGTGCACGACGAGGCACTTCAGGGTGCAACGGCGACCGCTTGTCCGGCTGTCCTGACCGGCTCTCTGTGAGCTCCGCCGCCGCACGAGGGAAGGGGCAAGTCGACTGATGCTTAGCTGGCAGCCCATCAACGTGCGACAGCCATCGTCGACGTGGCCGCCGGGGTCCTGACCGACTTGCCTTGGCAGCCCAGGCACGCACGCACGCACGCATGCGCACACACCTCACGCATATACCGGCGTTGCGACAGGCAAAAGTCCCCTCCGCCCTTCCCCATCGGGGGCCATGGCTGCCCGCCGCTTGTCGCAGGAATTGCCACAGTGAGAGATCGCACGCGGGTCCCCCCTTGTTGGGGCAGAGTGACTGAGATCCGATCTCGCGGTGGCCCCCCCTCTTGCCTGCGTCTTGTCTCTCCCCGCGGTGCGCGCGTTCCACCGGTACGGTAACCCAATCAGACCACAATGATGATGACTCGCGGCCCTTTGGGCAGAGGCTGCGATGGTGTGCTGCGACGTGCGCTCGAGAATTCTGCTCATCAGCAAAGGGACACGAGCGACGACGGGCTTCCGGTGAGAGAGCAAACGGACACCGCCCAACACTCGGCTCGCCTATCGCCGATGGCGAAACACTGCATCAAAGCTTTGCCGGCATCCATCCGGCTCTGTTCCCATTGGCGTCTGCAACAGCCGGCCCCCAACAGTGCTGGTGGCGCTTCCTCATGATAGCTTGCTGCACGGAGTGCAATGCATCGCGGTCCAGGGTAGGAACCGGCTTATCCCGTCGCCTCAGATGTACTGGTCTCTCGTGGCCATGGCTTCTGCCAGGTCCCGATCCTCCTGCCCAATTGCACGGCGACGTTTCGTGCCGTGTAGATACGGCACGGTTCATTCACAGGTCAGTTCATCCCGCGGGCCTCGGCGTCGATGACGTGACGGGTGTTCAGGGCTATTGCTTGGCTCGTGCTACACCATCAAAGACCGATCGAGCAAACATCCAAACTCGCGCGACCGTCCACCGGTCCAAGGGCATGACGCCGGCTGCACGCGAATCATGTAATACGGATCAATGCCAGCCGTCGCTTGCCCCCTATTGTTGGTGAGCACACCGCAAGCCTCGATCTGCAGGTCATCACAAGGCCGCCGCCATCAACGTCCCCCCAAAACGTGCTGGCAAGGACATGCGAGTCCTTCCGCCGCCTGCCCGGTCACCGCCCCCATCCAGCACGTTGGCCCATTTCGTTGATACGGACTAGTGGCAGTCTTAGCAGCATCGAGGCCCATCCCGCATCGGCAAGCTTCCAGCCAGCCCAGCCCGACCGGGTCCCACGTACCTGGCGCTTGGTTACCCGCCCCAGGTGGCGCCCACTGGCTCCCGTGCCAGTGGCCCCATTGCACGCCCGTTTAAAAATCCCACACCGGTGACGCCTGAGCTGGAGGATAGAGGGGCAGCAGGGCCTTGCGGGTGTACGAAACACCAGTGCGCCTCCAGGTAGCTACGATGCACCGTGGTAGAGACCATGCCGTGGTGTTGATTGATCACTTGCATTTTGCGTTCGGGAGCGCTTGCTGAAGCTGTCCAGCTGCAGGCTTCTGAGAATTGGCGCCGCAGCTGGACATTGGGGGTTCTCGGACGTCAGTCGTGCCGTACGCCCGTACCCGCACGCCCGTTGCTTTTATGGCATGGGCCCGAAGCCTCCGAAACATGAGTGCTATCGGCCGGGCTGCCCCATGCCGGCTGGCATACTAGCACGAATACTTTCTCCCTCTGTAGCTCGTCTCTACGCTCGCACGCGCAGCCAGCGTTCAACGGAAGACGACGATAACGACGATGGGCGGTCTGCACCCCAAGCCCCCAAGCCTCTCGTGCTACGTACACCGCCAAGATGCTCTTGCCCAGGCCGACTACGGCAAGGGTCACCGGGCACACTAATAATGTCTCGGCCAGTCCCCCAGCGACCCGACAAGTCGGGAGGAGATGAGACCCTCAGATCGTCGAGGCGATGTTGTGATCCAGCAAGTGGATGGATGACTGGCATGACACTTGTTTATTAGCTCGTCCTACGACGAGCCAGCCAGCCAAGCCAACACATCAAGGTGTTCCGCCTTGAGCGCACCGGTGTGTCGGATTCGCCATATTAAGGGCCTTAAGTGCTGTCCGGTCCCCCTCGACCGACTTCCTGGGTCCCCCCAAGTGTGCCCCCACGAGCAAAGCTATGACGCCGTGTGAGCGGGGCGGCGTCTGACCCTGCATCCGGTGAAATGAGCTGCTGCATCCTTCCTGCGGCGGTCAAGAGGACCAGGCCTCCGTTATGCCACGATGTCGTCCGCCTGACTTCTTCTGCGCTGCAAGCGCGGAGAAGACGCCGATCTGTCGCCCGGTGAGCCTCTGCTCCTTCGTCAAGCTCGAAAGACATCAAGATCTTCTGGAATCGTTAGCCAAAGAGCCTTGCGTCGGTCATCAAGCATCGTGGGCGGGTAACGCGGGGAAGTTTCGTATTGCCATTCATGACCAGCATTTGTGAGTGGACATGGAACACAAGGAAAGCCAAACAGCCATCTGACATCATCCACACAAGAGTATTTTTTTTTCTTCTCTTCAGTGATCCATGGCCTGTCCGTTATTCTTCGGCCGCGCTCATTTAGCCCTCTCACCCCTGATAGCCCGATATCTCCCCAATGCACCGCATCAGGAATCCCGCCTATAAATCCCTTCGGCCCCCCAAACAACATGGGCACGTTGCACATGGCCCAGCACCCCAGAACCTTATACCAAGGCTGCAATTCTGGCCAAAGGTACTCCACCCATCAGCATTGTGCGGCAACGCATTGAGAGCCTCTGAGTGGGCCCCCCTGCTTGAGAACAACGAAGTCGAAACGCACGTGCGTTATAGATTTGCACGGACGGCCAACCTGGCCCCGTGACAAGGGCACATGTGTCGTCGGGTGTGAGCCTGCTTTTTGGGCCTTCATTTCACACCGACTCCTGCAGTCCCCGCAGCAGGGTTTCTCGGATGAACCATCGCCGCTGGCCGGTCAAGAACGGGAGCCAATGATGACCCACATGTGCCACGTCCGGCCCCTCCCGACCTCACACTCGTGTTCTGTTGTGCCCTTGATGAGTTCGCTTGGGCAGATAAAAAGAGCCAGGGTATGCCTGCTACTCTTCAACTGCCGCAACGAGGGAGTCGCCCTCCCATGCTCACAGTCTACGTCACGACGTAGTGCTTGACCGTGGCTTTGTGCCTTTCCAGGCCATCTCGACGAGCAAACCGGCGCTTTTTGGGCGGATTTGGACATCCGGCAACATCACACCGCCATGGCTTCCGATGCTTGTTGCAGTGCTGCCTGTGCTCATCGGTCAGCATGGGGCGACGGCGGTTCGTTCGATTCGAGATGGCAGTTCCGACGACATGCTGGGCAGAGCGAGGTCATGAACGCGGAGTCTGAGCGGTAACGTACGCGAATGAGGAATTTCGGTCGAAAACGACCAGGTTCCCGTCCTTGTCGACTCCCCCCTTCTTACACCGGGTTCCTTTTGGGCAGGAGTAGTTTCCCTTGCCTCGTTGGCGCAGCGCATCCATGTCGATGTCAAGGAACAACTCGTCATCAGACTCGTCGGACTCGTCAGACTTATTACCCAAGTCCGTCTGGCTCTGAGCATGGCTATCGGGGAGGAGTTTACGGGCCTTCAAGGCCCGAGATTCTCCTTCACTAGAGACTGACAAGGATTTGCCAGCCAAAGACATTTTGGTGTCAAGAAATGGCGAGATGGAAGCGGCGTGCACGCTTGGCGGTGAGCTCATAGGGGTTTGCGGCCGCCACGTAGCCTGGACTTGATTTGAAAACTCAATGCTCAGATCCCTGATTTTACTGTCCAGGGGGGTTAGCGCGGAGTCAGCAAACGAGAAGATCGTGTGTTCAGGATGATGACAATGAAGAGTTCCCCGGACCATCGTCCATGGGGCGAGAAGATTGGTCGGGGTTGGGTATGTGGGGGAAAGCGAAGGGGAAGGGATCGTACCGGAGGCGATCGATATCCATGTCTATTCGCGCAACCTCGGACAGGTCTGACATGCCGCTGTCAGTGCAGGACCGCTCATGGGCCTTTCTCGCGGCCTGCTCTAAGTGAGGCCCTTTCAGGAGGTTCTCGGTCACCAAGGCCCACATCATGGCGGTGCGCGAGCAGTAGTCTCCCATGTCGTTGAGCAAGTCACTGGCGTTCGGCGGGCCTGGAGAGGGGGCGCTTATATCCAGTGTCTCCATGGCACGGCTAATACTGTTGCGAACAATCTTATCGAGGTAAGGCGACGAGAAACCGTCCAGCCCTGAATCGAAGACGCTCGACGCGGAAGGCATCGACATGGCTCGCGCAATTAATAACTAGTTATTAGTCCAGGT